TTTCATTTAGGACGCGTTTAAGATGATTTAATGAATTATTCATTTCATTTAACTTCGTAGTTTGAGACCACCAATAATCGAGTAGATTTGGTGGGAGAATTTGTCCGGAAACAGGATCTTGAATAATTTTAATTTGATTATCAATTCGAACTTCATGTCCGTAGAAGCCCTTGATGATTATCGAAGGAAAACAAAAGAAATCTCGAAAGAAGTCAGAGAAAAAAACCTACTTTTGGTATAACTAAAGCATTTCCATGATGTTTCATCAGAACAACTTCAGGTTCGTAATGATTTCGTAGTACAACAACAACAACACAGTGATTCGGTCCCCAGAAAGGTAAATCTCCTCGTCCGGCAATTCCTGTTCGGCAAACTGGATTGATCGGTACATCATCATGAACTTGATATTTTCTTTTCGTGTCATAATCCATAAAATACGAACGTAGATCGTTAACAACTAAAGGCATACGATTGTTTTTTGTAAAACCATAACGTTCATTCCAGCGTGTTTCATCTTCGCGACGTTTTAGACGAATTTCGCCAAATTGCGGTTGCTGGACTCGTTCGTATTTTTCATTCAATCGTTCATTATTCGGAAGAAATTCCGACGGTAAATACGGCTTATTATCATCAGTTTCGACCATCCATAGAGCAATATCTTTATTCACCGGATATCTTTCAATTGCTCGACCATTACCCTTCGTATCGGAAGTCAAAACAAACTTTCAATTAATGAAACAATAAAAATATCTACCGATATAAATGGATAAGTTCCTTTCGACGATGCTCGATTGAGTAATGATGGATCCCATGGACGTATCAAAGCTTCTCGACTACCGATCATAGTCATATTGTTGAAGACGATTGAATCCATCATGTAGGATATCTTATCGTAATCTTTCGACGGATTTTCGGTCGCATTTCGTGTTGAAGATGCATACTGTTCGAGACCATGTTGTTGAATTAGACGTTCGAGATCTGTTTTTTTGTAAGGAAAAGAAGAAAGTAAATTTATTTTAACGAGAAAATTAATTATGTGCGCACGTGTTCCATTGTCAAAGTCAATTGGCTGTTTAATGATAGCTTCGACGAGAGGTAATGCATTTTGAGATAATTTTGGCCAATTATCACGAATTGTTTGTTCAGATATGTATGTCACATAACGTGATTTTGTCAAATATCCAGATGGAAGAGAAAAATGTTTGTTTTCACTTCGCTGATGATTATGATTCGGTGAGTTAGCTAGAGAAAATCAAATGATTTGAGATTTTATCAATCGATGAGTGAAACATACATGCGTGCAAAGGACTGTTTCGATTAGCAATTGCATTGGTTTTATTCGAACAATTATTGACACATAAATCTTTAATTTGTTGAATTAACTAAGAAAAGAAAATTCTATTTGCTTTGCATTGTTTGCATAGAAACATACCTTTTGAACATCACGATCGTTTTGTGTTGATGGCGATTGTTCGATACGTTTTAAATATTGCTGGATAGTTGACGAGGGTACATTTTCGGAATTTTGAATTGTTGTTTGAAGTGTTAATAAATTGGCCATGAGATTCGCAGTTTGTCCATCGGAGAGAACAGATAGATTGTTTGGATCATACGACTGCGATGAGCCTAATGGAACTTGTCGGAGATTAGCAGCACTACTTTTATCATCATCGGGCATTGAACGTTTCGATTTTGTTGTTATTTGTTCAGGTAAACGTTTGATTGTCTCGTCGAGATTTTTCAATCGATCGTGAACATCTTTGATCAGATCTACAACGAAAGACCGTTGTCAAATATCAATGAAAAGATGATTCGATTCGAACCTAATCGTTTAGGAATGTCTCCCATAGCGGGTAGATTTTGATTGAGATGAGTCAACTGTTGATGAATGTCGTTCAAGAGTTTATCTGTTGTATGTTGCTTATCGAACTGTTCATCTAATTTCTTCAAAGTATGAATCAATTCTGGTGAAGGCTTTTTAGTTGGATCATCAATTTTCTTCGGTTGTATTTGATCGAGTTTTTCCGATATCTGTCGAACTTGTTGGTTGACATGATTCAATGGATCGAAAAGCTGATCGATTTTCTTGTTGAGTTCAATTGACTATGATTGAAGGAACGAATCAAGGAAAAGATTTAAGAACATAAGATTTACATCTTTAGACTGCATATTTTTCGTTGCCGTTTCCACCGGAGATCTTTGCTTTTGTGTGAATTCGTTTAATTTCGCAAGAAGATCATCGGATATTGTTTGTTGTTGATTTTTGATACTTGTTGCCATTTCATTGAGTTTATCAATCAAAGGATTTATAATTTCAACCGATTTTGGCGTCGTGTCAAAAGATTTCGACAAGCGTTGTTCGAGATTGTTCAATTTCTTGGTTTCATTTTGTTGTTGAGCTTGAGACTGTTCGATACCTAAATGAATTTCATTCGAAACAGGCAGAAATTCTCATCGAATAACAAACTATCTTTTAATGTTTTAATAATTTGAGAGAATGGATGAAGAGCTTTCTCAATCTCTTGCGATGTTTCCGGTCGTTTAGGCGATTCGACTAATGCTTGATTGTCTCGATCTTTCGACTGAGTTTGATGATCGAGATCTGGAACGAAGAGCAAGAACGAGATTTTTATTAAAAAGTCAACGGTATTCACACCTTCTTTGATCGTCTTGATCGATTGTGCTAGTGGATCAAGTTTCGCTGAGATTGTTTTAAGAATTTCTGTTTGAGATTGAGATTGACGAAGGTCGTCAAGTTTTCTCGGTAATTCACGAACGATTTCTATTATTGGCTGCTGTTGTTTTGACAAATTATCCACTGCTTGTTGAAGTGTTTGCGTATGTGTTTGAATCTCCTTGCCAATATCCGCTAAGTAAAGACAAATAGAACGTATTTGTATGTTTTTCATAGAATAACTCACGTTGTGAATCTGCTCGTTTTTTTGTTTCGTGTTCTTTTTCGAGATTTTGACCTAAATGATTCAATTTCGAGTCAATGTTCTTGATTAAATCTTGTTGTTTTGTTAAATCGTTTAATTTTTGTACAATTGGCTGAAATGATTTATCCAGTTCTCGATTGAGATTATCCGAATCCTTCTGTTGCTGTTGTTTTAATTTCTCTAAGGTCGGTGCTAGTCGTTTGATTTCATCGAGCAATAATGTTTGCTCTTGTTTACGTTTATGATCATCCGATGAAGAAAGTTTCGTCTGAATATCTGCTAATTTCTGTGCGATCTCACCTATTTAAAGATAAAAAGAAAAGGAAACTGAATCAGTATTCGAAATCCTCGACTGACTTGCGACACGCGGATCAGATAAATTAGATAGTGCAGGTATTATTCCGTTCATACATAGCGGTGTCCGACTCGGACTATTATTATCTGTCGTTAGACTTGGCGAGCCTGATGTACAAAATAAAGTCTTTCATAACGAGGGAATTGAGATGATTTTAATCTTAACTACGTCTTACCTAATTTTTCTCCTCCATCCTTTTTGCTTTGTAGTTCGCTCTTTTGTTGTTCGAGAAATTTGGCATTAAGAAATTCTTTCATTGGTTCCATGATGTAGTTTGGTTGATGTTTGATCTGATGATCGATGTCATCTAATTTCTTCATGACTTCTGGATGAGGTTTAGCCGTTTCAGCGTGCATTGCCTTGACACGATCGTTGATTTTCATTAAGGTTTCGCTTGTGTGCGGTGAAGCTTTATGAACTGGATCAATTTTGGTTTGAATATCTTTCATCATGGCTAAATGTTCCGGTTGAGACTCTTTTAGTTTTTGATCGATGGCGTCGATCTTCCGTGCGAGAATATCCGGTTTAGTTTTTTCTTTTTCGAACGATGATTGAAGTGTTTGAACAACATCCAGAATAGGTTTGAAATCATTCTTGGTCGGAATTTGTTCTTTCAAATTCTGCAAATCTGTTGAGTGCCGTTTTCGTTCTTCGTCGTGCGATGTTCCTAAACAACAAGTCGAAATTTTCTTCAATATAAAGCTCCGTCTTACCCAAATTATCCAATTTATGGAGAATTTTATCGATTAGATCTTTAGATACTCCATTCGTTTTCTGGAATTGATATAAATCTTGTTTAATTTCATCGAATTTTTTATTCAAGTCCGCATGTAATTTCTGATTGACTTTTTGTAATTGTTCATCGATTGGTTTTGATTGCTGGACTGCTAATTGATCAAGTTCGGCTTTGAAATGATTGAAACGTTCTAATAGTTCTTTGAGAATTTTCTCTTGGCCGACACTTTCAATTTTAATCACACATGACTCGCCTTCTTTGTCAACATGAATTTGACAATCATCGCGTGTTTTATTTCCACGATCTTTCGATGATGAAGATGTCATGAACAGAATATAATTGCCAAAATAAAATATCTCAGATCAACGAACGAAATGTAAATGTTTTGCAAACAAAAATACAAAACAGCGCCTTACAATCAAAAATATTTATTCATACTCCTAAAGAATATGTCAGTGGAAACTAGACAAAGATATCGTTGCTGGATTACACACATTCATCATAATCGATGCAATAGTGGTGACATTATGAATGTATCGAAATCTTGAACTATCCCGATGAAATTAGTAGGATAATGTTTGTAGGTGTGTGTGATGATAGTTTGCATGATAGGGTTGAGAAAAAGAACTTTGGCATAGTTATGTCAACTATGCACGACATCTTTGATACGTAAACGATGCTTAATGGAAGAACCAGCCAATGGATGGAAATGGATTTTGACAGTATACGAATTATAAATGAGAAAGCATTTGTGTTTTTAGTACATTTATTATGTTTTTCTCTTCCTGCGAAAGTTTGACGTAGGGCGTAACAGTTCACATTTTATCGTACTATAAATCTATTTCTCATTTAACAGCATAATTTGCGTTAAGATCGAAGCCATACATTATTTATTCACATGATTGTTTCTGTAGGGGGAAAGTAATAGAATTAATCTGGTTTATTTTTAGAAATAAGATTAAAGTAAATCATGAATCTAATGAACTTCGGTCGTGAACAATTGGACAGTGGGATGTTGAATAATATGTTAAAACAAGTGGGCATTAATGATGTGGGACAATTTGTGGATCAATTTCGTGGTAAAGTCAACCAAGAAGCTGCCTCAGCACAACAATCTAACACAGCGAGTTCTCAACAGCCTGATTTTATGTCGATGGGATCATCATTTCTCAATCAAGTATGCTTGATACGCAAAGATTTGTGTCATTTACATATATTAACGTGTTATTTGCTTAGCTCGGTGGCGGAAGTAACAAAGGAAAGGGTAATAGCAATGCTGGTGATTTAATCGGTGGTGCCATGAATGCTTATAAGATGTTCTCTGGTGGCAAAGGCGGCAGTAGCGGAGAAGGACAGAGTGGTAATTCTGCTGACATGGTTAACAATGCGATGAAAGTTTATAAGATGTTCTCGGGCGACAAAGGAGCAGGTACAAGCGGCAGTGGCGCTACAGGTGGAGGTGGTAGCATCTTTGAATCTATTGGTATGTACTTCGTTCGTTCTGTTCCGATTATAAATAGACTCTTTTTACTTAGGCGGGGCATATCAGAATATTCAACAAGTTCAAGGTTTACTTAAAAAATTAGATCGTAACGGTGATGGTAAAATTACCATCGACGATATTCAACTTATCCTTCAGGGATTAGGTTTGGGTTCAGTTTCCACAAGTAAATTATTGTTTTGATGTATTTGTACATCTAAGTATCATGTTTGAACTGATTTAGATGTATCTAAAGCCTTGTTCAAAGCCGTTGATCGTAATGGAAATGGTGAGCTTGATATAACCGATGTGATGGCATTGGCCGCGATTGTCAGCAAACTTCAAACTCGATTTGGATCAGGTGCAACTTCACAAGCTCAAACTGTTCCACAAAATTGAAAAAGTAGAGAAAACTTATTTCATTTTGTTTAGTTAGTGTAGCGATCTAGTCGGTTTTCAAATCTCTTGTACTAAAAGTCGTTTGTGAAGTATCATCATCTATTAGTACTATTTCATCTATTTTCAAATAAACAGGCAGTTACGAATAACCGGATTTTATTTAAAAGAAGGAAGAAAATCGTGTTTATCCAATGAAGATAAGAGGAAATTGTGGTACTGTTGATTATTCATCAACGTTCGCAGATCCAAATATAAGTGCCTTTTGATATGCATTAAATTTGTCTAATGACAGTTTAGGTAGACCTGTGTTGATACCACCTGGAAAGAAAACGATCTAATTTTTATGAAAGATCTATACTTTGAAGAACTTTACCTCCAAGACAGAGTTCTGTGCTCCAATGTGTTAATGTGCAATTATTTTCTACCATTTGTTTTCGTTTCTCGCGAAATTCCTCGAGTGTTTGACTTTGTACGAATGAGCTTGGACTCATACAAACATAAGCCACAACACGTAGAAGATCGACAGATTCATTTGGATCTCGTTTTTCAATATTAACTGCTGGCGAATTACAATGCACCGTGCGACTATCCCATAGAATAAGATCACCAGCTTGACAGTGAACTAATTTACCAAGAGTTTGACCCTGATTCATAATAGGATGTGTATCAGGAACTTTAGCGAAATCTTCCGTGTTTTTAACAGTATCTGCTAGTTCATGAAACCTTAAATATGTTTTCGGATAGACAATTAAGCCACCTGTTGTTTCATTTTGATCTGTTAACGAAATCAAACCTTGAATACAACAACGATCAGGTTTAACTTTCGGATTTTGATCAACATGATTCCAACCACCTTGAGTTTTCCAACTAGAATCATAACGCCAATCACGAAATATACCACAACCATCAAACGAAACAAGTAATTGTGGATCGTTCCAGATCTGTGTAAAAACTTGTTTGATAAATGGATTTGATCGAATGTTCCAGAGAAAGTCCGATTGACCAATGCCATTTCCACTTACAACACCATGTGTACTGAAACTTGGCCTGAATGAAAGTAGATACGTACAAAAATTAGATTGATATCGATCATTTTCTTTACCAATTGTTTGACCAAGTCTGAGGATCGTGACGTTGAATTGTTCCATTGGAAACATTTTCAAGAAACTACCATAACAGATCTTTACTTTGATTGATTTCATCAGAATTCATAACATCACTTATAACAACATAGCCATTTTCATTCAAATAATCTAAGCCATCTTGCAATGTATCCTTGTTTGTTACTGAAAATCGTGGAGACGCTGTGGTATAATCGATTGTATTATTTGAAGCAAGCATATTGAATCAAAAGGGCAAGTAATGCCCCATATCTATAAATTTTTGCGTTCTTTTATAGTTTGTTCGATTGCTTGAATTTCGCAATACTTGAATACAACAAAGCAAACATTAGTCATATATACTTACATACGTAATGTTATTTGTCAAAAAGGGAAGTGTTATTCGTTAGGTAATTACACTTTTACAATTGTCGAAATCGACTACGCCGAATCATTTCTAGGTATTGACATTGTTGACACAGGTGTCAATCATCATTCTGTCCGATAAATAGGATTACACCAATTCTTTTCTATAAGATAAAATCTCCCAATGAGAAACTAATCTTTAGTCATGAGAGATTCCAATGATCAAGATTTAAAATCATCTGAAGAAATGTTATATGATATCGTGATCTTTATCGATGAAATCATATTTCTTTATTTTTTAGCATTTTCCTAGTTTCATGTTTGTCACATAGTTTAAATCACCTTGATTATTTCAATATTGCGCATTAGTTTTACAAAAAAAAGATATTTTAATCATAATTTGTATCATGTTCAAGTTGGTAAGCCTTTTCCCCACAATGGTCTTGGTTCACTTTCAATAAAAACGAGCATTTGCTTGATATGTTCCACAATCGCGTCGCTAATTCTACGATGAATTTCATTATTTACATGAAGCATTGCCAAATTTCTCACGATACACAAGACGATTTGAATAAATTGAGCAAAACGAACTGCAGCTCTGCCATAGCCATATTGATATGTCAAATATTTCCATAACAATTCCACATAGACATTTTGACTACCTAGGAGACGAAAAGTTCCATACGATAAAGTATCCATATCCACATTTCGATCAGTATCAACATAACTTTCTGACGAGAAAGTGAGAATAATCAGAGCTATTTTGATGATTGTTTCATTGGAATCTAATTGTTCCATAACATTTTTGATCGCTGAGATGATATTCATTCCGTAGATAGCTTCAAATGCATTTAAATAATTCGCATGATTAAAAATACCGATTTGCCGGAAAACAAACGTGGAATAAAAGCCCATCACACCGTGTAAATTTCGGTTCAATAGTGAGATTTGTTCATTTTGCGTCAGAATTCGAAAGTCAGGCAGTGAACTAATAAACAAGATCACTGACTCGCATATCTGATTGAGCATATCCATAGGATCGATGATATCTTTCTTAGTCTCATCAATTGATTCGGATGAATTATTGAGTATTTGTTTAATATGTGAAATTGTATTGCATGCGTCGTATGCATGTACTATATTCGACAATAACGTCCATTGAGAATCAGAAAGAATCGTTCGATCTTGAGACTGGAAACTAGTTATAACTATTCGTGATATTGTCTAAATAGAACGATAATTATCGGATGACTATGTAGGATATTATGATACGAACTGTGATTTGAGTATTCTTAGTTGACGATAAACGTTTGGAACTTTTCAAATCTTCTTTTCGGATCAGATCCGATGTCATACCCACAGCAAAGCATTTAGAGAGGCGACAATACGTACAACTATGCCGTGTTTTCATGTTTATTTCACATTTATTGACCAGTGTACATGGGCGCACGGTCTGTTAATTAGTCAATGAAAAGTTTGAGTAAAATTATCAGTGAACACAAACCTCTGGTCGAAAACCATTACGTCGAAAGAAGGTTTTGCACGATTGACATGATAATGCGCCGTAATTGTTAAAGCGTGCTCTGTCACCGCAGATAAGACATAAACTGAAGTTTGATGGATTGTTTGGTGGCATTTGAGCAGAATCACTCGGAGCTTGCTGTGGAGAAATAAACAAGTGTTCTTTCGCCGGCATTTAATGATTTACTTCAGAGAAAGATTCTAAAATAAAAAGAATGAATCAAATAGACTGAACTTTGTGTTTTGTATAGAAGTTCCACTGACTGCTCGAATGGAAACAGTTAATATCAGTCAGTCGAACATCATCATGTAGAAAAGAAAAGGCGAAGACTATTTTTCGCCATATTTGTCTTACTTTTATCTTACTACAAGTATTATCATTAGACTTGTACAGTTAACAGACGGGCTAGAATAGGGACTTTTCGAAAAGATCAGTTAGGTGCACTATGGTCAAATATCATTCTTTTAATTTGGAAAATGATTCGGGTGATTAAACGCTAATAGATTCATAAATGATGACTAAAATTCAAATTTCTTATGAAGATGATGCTACACGGAGAGAAAATTCTGCAACTTGGAAAAAGTTCTCGGAAGTCTGGTTGTTTCATCTCGAGATGAGATCATCATTGGTTTTTTACGATTGTTAATCTTTGGAAATGTTTTTTTCACCTGTAAGATTTTACGCATGCGATTTATTTACTGAGTTTGAAGATGTTCAAGAAATTCTCGCCCATTCAATAAACAATACCGTGTGAAAATCAGTATCGCATGAATCTGATGGCCTACCGTAAGATATTGTTTGATTATAGCCAGATTTTCTTACTTTTCTACCGAGTCACATATAAATATTGCTTGAGATAGGAGTACATTTGCTTTTCTTCCAGTTTTCTTTCGTTCTTTATTTAAAAGTGCACTTTTCTGCGTATTTTCTATTTTTCTCTTTCGTTCTCAGCGAAGAACGTTGAAGACACATTTTTGCGTTCTGTGCTTTTGCTGATCAATGACGACTGTAGACCATAATGTACTAGAACTCACTCGATTGTTCTTGACATCGAACAATCAGACGAAATTACATACTGAGGATCCATGCATACACTCATGATTAATTATATTTTATTAGATTATGTTTGTCATGATTCAAATTGTGCATCGTATTATCGATAAATCGTCCTTTCATAATTTAAAAAAAAACGTGTGTGCTTCCTTTGATAAAACACTCAATTAAATGAGATACAAACGAATTCCTGTTAATTCTAAAATCAATATAGAACATTCTACTTGCGTCTATTCTAGAATTATCTTGATAGATATAGAATATGGATTAGTGTCGTCATCTCGAGTCAACTTTACAGAATATCTAATGATGTCGTTTTGAATATCTGGCACATTACGTCCTATATGTACACACACATTGTGGAGGACATGGTCTATGTCTTTTTCTTTCCCTTCACGACATTTCCGTTGTTTTCCATATGTCCTTATTCTAACAAAAATTGTTAACTCATACATGGCGCTACCGTTTTCCAGAATAACTGAATATATTCATTATAAATATTTGCCATTCAAAACAAACATGATTTGTGGTAAAAGTACTTCAATTATTGTTTCTAAATGGCAATACAGACAAGTGTTTTTTTTATTAAACTAATTCGTTGTTTGAAAACTACCTGTGCGTGTGACCATTCATCTCTACTCCCATCTCAAGTAATTTTTGTCCACAACTTATTCTTTAGCGAGGAATATAGAGAGTTCTGAATGGTGGCCCTATAGAACAGAAGACTGCCATTTAGAGATCAGCAGTAACTGGTTCGTTGGGAAAGTTTCTCGATGTTTGAATGAGATTTTAGTAGCAATCGATTTTAAAATGAAATATTGACATTTCGATATATTCAATCCTTTAATTGTCAATAATGAATTAAATCCATCAATAAATACGATAAAGCTATGAAAATTAAAGAGAAGAAGTTCGTTTTCTTTTTCTTATTATTAGTCCATTCGTAGACGAAAGCCTAACGATGATTTACATCGTACTTCTCATCAGTCTTTTCATACAACTCGTTTCTCTCCAGACTTGTTCCAATCTCGAAAGAGGTATCGATCGTCCGGGACAATGGTACGTTCACGTATTGTCCATAACATCACCAGGAGCATGTTGTGCCCTATGTGACAATGAAAAACAATGCCAATCATGGACCTTTTTCAGTACCTCATCGATACTAACAGCTGGTTGTTATTTAAAAGCCTTTGTTCCACCAATGAATGAAAATTCGAATTGTGGACAAACGTGTGCAAGTGGGGTCAAAAATTCAACATTAGTACTTCAAGGTCCATGTGCATTTCCTGGTGGAACATACGAATTAGCTGTCGATCGACCAGGCTCGACGTACATTAACTTGACAAGTATTCGAACGCATCCAAAATGTTGTGCTATGTGTCAAATGGAAGGGATTAAATGTCAATCATGGACATTTGTACGAGATGGTGCACTGAACAGGGCTGGCGGATGTTTTTTAAAAACACAAGTTGCACCGATTAGTAACACGCCGTGTGTACCATGCACATCAGGAAAAAAATAAGGATTAATTGAAAAAATTCAATAAGGATAATAAAGAGAAACGTAATCATATACTTTACTTGTTTTTTTTGTAATTGACAATAACAATGATCTAAACGAAACTCGTGATCATCGAGGACGAGACCTTTTTTTTGTTAAAATGTTATATCTAAATCCTTTCTATAATCCTTAAAAGAATCTGTCGAGTTTTCAACAGGTATCATTTGAATAATGTTATACTCAATCATCGTTCTTTTCTTATTTTTCAATGGGCATACCGATGCTGAACAACTTCTTGGCGCTCATATAGTAAATTATGCAGAAAACTCTATTTGACTTACGTTCATTTTTTCAATGATATAGATCTTTCGTCATGGCGAACGATCACCAAGTCAACTCTATTCAACAGATACAAATCTGCCATCTTTTTGGTTGAATGGTCTTGGTCAACTAACTGTTCGAGGTCGATTGCAACAGATCTCACTTGGACAATATGTTCGAGAACGTTATTCAAATCTAATCAATTCGACTTATATTTCGTCAGAAGTAAAACGATTGACGATTATTTCTTGATTATCAACAATCACAAACAATATTTTAGATCACAGTTCGAAGTTCGGATTATGATCGAACACTGATGTCTGCTTATTGTAATCTTGTTGGTCTTTATCCATCATCAGAAAAGGTAAAATTATCGGAAGATTTATTTGCGAATAACAAATGGCCTGAAATGATACCTTGGCAGCCAGTTCCTGTACATACAGTGCCGAAATCGATTGATCATGTTAGTTGAATTCTTCTTCAAAAGCAAAATCAAATATCTATACGATTGATATTTAGTTAATGGGTGTAAGTTCATGCGATCGTTATGAAGAATTAGTAGATAACATGAGAAACAGTCCACGAATTCGAAATCTTACGAATGAACTCCGAGTAAATAAGACAAAAAAGTTTCTTTGATCACTAATACTCATTTTTGCATTAAAGGACTTAATTAGTTACCTTGAAATACATACAAATCAATCTATTGATGATATTTTCATTGCGTGGGATGTTGCCGATACAGTTCTCATTGAAGTATTCGCATATTCATTTTCTATCTATTCGTAATTTCTTCAATGATCTTTTACACAGGCTATTTATGATATTGCTCCATCATGGGCGACTCCATCAATTCTACGACAACTTCGTCATCTATCCAATTTGTGCTTTTACCATCTTTTCTATTTACCAGAAATAAGTCGTTTACGTGGAGGTATGCACATTTTCCAAGTTTTTCTTTTGCTGTACTCACGAAAAACATTTCTCATAGGACCATTGTTACGAGATATTCTAACCAATATGAATTATCTTACCTCAAACAATGTCAATGGAAGAAAAACAAAGATTTATTCCGGAGTATATTGAAATTCTCATCTAAACGATAAATCAGATATTTATTTTATTGTCTTTAGCATGATACATCGATTGCTCCTGTTCTTGCTTATCTTGGTGTGAATTACATTCATCAACCACCATTTGCAAGTGCTTTATTTTTTGATCTTTATCAACAAGGTTTGATTACTGAGTGAATGAACCGTGTTGATTGACTGTCTTTTCAGATGATCGATCTTATGCGATACAACTCCAATATTTGAATACAACAAATAGTGAAAATCCTCATACAATTCATATACCTGGTAGAGCTTCTCATTGTTCTCTTGCTTTTCTTTGCAATTAGAACGAGTATTCGTTTTAGGATGTCCAAGTACGATGTGCCCTTTGAATACGTTTCTCCGATTGTATGAGAAGGGATTACCAGAGAATATGGAGAAAGAATGTCGATCGAATCGAATTAAACGTAACAGTTGAATCAAAGCTAAAGTTATCAGTTTTGAAAGGTATATTCTTTATTTTAGGGACATATCCACGAATCCATCATGTGTCGTTTTCAGAAGAATAATTGCGATCTATTCTGGTTCTTTAAATAAACAAATGAAACTAAACTCTTTTCCATAAATGAATAAAATAATCACTTATAAAAATTGATTTGACTTTCTGATAATTATGAATTATAAAGAAGAAACGAACAGTTGCATTTCTTTTGTTTCTTTCGAATAAAAATGCAAAAAATATTTGTTTTTATACTAAATACTTTTTATTTTTCAACGAAAAATAACAACTTGACAAAACGGATAATTATTATTCAAACCAAGCTAATACAATGAATCTATCAAAGAACAAACATCATTAAGATTTCTAGTCGACAATATGTTGTTTCTTTTGATTCTGTCATTACATCTCTGTGAGATACTTCGAAGGCGCTTCTTTCGAATTCTGTGGGCGAAGTCATTATCATTTTGCTGTCGGAAGAACACAATATCATTAAGATAACTTGCTCGGAGCAAGAATCAAAACCCTTCGAACTATAATTAATATTGCTCAACATGACAAAGAGCTGTAACTTTTATTCTTAGAAAATATAACTCATAATCTTCAATATGCATTCTTTGATCTTTTAATCAAAAAATTTCCAGAAGCCTCTCATATTGGTTTAGTATGCCAACTCTGAAAAGTTTATTTTAGGAACATTCTCTCGGTACTTGACATCATATGATACTCATTTCGGAGAAAAAAACAACCAGAGCTCGATATTTCCCGCTAAGATGATCATGTTTTTTTCATCAAAAGCGTTCTCCATAGTGCATATCAAAGATTTCCACCGCAATAGATTGTAAAGAAACATTTTTCATAATCTTCTCTTTAAAACGAATATAAACTAAGCTAGAAAGTTTCATCACGCAATGATTTCTCCAAATAGGTACTCACATTGTTCTTTCTTTTCTCTTCGATTTCTTTATATCTGAAATATTTGATGACAATAACGTACATTTTGTTACTGCTTCCTTTTCCGATGATGTAACTATGTGAAAAGTATCAGATGACTTTTTACAGAGTATTTTCTTTTATTTTTAACTTTCCGCATATAAAAACCAGTTTGTTTTATCTCGATCATTCGCATATGGATTAGAAAGTAAGTGAACCAATGGCAGAAATATGAAATTGGAGGTGTGTACGTAGAGAAAAACAATGAATTGACATATATTGTGCAACATTGTCTTTATCTTATATATTTGAATTACTGTGTTTTGATAAGGACTACAGATGAATAATGTCATCGTGATTTTGTTTTCTTTTACTTTAATTTCTATAGGAAAATTGCAAGTACTACCTGTACTTCCTGTTGTCAAGAAATTTTTCGAGATTATTTTGTTTGTAAAAGTTTGCTGGATTCTCATTTATTCTTATCATTGTTAAGTTTAAAATACCGTTTTCAAGAGTTTTTTTTTATAAATGATAAATGAACCGATTTATTTGTCATAAACCAATAAATCTGCGTTCAGTCGTCATTCATAAACACTTTTTCCAACTAAAATAAAGTCACTTAAATGTAGCTTTTAGAAACATTTATAAATCAGGTCCTTTTAAACTCAACCGTGATTCGTATGCATAGGAAATGTGAAATAATTGCTTTTTGAAATGGAAAATTTCACGAAGATCGTAAAGAATAGTCTCTCTCTCGACTTCCTAAAACCGAATATCATCATTTTCTAATTTCTTTGCATAAAGATATTTTTTCTCTGTTCTGAAATATGTTTGAATATTTATAATCGAGAATGATGTAAGAGATCTTTTATATATAATTAACTATTTCCTCATTTCAACCAGAATATTCATCCCTAGATAGAATTTCTTTACAGATGAATACTATTTTGCCGTTGTTTTGAGGAGGAAATATTCTATAGACACGAAATAAGCTGTCAAATCATTATCCAGAATATTGGATTGCTGATTTTAACTTGACATATAATAAAGAATCCTATTCGATAAATCGCATATTTTTCTTAGTTAGATTATTTGAAAATTTCTCGTGTGTTTTCTATTCGATAGATGATGAGCATAAAGTTCTATTCTGTCAAAACCAATTTATCTTCTGAATGACATATAACATTCAGTAGGTCAGTAGGTAAATATATTTGATTCAAATGAATCATTACAGATGAAGTGTTATAGGTGAAATTTTTACCAATAAGTACTGTTTGTTTCTCATCTCTTCTAATTTGTCTTTTTTTTTATACTAATTGGTACTCTTCGAAAACACTAAAAACAAACTTCTCGTTTTTTGTTAGATATGTTATTTTATCTATATATGGAGAAACAAAAATGTAAACACAAATCATTGCGTCTGCTCTAGTAGAAAAATTTCCACACACATCAGTACCTGATTAAGGGTGTATTATGTATTCTAAAGAGTAATTTAAATTACATTCAAAGTTTTTTCAATGTGTTAACCTGTGTACTTCCGCTATACAGAGAACATACGATACATTTGATAAACTCAAGTGTAATTACAAAGACAAAAGAGGAAGACAGACTGTGAGTTACTTATGCTTCGATTTTTTTTTCTCCAAAAACGACAGTTTCTTTTGTTATGTCGTTTCATTCGATGCTAATGCACCATAAATTTATGGTTGAATGGCAATATATAAAGATACAACCGGCAACATCGTGTCAAAAAGCTCTTTTTTTTCATCTTTGGTATACTTCTATCTTCGTTAAGGCAAAAGATTTTGTTCGTTTCGATTGAATTTTTTTGACATTAATAAGAGAGAAAACTCAATTCTCATCAATTGAGTCCTTCTACTTCTTTTCCTTTTTCTTATGCATTATAAATAATTCTCTGAGTGACAGTAATGCATTTTTAATTACCTTTTCAATGAAAATCTGAGCGTGATAACCTTTTAAACAAAAGATTTCTCCAAACTTAAAAATGACAACACAGCAATACTCTCTGAAACGTGTTCATTATTTAATTCTTTTTCTTTACTTAACATAAAATACATATGGATAGTTTCTTACACTATTTTATGTATTTTCGTCATTGTGTATACAGTCTCTTTATACTTTAGATTCTCAAACAATGGATTCCAATATGACCTTATGTGTTCGTACTCTGTTCCACGAAATCAAGCCCACAGAATGTCTACTAGGTCGAATTTGTGCACTAGCCATAGTATTAGTGTCTATATTTGCCATCTTTTTCAACATTCGTTTTCTTCATTGGTCATCTTATCATCGAAATGTTCGATCTCGACAGTATTCCTTAATTATTTCTATGATTATTTCTTCAATTTCTGTTGTTCTTGTCATTTCGCCATCAATCTTTTCCCAGTGTTTCTATTGTTATCGTTGGTGTTCCGAATTCTATTGTCTTTTCGAAGGTTTCGTTAACTATCTCAATGGTTGTGTCAACATGTTCATGTTGATGATGATTTCTCTTATCCGTTATTCATCAGTCATTCATACAAATATTCGACAACGATATTTCGAACAACATTCTTGTTTGACAGTGATCAGCTGTTGGTTGTGTGGACTTCTGTTTGCCGTACCACCATTATTTCATTGGAATGAATATGTACCTGAAGGTGTTGGTTTCCATTGTGGACTTAATTGGTTCGATCGATCGACAAAATCTCGTGTTTATTTCGTTTTAACATTCGCTTTTGTTTATTTCATTCCATTGTTAATTCTACTGATCGTGAATATTTATGTTTATTGTGTTATTCGACGTTTAATTCGAGGTGAAACACGAGTAACTCAGTCAAACGCGCATCTAACAGATCAACCACACCGATCAACATCATGCACTACGACATCGACTCGGAGTAGTTCAACAAATACAGATAAATCTGATCGTATTCGCTCGATGAACTCACTAAGTGGACATCCAAGCCTGATTCCACGTCGAACACTTGATATCATTCAATCCTATCATCGATTATCACGATTGAATCGATTACGAGCTGATCGTCGCTTCGCATTAGCAACAACATTTCTCATTAGTGAATATGTGCTTAGTTGGACACCCTATGCTATTGTTGCACTTATCTATCTCTTTGATATCGATTTGATTAGTCAACATTCGATTACTATGACAATATGTGCATTCATAGCCAAGATTTCAATGATTCTCAATCCATTTCTTTATATCGCCACGACCAAGAAGAGTCAATTGGGAACAATCTTACTGTGTAAAACTTGTTCATGTTCATACTGTCGACTAAAGAAGAACATCATTGCTTTGTAATCGTTTACTTTTGTTTGTGTTTGACAATAAAAAGAAAGAAGTTTTATGGAACACAAAGGAATATACTTTGGTGTCAAACTGTTCATGTGAGTGAAATGAAATGATAATATTGTGAAAGTGTCCTGTTTTATTAATAGTGCAAGTGATGTCGACGTGTTTTCTCCTGATTCATGGTTATTTTGACGTAGAAAAGATTTAGATATAATAGCTCATGATGACTTGGGTGAGATTTAGATGAATGAAATTAACTAACTAACTCTCGTGTTGAGATAAGCGGATTTGTCAAACTAAAACAAAATAGGTACTTTTCGCTCAGATTTAGAAACATATGAGTGAATGTGATAAAGAAGGAATAATGCTGCTTTAAGTTTCATATTTCGGCTGGGAGAAAAACATTCTATAAAGGAAGGTTCATTCAGCTTGTTGTTTCCAAAAACGCGGATCTTATTTTATCAGATGGTTAAAATGACGAACACGGTGGTTAGAAGGAAAAACATGTTGAGACAGACATCGACCACCTTCAACTATCATCCGTCATATATTAAAAACCTATTGAGATGAAGAGAAAAAAGTTCTATTGGTACTCACCTGTGATAAAGTTGACAGTCTGACGGAACTACTGAATTATACCTTGTCAATCGTACCTATTGAACCTGAACTGAACCATTAGATTCAACGAGGTAAAGACATAATTATGGTGATTTGTTTTAAGAAAGAAATAAATTATGTGTGTGATTGATAAACATTTATATTGCAGTCTGTTTTAACAAAAATAATCGATCGTCAATGGGTGAAAAGAACAGATTGATGTCTTTTCTATTTATCGCGTACAATCGATCTATTGTAGTAGTTTGTACATCATAGAAATAATAGCATTGGATTGATGTTTTGAAAAGTGAAGCCAGTAATCGTTATGCATCCAACTTAGTTCATAAATGTAAATTATATTCATAGATAATTTTTATGTTTTTTCTTGATGAACACACGAATCTCCTCTCAAGAAATATTATTTTATTTCATTGATTGATATTTGTGAACTAGTTACAAAACATATAATGCTACTTTTTGAATCTGATTAGAAATCATATCTACTGGAGAACGCGCTAACAAGTGTTGATAGAGTGTCATTCATATTTTCAAGAGAATCATTTTGAGTAGCTACTATTTGTGGATTTGAATGAATACATACCGAACAAGTGATACTGTATACTGGTATAATAAATTATCATTTCTCTGTCATTTGGTAAAAAGAATTTTCAACAGAAGATATTTTTGAATTACATATTTCACGAACTGTTTATCGGGATTCATTTACAACAGAGATAATTCAATGATTGAATTGTAAATTCGAAATAAAGAAAGAATTCAAAGCGAAGCGGTCCTGTACCATTTGTATAGGAATGTTCTTTATCTTAGCTTTATTTAGACTGAACACTGGATGATCTGATAGGAGTGAAGAGCACAGTGAACCGATTTGAATATATAACGATCGAAAATTCAAAACTATACATTAATATTGCGAATGTGTATTAACAAGGTAAAGAAATCTAAAAATTTGTCATCCTTACAAGTGTTCATCAGCATTCAAAATCCCAGTGAGAATGGTTAAGGTTCAACCTCTTACCACTGATGAAGTATTCAAAAGTTCTGTTACAATGCTAGAAGAAAGTCGTTCTTGGAATCACAAATTCAAGAATTGATAGGAAAATTAAACCTACAAAACAACATAAATTCACTATATCAACGAATTGGTCGACAAGTCGCTCACAGATATCTAATTATACAACCTGAAGATCAGGAAAATAGCAGACAAATTGTAAGAGTAACAATCAGCTTCTAATTCTGATGACAAAGCAAATGTATATATCGTACAAGAATAATAAAATAGTATTAATTTCCCAGTCATATGAAAATAGAGACAAATACATTAGAGCGCAATTATTGGTCTGTTATATATCGATTTATCCTATCATTTATAAATTTTTAAATTATTGTTTCTCTTTTCCCATAGTTTAATGTTGATCTAACTTCATATTTATTATTTATTTATTCTCTATTATTTTTTGCCAAATATATGTAGAGTTATCTCTAGCGATTTACTCCAGTTAGTTATATTGTATATACTCATCGTATTAGCTGCATTAAAAGCATGGAAGACAGTGATTGGATTATCGCTCTTACGCTCTATTATGACAGTAGGAGGACATGCAAAATATCATTGACTTTCGACGTGGAAAAGTTTTATTAGTTCATACTCCTTTTGTCCTCTAGCAATAAGATTTCGTATATTAGTATATTTCCTCTGTAGTTTCTTACAAATATCATCTCACAAGTATGTTATAAAGCTGTGTCAAACTATCGATGGTGTACATCGCTCACTTTCTACGCTTCCTAAACATACCATATTACTCTCTATTGCTTCCATCCGAAGCTTTTTTTATCGTACCATTTGAACTCTCACACTATGAACCATTGCCATTACAAGATCATAAGAACTAGCTAGGAAGAGAGTGCTTTCAAACAGAAATTCTTTGACAAAGGATGAAAGTAATTTGTTTTTATTGCATAGATGTTCTAGTTGATCGTTCTTTTAATGACAACGTATCATTTTGTCGACATCGAGGATCTATTATAATGACAACACAAAGTCTCGCATTAGATATCTTTCAACTGAAACGTACAATATTAACGCAATAAAATGCTTTTTCTCATCTTCATTCCATTGAAAACACATCGCTATATTTCCAAACAAGAAAACCTTTAATTATCATCAACTATCTCAGCGTCAGCTTCTTTTTCTTCGTTGAATGCATCATAGATAATTCTTTGAAAAGCCAGTAATACTTTTCTAATTACAATACATTCAAAGACTCCAATCCGATGAGCTATAGAGAGAAGATATGTCTAAGTACAAAATAAAAATGGCGGAAGGAAATCTATCGAGAGAGACGTGTCTCTCATTCTCTCTCCTTCCTTTATTCACATATATATACGCACCAGTTCTCTGTTTTTTCTCTCACGCTATATTATTCATATGTAGTTGATATATTTACTCTTTTCATATTCAACACCGATGCCCACAAGATGAATTCGAACCTAACATTATGTGTTGGTGCTCTGTTCCACGAAATCAAGCCCACAGAATGTCTACTAGGTCGAATTTGTGCACTAGCCATAGTATTAGTGTCTATATTTGCCATCTTTTTCAACATTCGTTTTCTTCATTGGTCATCTTATCATCGAAATGTTCGATCTCGACAGTATTCCTTAATTATTTCTATGATTATTTCTTCAATTTCTGTTGTTCTTGTCATTTCGCCATCAATCTTTTCCCAGTGTTTCTATTGTTATCGTTGGTGTTCCGAATTCTATTGTCTTTTCGAAGGTTTCGTTAACTATCTCAATGGTTGTGTCAACATGTTCATGTTGATGATGATTTCTCTTATCCGTTATTCATCAGTCATTCATACAAATATTCGACAACGATATTTCGAACAACATTCTTGTTTGACAGTGATCAGCTGTTGGTTGTGTGGACTTCTGTTTGCCGTACCACCATTATTTCATTGGAATGAATATGTACCTGAAGGTGTTGGTTTCCATTGTGGACTTAATTGGTTCGATCGATCGACAAAATCTCGTGTTTATTTCGTTTTAACATTCGCTTTTGTTTATTTCATTCCATTGTTAATTCTACTGATCGTGAATATTTATGTTTATTGTGTTATTCGACGTTTAATTCGAGGTGAAACACGAGTAACTCAGTCAAACGCGCATCTAACAGATCAACCACACCGATCAACATCATGCACTACGACATCGACTCGGAGTAGTTCAACAAATACAGATAAATCTGATCGTATTCGCTCGATGAACTCACTAAGTGGACATCCAAGCCTGATTCCACGTCGAACACTTGATATCATTCAATCCTATCATCGATTATCACGATTGAATCGATTACGAGCTGATCGTCGCTTCGCATTAGCAACAACATTTCTCATTAGTGAATATGTGCTTAGTTGGACACCCTATGCTATTGTTGCACTTATCTATCTCTTTGATATCGATTTGATTAGTCAACATTCGATTACTATGACAATATGTGCATTCATAGCCAAGATTTCAATGATTCTCAATCCATTTCTTTATATCGCCACGACCAAGAAGAGTCAATTGGGAACAATCTTACTGTGTAAAACTTGTTCATGTTCATACTGTCGACTAAAGAAGAACATCATTGCTTTGTAATCGTTTACTTTTGTTTGTGTTTGACAATAAAAAGAAAGAAGTTTTATGGAACACAAAGGAATATACTTTGGTGTCAAACTGTTCATGTGAGTGAAATGAAATGATAATATTGTGAAAGTGTCCTGTTTTATTAATAGTGCAAGTGATGTCGACGTGTTTTCTCCTGATTCATGGTTATTTTGACGTAGAAAAGATTTAGATATAATAGCTCATGATGACTTGGGTGAGATTTAGATGAATGAAATTAACTAACTAACTCTCGTGTTGAGATAAGCGGATTTGTCAAACTGAAACAAAATAGGTACTTTTATATAAACTTGCTCTGAGAGAACATCGGAGAAAGACTTTCATTGAGTTTGGGATTTCCAAAAATGCAGATGTTCCTTTGGCAAATATATTGAATCACCAAGACAGATAGTCCCTGATGTGATCTTTGAGTCATCGATTTGCCCTAAATAGGTACCGAATAATGCGTTAGTATCATAGATATTCGATTCCAGTCAATAGCCAAATACATCATATTCCTGGTTTTCTCAGTACGAACGAAATAAGCGAACAACCTTCACAATGTTTTCCAGGATTCTTAGTGTGGATTTTTGACATCTGTTTTCTGATCAACTATTGGTAAGAGACATCTTCAAGAGCAAGAAGAAAAGCATGAAAAGGAGAAATATTTAATTACTGAACAAGGAAAGAACCTTAAACACGGTGAAATCCATCTTTGTTTTAATCGATTTCAAGTTCTTTTCAATAATCCAACCAAATATGATGAAGTATTGGTTTCCAACAAAGTTTTCTTATTACTTCAGCTCAAGGTCGATGAAGATGTGATGCAATAATGTTGGGTCGAGAGTTATAAACTTCCATTTTCTTCTCTAATTTTGCGTTAAAATCAGTCCAATGATAGTAACGAACACAGTAGCATCATAACGTAGTCTATAGATTGATTCATCCCAGCAACTAGGAACGTTTTCAAGTGACTATTGCCCTAAAAAGAACGAAAACACGAACCAGTAGACTTGCATGCACTGCAATGATTTGTTTGGACAAACCTTGACTGAAATCGGCAGATCAGATATATTCACTGTGTGAACTGACAGACCATTTGTCACAAATGACGGCTGAATTATTGTCATACGAGGGTAAACGCGTTGAGACAAATATCGATTCTTTTCAACCACCATCTATCGAAGATGTGCTAAAGCAGATAGAAGAAAGACCAATTGATATTTACCTGTCACAGATTCGAGGATCTGAAGGAAGTATCAGACTATATCTTGACATCAGTGCTTGTTGAACTTCAACTCCAGCACAAGATTTAACGGAGTGAATTCGTAGTTCTTGAAGACTCATCGGGAAGAAGAGAGTGGATATCTAGAAAAAAATGTTTGATTTCAATATAATCTTTTTCATCTCAACGAATCGAATTCGAAATTTTCTATGACTTTCTTGACAATTCTATTCGTATAGATGACGTCGTTGGTAAGTATTTTTAAAACACAAATACTTGGTAATGAGCTCCGAGTAATAGAAGCTTCGATAATTTGATGAAAACTCATGTTGATATGTAAAAGTCATCTTCCAAAATGTCTAATTAGCTTCCTAGAGAGAAATATTAATAAATCAGTTAAAGAAGGTGTCATTTCAAACGTATTCCTTTATAATGGAGATGAGCACATCACTGACAGGTGTTTTTTTCTCTAAATCACAATAAGGAAGCTAATTTGACATCATAGACCATAACTCAATCTCATGTTATACTGTAATTTTCACATCTCTCACATAGTGCTTCAAGGACGTAAGTACAAAAAAATTATGTTTCTTCTCTTTTCCTATGGTAAGCATTTATCCCATAACTAATTGGATTTGAATAACAAACGAACGTAGTTTATTGACGATACGCCTTTCCTTTTCGTACGCGTTATCACAAAGCCAATTTATTGATGACATCATCACAGGTGGATGAGTAAACTAATAGAATGAATGCACTACAATATAAGTGCATTTAAATAGAAGGAATGGGGCATGTGCTTTTGATCCATTCGTTCGTTCATGCATGTTGATCAATGTTGAAAACGAGTATATCGATATTGTCTATAAGCATTCTTGTTTATCTGTTTATTGAAAACATAAATCGTCGAACTTATGAATTCTTGGACGAAATAGAACAACGTGGAAATACTTTTCTTGATACAACTGAAAAACGACTTCGACAGTTGATCAACGACACCATATATAATTTAAACAATCAAACAACGGAACAAATCAATTCCATAATCCATGCAAACAAAAAATATATTCCTTTACAAAATCCTTATGGTGCCACTACTTGCACTGAATGGTTCGGTTGTCATAAAGGTTACTGTTGGGCAGGTTGTGCAGGAGCACTTCCTTCTCTGACCGGTCCTGAATGGTGCTATACTAAAACATCTGTCGGCAAAATGACGTGTCAAATGGACGACGATTGTGACGGCTGTTGGCGATGTTCCAGTCCATGTAGTATTTAGTTAATAAAATCTCCTTTCTTGTATTCTTGTTCAAATAAATATATGCAAAATGATTACATTAGAAATGATATTCTTGCTTAATTGCTTTCGATCTCAAAATGAAATTCAGACTTCGAACTTTTCTATGTAAATATTATTGGTAGAATTTAATCATGCAAAATAAACGTACATCTAAATTTATTTCTTTGAAGAAAAAGATACATAAACCGTTTTTTAATTTCTTCTCACAGGTGAATGAATGAAAGATCTAGAAATACGAGGGTATTTGATAATAATATAAAAAGGTTTTATTCTTTTTGCTACTAAGTTTAAAGGTTGACTAAAAGTATGAAAGAGAAAAAAAGATAATTTCGATAAAACTAGTTAATTCATCTCGATGATCATTTTAAGTATCCACCGGTCAAATCTATTTTCCGTGATCTTTCTTGGCAATATATTTGATGAGATCGACAACACGGTTTGAGTAACCATATTCATTGTCGTACCTACAAAGATTAAACATGAATTTTTTTATCAGGAAAAGGACGAATATTACCATGAAACGAGTTTAACGAAGTTGTCGTTGAGCGAAATACCGGCTTTGGCGTCGAAGATTGATGAGTGTGTGTCGCCAATGAAGTCAGTTGAAACAACTTCATCATCGGTATAACCTAAGATTCCCTTCAATGGTCCATTTGAAGCTTCTTTGATTGCGGCACAGATTTCGTCGTATTTAGCCTAAAGCAAAACATTTGATTTTTACCATTTCGAGTGAAGAAAGAAAAACAAAATAAACATACGCCTTTGCTCAAACGGGCAGTAAGATCAACAACTGATACGTTTGGTGTTGGAACACGGAAAGCCATACCAGTCAATTTACCATTTAAATCAGGAATAACTTTTCCGACCTTGACAAAACATCAAAATTCAAATGATCTGTCTACGAATAGAATTGCAATACATACAGCTTTGGCGGCACCAGTTGATGATGGAATAATATTTTGTGCAGCTCCACGTCCACCGCGCCAATCCTAAAACAAATAACATTTTCGATACTCCATTCTTTCTCTTCTTAAACAAACTGTGCATACCTTGTTCGATGGACCATCGACAGTCTTTTGTGTGGCTGTGTACGAATGTACAGTTGTCATTAAAGCTTCGACGATGCCAAATTTTTCATGAACAACTTTTGCGAGTGGTGCTAAACAGTTGGTTGTACACGATGCATTGGAAAGAACAGTTTCTTTTCCTGTGTATTTATCTTCATTGACTCCCATAACGAACATTGGAGCATCAGCTGATGGTGCGGTGATGACGACTTTTTTGGCACCGGCTTGAAGATGTGGTTGACATTTTTCAACTGTTGTGAATACACCAGTAGATTCGACAATGTATTCAGCACCTTTGAAATAAAGAAACGAAAGAAGACAATCAAGATGATTCATCGATCAAGGTCGAGAAAAACATACCGAGTTGACCCCATGGAATTTTTGATGGATCTTTTCTAAAAATAACGTACGAAATCAATCACATAGAAAATGTACTCAATTTGAGTTATTTACTCAGTGAAAACGCTAATTTCTTTTCCGTCAACGATGAGTTTGCCATCTTTGTGTGAGACTTCACCTTTGTATTTACCATGTGTTGAATCATATTTAAACATATAGACCATGTAGTCAGCAGGGATAAATGGATCTACAAATAATATATAATTACAAATAGAAATATGAGATCAAATTATGTGTTTACCATTGACACCGACTATTTGAACACCTTGGGCGAGAGCGCATCGAAAAACGAGGCGGCCAATACGACCGAAACCGTTGATACCGATTTTAACATCCGAGCCAGACATGTTTACCAGAAAAAGAAATCGCGCGTTTGGACTGTACTAAGAGAAATGAAGAAAAAATAAGAGAAAGAAACACAACTAGGGTAACGTACTTATAAGGGAGAGATGTAGAGAAGTAGTTTCGCTGTTTGGTACTGCTGAGACAGAATTTCACGGGATGTATGTGGCGCCCTCTCGCTTATAGCTACTACATCTATACCTCGACAAACAGATATCTTAATAGTAAAATAAGTTCTAGAAAACTATAAATGAAATTTGTGAGCTTTTGCTCATTGTTTTCCAACTTGAACACTCTCAATGGTTAATTGTATAATCCATCCGATTAATCCTGTATGAATCATACATATCTCTCTCTCATATGTGAAGAATCTTCTTTTCGTAGAAAAAGCATGTTCAATTTTCGTAGAATATCCTTTGTACAACGTTCGATTTCGTCGGGGTTCAATGCTCGTCGTTGTCGATCTGCTCGTCGAACAGCTGTTCAATCATCAGTCTCTGATGGCAAACACATCATTACAGAAACTAAACCCGTTTCTTTAGATCATCTGTCACCTGTAGTTCGACAAATTCTATCTAAAGATCCATCCTATGCTGTTCGTTTCGGTGGACAATTATCAGACAATCAAAAGTATCTTGTCCGACAACATTCTCGAACTACGGGTCGAGCTGAAAGTCTCTTTTCACAAATAGACAAAGATGATTTGATGTTATCGATAAATGAAGATGAAAAGGATTTACCTCATCCTCCAGTTGTTGCTTTTCCATCAGTTGAGAATCAATTCGAAATGGATTTAGGTACAGAAGATAAAACTGTACCCAGTCATGAAACAGCTCGTTGTTTTGGTTGTGGTGCACAACTTCAATGTTCTGATCGAACGAAAGCGTAAGAAATCGATCTGATATATTGAGTATTTAATGTTCATGAAACATATTTCAGAGGCTTCATACCAGTAGAAATCTTCAAGCATCACCTTTCAAGTAACTTACAAAAGCGAACAAGTCAATGCCAGCGTTGTTTTCTCTATAAATATACAAATGAAATTTCACATTGTGAAGTTGATGAACAAGTCTATAGAGATATTCTGGCAGAAATCAAACGAAAACGTGCGTTGATTATCTTAATTGTCGATCTTCTTGATATACCAAATTCAATTAGCCAATCATGGGCACATCTCGTCGACCAAACATCTGAACGGACGAAGTCTTCATCGAATATTGTATTTGTTCTCGGAAATAAAGTTGATCTTTTGCCAAAAGGTATGTTTATTTTAGAACTTTGCTGTATATGTTATTTATATTGTTTTATCATAGACAGCGAATCATATCTATCCGATGTGCGAAAATGTTTGGAAAATGAATGTACAAAACGTGGTTTGGGAAAGCACTTAGTCAAATATTATGGTTTAATCAGTGCCAGAACGGGCTATGGAGTTGAAGAATTGATTTCAAAAGTTTTTCGATATTGGTCACAACATGGTTCGTTTTCCAGTATTCTTTTCTTTAGGAAAACATTAAGCGTCTATCTTGGACAGGTGGTGTTTATCTACTTGGTGGAACTAATACAGGCAAGAGTAGTTTATTCAATAGTTTAATTGATTCAGATCTGTGTCATATTCATGCACTTGATTGTGTTCAACGTGCGATCATATCGAATCTTCCTGGTAAGAAACGAATCGAAAAGAATGTTTGAGAATCTTCTCGCTTTTACTCAGGAACGACAATGAATGTACTTCGATTTCCAATTCAATTACGAACGGGGAAAAATCAGTTCATGCGTGCGGAACGTTTGAAAGAACGTGAGGAAAATGAAAGAATGCTAGATGACACTAAAACGGAGTCTATCGAAAATGAAACAACAATCGTCGGTAAGTTTTGCAAAGAACTGAAAAACAAGATTGATACAAGGGGGAAATTCGTCTCTAGAAAATATCGAATCAACGGTGAAATGGCGTCGTCGATTTGAGTCTGAAATGAATCTGCCAAAAAGTGGAGCATCATATACATATTCATCTGGAAGAGACTCATTTGACGAAGATCGTTCATTTCTCTCACGTGAACACAATTATATCAATTATCGACAAAAGAAAATGCGTGCGTTCACTCCTGAGTCATACAAAAATGAAAAATGGCTTTATGATACACCCGGTGTAATTCTATCTGAACAGGTAATGATCAATTTCACGTGTGCATTACCATTTTGAAGATCTTTTATTTTTGTCTGTTGAAGATCTCAAATAAGTGTAGCAGTCGAGAAGAATTAGCATTTTTTGACCATCAATCAACAGTTATTCGTCCAGTGAATATTTTATTAAACGTTGGTCAGACGATATTGATTGGTGGAATCGCAAGAATTGATGTTAAACACGTTCGTTGACTGATTTCGATTTTTCATCCATTGAATATTCATCGTTTTTAGATCAGCGAAAATGCTCGAGCAAGTCTTTCTCTAATGACAACATCTCGACTGCCAATTAATGTGATTGAAACAAAAGATGTGAAGGAATTTTATGAAAAAGCATTAGAAAACAATCAACTTGGTGTAAGCAGATCATTCTATGATTGGATCCAAAAGAAAAGCATAATTTTCTTTCGTAAAGATTCCTCAAAATCGTATCAATGGTCGACTTCAAGATCCACCTCAACTTCGTGGACCAACCATTGAAATTCTTGGAATTGGAGAAGAAGACGCAGCTGGAGATATCGTTCTATCATCCGCAGGTAAATATTCTTTCATCAATATTGCAACGAGACCTTCCGAGACAATGGAATATTTAGGCTGGGCGAGTGTTCAATGTAGTCGTGATCAATATGTCATATTTGATGTAATGACACCAGATGGTCTTGGTATTCATCTTCGACAACCAGCGATACTTAAGAATTTATTTCATTTACGTGGTTCACATATAGAACAAACACCATTCTTCGATAAATATTCGTATGTGGAAGATCAAAACGAATGTGATGATGATGATCGAAAGCAATCGAATGAACTTGAAATGATCATAAATGAAAAACTATGGAAAGGAGAACAAACTAAGCGTCGACGACGAGCAAAACGCACATAAATACTTGTCTCATATATTTTGTTATTGTTTTCAATTTTTTTCCGTTGAATAAAATAAAACAAATATATGATTTACTTTCGAAAAAGAGTCAGATGAAGACATAAACGAAAACAATACCGTGATGTATGACACTTGTATAACTTGAAGCTTGAATTCAATTATTCATTCAACTACTGAAGGATGAGAATACTGCGAATGGTGTGTTCTAATAATAGTTGAATTTCAACTTTCAAATTCGACACTACTGCTTTTGCTGTGACATCTTCTGTCGGAATTGATTATCAAAAGCAACTAAAATGGTTTCCTATCCTGTTATATGTTTTTTCAAGTTTGCATACCATGCTGTACTGTGCTATTTACTTTACCTAGATATATTATAGCAATATTCTGAGTGGTTTAATGGCAAGGCCATTCATAATGTTGAATGATTCATCATTCTGTCATATCGAAAGTAGCAGATATGCTGTTGCATTTGCAACAGAAAACAATTCTTTGTCCTACATGTGAAATTACAAAATTAATCTGTAAATACGTCGCACTAATCGTTATTGTCAGAAACATACTGTTATGTTTTCTTGCATGTTACAACGTGCGCTTTGTCACGTTACTCAAAGGACATGAATACATTGCAAAATCGTATAAAATTCTCATTACCTTTCGCGTACACATGTGATATCTATACACGATAATCATTAGCAATCAAACACGATGTGGCGATGTATTTTCAGATCTACAAAGCGAAAATGAATAGTTCATTTGCTGAACAATTAGCAAATGTGAAATTGAAACCGAGTAAAGATAGAACAAAAGACTTTAGTGATCCAAAACTAGCAGGTAAATGGTTATTTACTTGTTTAATGTTTTCAATTATTTACCAAAAATCCTATTCTTATCATCATTTCCATTAGGTTTCATCACAAAAGATCAAATCAGTTCCTATCAAAAGACAGCTCTAGAAGCGAACATGGAGGAATGGCAAAAGTTACTTATCAACGGTAATTTAGACAAATGCGATTCTTTATTTGAGTAATATATTTAGAAACATTTCCAACTGTGTATTTTCCAATCACATATTCCGATGCAAAACATTTTATTCGAATATTCGAGCAACATTTTCAAAAATTGCATGAACATCAACGATTTGATGAGATTCGCAATCGAATGGAAACATGTCTTAATGATGACGAAGAAGAAAAATTGTGGTATGAACAAATAAGAGATCGTCTACAAACCACTATTGATCAGCATTTTTCGAGTCAAAATGGTTTCTTTGCTAAAACGTCGTCACGAAGCGCCAAAGATGCTTGCATATTCAAAAAAGGCTTTCTTCAAATCTATAAAAATGAATTAGAAAAATTCTCTGATCCATCTCAAGAAAACTCTCGCATCGCTGCACTTCTAACTGCTGCGTTTCTTGCATTACGAATGACGTGCGCTGCAGATGTACTTTCCACATTTATAATCAGTGAACGTATCTATCAAGACATGTTATTAGCGACAGAAGCACAGAATCCATCAGACGACTTGTTCAAAGAAAATATTATTCTCCGACCGTTCACACCCATCGATGTCGACATGGAATTCAGGGGTTTTGTTTATCAACAGCGCTTAACTTGTTTATCACAGTACAACTATCTCATATACTCTCCACGTCTCTCTCAATGGAAAGATGAGATTCTTGATAAAATCAATGTGTTTTTCAATGAAACTGTGACAGCTAAACTAAACACATATCAATCACAAGATTATGTCATCGATTTTGCATTGACTAAGAGTGGTGAGTTGACTTTTACGATTAATGCATGACTATTGTCTATTCTTCTAATTGAACTAGTAAATGATGATGCTGATGATGTCCGTTCGATGAAAGTGTGGGTGATTGAACTGAATCCATTCATGGAAACAACTGACGGAGCTCTCTTCAGTTGGCAACACGAGAAGCAGCTACTACAGGGTGAATCTTCTGACAACAAGACAAAAACACTGTTTCGCATAACAGAAAAGGCTCGGCCCGGCTCATGGAGTATGCTACCCAACTCCATTCGACAATGGATAAAAAACGACGATAGTATTTGAACAATGAAGTCTTGTTTTATCGATAATGAACTATCTTTTGTTGAACCACTAGATGATCAGAAGATTTGCAAAAAATAGAATATATAAACTGACATAGATTGGAGACTAACACATGCACGGAGGCTTGGTGGAGAAGGATGATGTGATTTGTTACATATGAAAAATTTCATTGAAGCAATAAATCAAACACGAAAAGATTCCAAGTGTGTCCTATCCATTCGATAGAAGTTAAGAGAACAGCTCCGTTGAACGCAAAAACCTGTTCCACTCGAGTATTGCAAACAGACGCAATCTTGAGAATGATATCTATGGCAGCGCGCGATGTTAAATGTATTAATCGGTTATCATACAGAACATCAAAGTCAAGTGAACAAGCCAATTTGTATTACCTGTTCAACTGAAATCTCTTATTCTCAAGTTCCAATACAGTTAACAGAGGCATCTATTGGAAATCATTTCTCTGCACATACAACCGAGCGAAACACATAGATAAACCATGGACAGAAATGAATTGCACATTTGCCGTTAAATTCACTCAGGCTCATTGAATATCTCTTCTATATCTGTACAGATGTTTCAACTCAGACAAAAGATATCAAGTTAGAAAGGTTGCTTCAATTTATCGTCTTCGTTCACTGATCAATACTGAAATTCTCTTCCTTTTCAACAACAACTAAGGACAGATCGTTTTCTAATTCTCACTTTTCTAGACTCGTTTCACTTTACACGATGTTTTCGGGTAAATACTCACCGATAGTTCGGTGTGTCTTTCTGCCCTTGAACGAAATGTCAACATTTGGTACCGTTCGCCATTCCTCAACTAACTTAAGTGCACAAATGAAAAAACTCGTTGACTCCAAACAATTTCGACATGCTCTCGACATTTTCGATCAACAGTCGCGCGTTGCTGATGATTTGGCCTTGAACATGGCACTGAAAGCATGCAGCAATTTGCAAGACTATCGACGTGGACTTAGAATCGTTCGACAACTCTCACCCAAATCGCTCAACAATTCCTTCATTCAAACATCACTTGTTCAATTATACGGTGAGTGCAAATCAACTGTTTCTTCATCAAACCAACGAGAGTATGTGAAGGAGAGATGTGATGACTTGTTGCAAAGATCGGAATGAAACAGTTTCTCCACCTCTTCTGACTGCGTATGATCATCCACTTGCCATACTTTTCAAAAAGAACATTGTTAAAGAGTATCGTTGATGTGATATGGTTGTCTGAGCGAAGGACTATGAAGATAAGAAGTTGTTTCTGTTTGTAGTAAAATCTGGTGACTTGCAGAGTGCAATCGGTTTATTTAACTCAATTCAGGTGAAGACGAATCCACTGTACATAACGTTCTTCAAAGGTAAACATTCGCATTATTTGATTCATCAAGAAATGAATGTACTTTGATGGGTAGGACTGATATCGATGAAGAAATCGAACGAAGTNGTTGTCTGAGCGAAGGACTATGAAGATAAGAAGTTGTTTCTGTTTGTAGTAAAATCTGGTGACTTGCAGAGTGCAATCGGTTTATTTAACTCAATTCAGGTGAAGACGAATCCACTGTACATAACGTTCTTCAAAGGTAAACATTCGCATTATTTGATTCATCAAGAAATGAATGTACTTTGATGGGTAGGACTGATATCGATGAAGAAATCGAACGAAGTGTTGAACTTGTATGAACAGGTGAAGATGAAATTGGAAGAAGGTACATTTGTGATGGTATCAAAGGCATGTTCAAAAGTCTGTGATGATCGAGCTAAGAGGATTGGAAAAGAATTACTGGGTAATTTACCGGAAGATTTGAAATACTCTGAAAAGGTGATGAACTCGATAATCGTGATGTTGATGAAATTCGGAAATGTCAGTCAAGCTGAAGAGATCTTCCATACGATGAAACACAAAACTATCTACACTTATGGTGCAATGATGAGTGGTCAGTGATACGCTTCACTTGATCATCAGTATTTGATTGAATATTCTTAGGTTATAATCACAATCAGATGTTTGAAAAAGCACTGGATTTATTTCATAAAATGGATCTGTCTCCCAATGAAAACATACTAACCATGATCTTCGACACATGCACACATCTATTCAATGATCGAGCGTTACAAACAGGAAAACAACTTCTGCACGACATGAACAAATCCTATTATAACGATGAGATTCTCATGACATCAGCTATTCATATGTTGATGAAATTCGGTCTGGTCAACGATGCTGAACGTTTGTTTCGTCAAGTCAAAACAAAAAGTGCGCGCACTTATCATGCAATGATCAATGGATACAGTGAAACGAACGAATTTGACAAGTGTTTCCAGCTATTTGATCAAATGAAAACTGTTCAGATTGTCCCAGATGAAGTCGTGTTTCTTTCAATGATTGGGGTTTGTGCAAAAACTGGTATACGGTCAATATGTCAGTCAATCGTTGATCAAATACCTTCGCATCTGAAAACTAGTAAAAATATTCACACTATTTTGATTTCGATGTGGGTAAGTGTTGTTTGTCCAGTAGAAAACATCGTTGTAGTGACAACTGAAGAAAGAATGTTTGNGAAAACTGTTCAGATTGTCCCAGATGAAGTCGTGTTTCTTTCAATGATTGGGGTTTGTGCAAAAACTGGTATACGGTCAATATGTCAGTCAATCGTTGATCAAATACCTTCGCATCTGAAAACTAGTAAAAATATTCACACTATTTTGATTTCGATGTGGGTAAGTGTTGTTTGTCCAGTAGAAAACATCGTTGTAGTGACAACTGAAGAAAGAATGTTTGTTTTGGTTTTGTTTAGGGTAAAAGTAGTTCGATAGAAAAAAGTAAGGAAATATTTGAATCAGTGAGCGATCCAGATATTGTCGCATATAGCTCAATGAGTAAGTGTAGATTTAGTTTTCATGAGGAAAGCATCAATATTTTTCAAAACTATTGTATTTTTGATTTTTGTAGTAAATGCATATGGTTTGAACGGCATGGGTGTTGAGGCTGTGGAATTGTATAGAAGAATTCCTCTTGGCATGCGCGACGAAGTGTCTCATGTGTGCACGCTGAATGCGTGTTCTCATGCCGGTTTGTTAAATGAATGTCGTCAAATATTCGATCAGATACCTCACAAAACATCAAAGATTGTCACCACAATGGTTTGTTTCTTTGTTTGACCTTGTCTCAATAAGAACTTTTGTGTTGATGTATTAGGTTGATTGTTTGAGTCGTTTGGCAATATTTGATGAAGCAGAATCAACCATCGAAGATTATGAAAAGACAAATCCACCTTCGTCCGCTATGTACAGTAAGTATTTCCAATGTGACAGAGATGCTATACCAATTTCTTCATTCACACTTGACTTTAGCGGCATTATTGTCTGGAGCACGCAATGTCCGTGATTCGAATCTGTCAGATCGTGTCTACAAGAAGATGCAACAATTGTTCCCTGGCGAGAAAGACACGCTAGTTGCTGGTTCCATTCTCTTGTCAAATATTTATTCGTCGATCGGTGATCATCATCGTGCAGAAGATATCCGAGTCCATAGAATCAAACAGTTTGGACACAATGTGAACGTTGGCTTATCTTGGACTTCGGTGAACAATAAACTGGTGGTAGGATTTATTTGAAAACGTTACGTCGCTGACAAGAAAAGTACATTGCTTTCTCTTCGATCTTCTTTTCAGCAATTCAAAGCTCATGATCATTCTCATCCTCAATCAAAGGAGATCTATGAAGAGTTACAACGTTTATCGTGTGAGCTTCGTGAACATGGTCATACATTCGACAGTAGTTGGATCACTCGTCCGATAAACGATGAGGAAACAGTGGAAAGTGTGTTGTGTGGACATAGTGAGAAATTGGCGATCGCATTCAACTTCATTCAACAGCCACCTCCTTCCCCGATCCAAATCAGCAAAAATCTTCGTATTTGTGGTGATTGTCGTAAGTGAACGATACTGTATTGGAATTCCGTCATCGTTATGCTTCTCTTTTAGATGCTGTGACAAAACTCATATCGAAACTTCGTCAATGTGAAATCATCATCCGAGATGCAAATCGAATTCATCATTTCTCCAATGGTGAATGCTCATGTCAGGATCATTTTTGAATCCTCGTTTGTTCTCTCAAGTCAGTTTGTGTTTATTTCACGAAAGAAATGAAACTACTGTGCGTATTTCTGATAACGAATTAGAAAAGTCTTCTTATTCAGATGACGAGAACTTTTACATCCTTGGATTGATGATTGTTCAATAAGCTACACTCCGAGTAAGGTACAGTCCGAATATTCTTTGCAGCTTTACAAGCGAAGAACAAAATACATGAGATGATTTGCTCCATAAAAAGAACATCAGTGTCGGATGGTTTCGATCTTTTGTGATCAACATGGAACTTTTGAGGCTTTGGTTATTCTCAAACAATGATTTCATTAATTGTTCACCTTCGTTGTGTATTTAGTTTTCATTTACAGTTGAAAACGTTCTCTGTGGCACTCTCAACACTGTGAGATGCTTTTGCGTTCGTGTGGTAATCTGATTTGGCTATATATCTACCACAAGATTATGTTATTGATTTTCCATTGACTAGAGATGGTGAGTTTATCTTCAAGATTATCGTATGACTATTGTCTATTCTTCTGATGGAGTTCTTTTTAGTGGGAACATGAACAACGTCGTTCCATGCAACAAAAAAGTTCGGTCAGGTTCATGGACTACTTAACTGAATTGTGCGCCGCAGTGGATAAAAAAAATGATGAAATTGTTGGGACAGAGAAATCTCGTTTTAACCATAATGAATTATCTTTCGTTGAATCCAGAGATTGTCAGAAGATTTGCAAAAAATAAAAAAACAACGAACAAGTGTGGAAATAATCACCTTGTTCTGAATATACATGAATATGAAAAAGAAAACAAACAAGAAAACTTCCTTGAGAAAAATTCTTTCATAGTTTTTTAGCTGGTATAACTGTTCTATGTTGATGTCTCATCTCAACTAACTCTTTCAATAGGACACGCTTTTCGGTTTCTAATTGTTTAATTCGATCATTTTTGTTTTTCAACTGTTGTTGATATTGATTTGTTGTGCCATGTAAAGATGACGACGATAATGAACTTGATGAACGATCTGAGGACTTCTATGTAGAAACAATCTGAAATCAGTCATTCAGAAATCAACGTAATGATATTAGCATACTTTTGAATCATAATGTGCTTCGGCAATGACAGTATTGGCCAATTTCAGTAGATCAGCAACTAAATCTCGATTATAGATTGGTTCAGGGGCGATACCTGTCGTCTAAACGAAGAGAAGAAATCAATGTTGAAATGAGAAGTGTGGATTCAATAGAGCTAACTTCAGCTGCTGATAAATGAAGACAGTAAGATCGTTGTTTATCTTTCATTTCAAGAAGACGATCATTTAGATAAGTTTTGACTCGATCTAATGTGTCACATGTTTGAAGAAGAAGATCACGTTCAATTTCGAATCGTTTCATTGCCCGAATCTGAACACAAAAAGAAAAAGAAGATATGCATATCCGAAACGATTCATGCTTTTTACCATAGCAAAATCAACTTCATTGGTATGAATTGTATTTCGTCGCGTTGCTATTGATGGATGTTCACTATAGATATTTCCATTTTGTTGAAAAGGTTTTTGTAGAAGAACTTTCTTTCGATGTCGCACAGGATTTGATGTGAATTCATGCGAGTGATACAGTTGCTGATGATTATGTTCTGTTCCATTATAACTTCGATAAACAATAGGAATCTGATGTTGTTGTTGTTCAGGTTTTTTCGGTGTAGGAGTAACAACTACTACACTTGTTGAACGATTCAGTGGAAAAGAGATAGGCGGAGGTGGACGTGTTGCTTTTGGAATGACGATTGGTGGTGTTGACAAAGATGATAATGATGAATCTGATGTTGTTATTTGTGGTGGTGAATGTTTAGTCGCTGATAATGATCTTTCAATAACATTCAAAAGTAAATCAAATGTAATAAGATAATTATTCGATTTGGATTCGTTTTCGAGGACATGGAGAATATCTAATGACGATGAAGAATTGTCAAAAGTAAATGTTGGTGTCCAATAACGCTTGAAAACATCGAACGGAACATGGCCACTATTTGTTTTATCAAGAATGGAGAATAATTGACGTAAAGAAGAAATGAATGGTGCAGGAAGTGAAGTAATTATTCCTGATCTTGGACGATTTGATGAAGCAGAAGAAGATGGAGGTGGTGGGGGAGGAGGAGCTCGAGATTTATTTGAATGTGAACGTTGAACAACTTGAATATGTTGTTGTTGTTGCTGGTGCTGTTCTAATTCTTGTCCGTTCATCGTTTCTGGATCAGTTGATGACATACATCTAAATAAAAAGATTTCAAATTCTAACATGGTATGAAAAGAGAAGTTTCGTATATAAGACATAGAATGAAATCAAAGTATAGCCTTGAAAATGAAATAAATTACACGTTTTCATCTCTAAAATCAATATATTATTTAAACAAAAAAAAAGTGTGTGTATATATATATATACGAAAAATTTGAATTTCGCTCTTTGAACTTAGAAGATTTCAAATGTATTTATGAATCTCTCTTTATTAATATATCTTACATTCGATTTCGTGCATGCTTTGTGTGAAGATATTCGCATCGCATAAAGATGACACATTAAGTAAAAAGAAAGATAGGATCTTGCGACTCATTTTCTCTACATGTGTTGACCATAGATGATGGTCACACATATCCTTATCAAATTATCTAAGTTTTGCTTGTCTTTATCTTACGTCGTATTGGATGAAGTCGTACAGCGTTGTAGTTTGCCGATCATCTGGTCCAGTCGATCGAGATCAGGACGTACGATATGTGTCAAAGCTGATCCTTTCGATTGTTGCTGCTGCTGCTGCTGCGACATTTGCTCTTCGGAGGTGGTATGGATATTGAATCTCATATTTGTTTGAAAATGACTTGTATCGTGATTCGCAAGGTTTTCGCTTATACAAGATGAAAGAAGAAGGGTGACGGAGAGAAAAGGGAGCGAGAGGGGGGGGAGAAATCGAAACGTTAGTTGCATGTATTCATGAGCTGTATAGACATACATACAATGAGAGAGAGAGAGAAAGAAAAAGTCCATTAATAATTGTTCTTCTCTTTCGTGTCATTCTTATGTTTACGAGATGAGAAACGAAAATGAAACGATGTAAAATCAATAGATTGAATCTGACATCGATCGAATGGAATAAAGCGTATGAACATTACAAAAACGTAACTACATTCATACATACATGTGTTTTAGACGAAATCATCGATGTCTTTACCTTTCTAATAAATGCTTTTTTGATAGCAAACAACAAACCAACATGTTCATATATTGAATAAAGGAAATAGCCATATGTATGTTAGAATGAAGCAAGTAAAGGTCGATCTTCGACAAGTTATCAGAAGAAGAAAACAAGAAAAAGTGATGTTCGTACAATGGTATGCATCTATGTATGCTCAGTCAGTCGATTCAATTATAAGCACGCTCTATGCTCTAATATAATAATGATGATTCGACCAGTGAACAACAACAAGATAGGTCAAGTCAAGCGAGCCAACTCGATATGTCTGGCTGTCTATATATGTCTGTCTATCTCAAAAGATGTACGTACATCTTCTTCGTTAGAAGACAAACAATCAAGAAAAGTCATTCAGTGAAAGAGAGAAAGAAAAAAAGAAATCATCGAGATAAATGAGAAAACAATCAATGTCTGTTTTAGCACACATATATTTAAATATTAGATTTAATAGAAAGGAAAAGACAAGTCGATTATATTATTTATTGCTTAAAAATCAAGTGAAGTGAGCTCTTTCATTGGAACTGTCTTTATCAAAACTACATAAAGATTATAGTTCTCACTTTGTCTTCAATGAACTCTTTACACGTATGTCGAAAGGGAACAAAGTGTTTTGTCTTCAATCTATTACTATTATTGTTGTTCTTCATCTGCTTTAAAGACAGTAGAGTATACTTCAAACTTACAAGGCATCAACAAACATCTGAATGGCAAAAATATTGTTGCTGTTGATAATGATGATGCAAAATATATCGTATTGTCGCCTCCTCCAACCGAATGAACTTATGGATGTATGCTTCTCGTTGTCGATACAAACGTGTATTGATTGAAAGAGAAAAAAAAAGTGAGCAAGGAAAGAAGAAAGAACAGGGAGACAGAAAAGAAAAGTGAACGGCTCCTTTGTATATATATATATATTTACATTTATATATATATGAAATATGAATAAATACGTCGTATATATATATAGAAAGAGATGTATGTGTGTCTGAGTCGGGAGGAGTATTGAGGTCCTTTCGTCGACGTTTGTTTCTAATGAATGCCTCTCGATCGATCTCGTATACAGATGAAGCATATACAAAAAAAAAATTAAACGAAAAAACAATAAATCACTATTCATCTGCTTGCACATTTATACATCTATATAGATCGATGCATAATGAACGAAGAAGACATATGATGAGATATTGGATAAAAGAGTCAAGATAGTTACGAATAGGATATCGAGTGATGATTTGCCTGTCGGCATTCGTATTTGCCGGTAGAATTCATCTAGTCAGTAAAAGAAACAATCTTATCTATTCCTTTGTCAATCCCCTGTGGTTATCAAATACCAATATGGAACAAGTCGAGTTAATGTCGTTCATATCTGTTCGATTGTTTTTACTTCTTTGTCTAATAATCAACTCCAGATGGAATATATTAGAGAGATGAACAACGATGACAAGCAATAAATGAATGTCAATAGTTATCTATCGACACATCATCTTATAGTCAGATCATTTGCTTCATTTCTCAATGATAAAACGAAAAGAAACTTCATTGGAATTTTGTTATTAATATAGATGATATAAAAGTACTCATGGGAAATTTCGCCTGTCTCGTTATTCTCGATCAATCGGTTTGTAATGTCATGTTCTTTTTCTTAACATTCGGAATCACCGCGGGAATCTTATTAATTAACTTTCTTATTGCATGAACTAAACTTTTGATTAGATCTAACGGCATATTTTGAATTGATAACGTATTCTTTGTTCTATTTAGATAAAGAATCTCATTGATTTCGTTGTTTTTGATGTTTAGTCATCACATCGTGTACATAAAGATTTCGTTCTTTTTTCAATGTGTGTGCAATCGATGAATTAGTTTTGCTTGATCGATCAGATGAATAAGAAAAAAAATCGAAACTTATTGGAACAGTTTCGTTTTATCGAACATGACTTTCGAATTTCGTTTGCACTCAAGATAAAAACAAGATCATCTGTCAGTGAACAAAATCGATTGACTCAATATTGGCTAACGAGTTTATGATTTCCAATAGCTGCCGGAATTTCCATTTGTGCATTGACCATGTCAAACGTTGAGAGATGAAGAATTTCTGAACCAAACGAACCTCGTAGTTCCATATATTTGGAATTGTTGACACAACATTTCGACAATAAACGTGAACAGCAATCTTGTCCTTCAATAGATTCACGCATTTCAGCAATATCACGTAAGAAAATTGCTGCATCAGTGTAACTTGGATTACAGCAACAACCACAACATTTCGTATCTTCTGATCGTAGTAATAGTCTCGTATCTGTAAGTGTTGTATAATACGATCGCGTACATCCACAGGAACCTTCTGTAAATATCCACGAATGTAATAGATTTTCATTGCCTAATAAACGGAAAGAATTGTGAACATTCGATAGATTCGTTGGTTGCTTAGTAATATAACCCGATGAAACTTTTCTTGACATTGACATCGAAAAATTCTCGTGTAAAATTCAACTTGACGTTTGTCTTTTCGAGAGAAGTGTGTTTAAGTTGTCCCTTTTTACAATTACCTGTTTTTCTTTCTGCCGATGAGTAGTTTAAATGAGATGTTATGTACAGTAACCATTGCATTTTAACTTTTGAAACCCTACAAGTATGTTAAGAAGAAAACAGATGGAAAAAAACATTTTTGACCAAGGATATTTGATTAAAATGAACTCATTCAGTTTATCGGAGGATTATTTATATAATAAATAAAATTTATTTCTTTTTTTTTCGCTTTGAATAAAGTCAAGTACTCAATTAATTCCCTTTCATTTATTCTGAACGAATCTATTGTACCGATAAATCGAATTGTGTAAGGCAGTTTTGATTACTTGGAATCGACTATGTAAATGAATGCATTTAAGTTTTCTTATATATCAGATTTACTTTGTTCTCTATTAGAATGAAACTTATTCAAAATATGTTCTGCTATGTACAAAAAGTAACACGAGAAGAATAAACGGAATAAGAGTGGAATTTGTTACTCGGGATGCACGACACACGAATTAGTCAGATAGAATATATACGTTTGGTGTAGATAGATATATAAACGCGAAAAAAAATAGAAGCAAATAAAAATACTACTAGCTTATAAACACGATAATAAGAAGAGCATGAGTAAAAAAACGAACATGATCAATCCTGAGTCTGTTTGTTTGTTGTTGTTTTTTTCTAAAAGTTCAATTGTTCACCCTCTAATTTCTGTCCTGTGCTGGAATAAACATCATAATTTGCTAAGACATCTTTCAAATCCGATGCTTTGATCCGAACATACTGTTCGCCGGCTAAACCTGATGTTGGTTCACCCGTCTCATCAACAGTGGAGTCATAAGTAATTTCGCCTGGATTTGCTGTGTAGTATCGTGTTGTTGTTGTTGTTGTTCGTCGAGTACTATTAGATAAATCGACTTGATCAGATGGCATATCGTAGACTTGTGAACCAAGTTTTGTTAGGAGATGTGTGGGAAATTTTCCATCATTGTTCGCATGAGATCGTAATAAGATTTCTTCAGTGAGAACAGGTCCTCGTGAGACAGTTTCATTGAAATTATAACTATTTCCATCGTAAACGGCTCCGGAATTGGTCGGTGAACCATTGTAGACAGCTCGCTGTTCTCCATATTCATCAACAGCTGCTGCATGAGATGCGGAACGAAGAAGACGAATACCTGAATTTCTAGAAGATGTTGTAATACTATAAAAAATAAAAAGATTGTTTAGTTTTCGATGTGACAGTGGACAGAACATATTAGTATACTTATTTAGGATTTGTCGAACACTGTATTCGTCAGCTTGTTCGAGAGCAACTTCTTCTTTTGCTGCAGACACTTGCTGCTCTTGCATCAATGCTAATTCTTCTTGTAAACCTAATTCGGTTAATTTTCGTTGAACAAATTCTGTAGCATAGAGTTTATCGCCGTGCTGACTGTAATATCTGTGCGGATCAGCATCGTGAACACCAAGTTTTTTCACATGTTTTACAACTTCAACTTCAGGCGGACGCCATTCAATAATTGTGTTCTTTATTCGAGCCTGTGCCTCAACTGGTTTGGCTTTTTCATGAATCACTTGACGTTTTTGTTTGTGATACGGAAGCCAACGTTCAATGATAACTGGACGCGGTTTGGGTGGTAGTTTTGGCAAACGTTCAATAATTAATTTACGTGGCGGAGGTGGTGGAGGAGGAATAACCTCTAGAAAAAAAAGCGAAAATAATCAAGTGGTAGTAGAGATTTGTTAATTGAATGAAATTCACTTACTTTTAATAACTGTTGTTGGAACAGATTTTGGACGTGCTGGTGGTTTTTCACGAATAATAACTGGCGAAGGAGTACGAGGTGGAGGAGGACGTTGGCGAAGAATAATTGGTGGAGCAGGTGGTGGTTGTGGTGCACGAATTTCTCGAATAATAATTGGCTACATGAAACGGAAAAAAGCAGTCAAGCAACTATTTTCAACAAATTCAGGTGCTCTTCTTACTCCTGGAGGTGGTGGTGTACTTGGCTTTAGGTATCGCACGGCAATATCTTGTGTATAAGTCAATCGTTGTGTATTCGGTCGAACAATCAGTTCAGGATTTGCATCGACATTGATTGGATAATTTTTTACATCAGGTGTTGCTTGTGCTGTTAAAGACTGAACTTCTTGATCTTCTAAAACACTATTTGTATATGTCACATTCGACTGCATTAACTGTCTAATAGATGCATCTTCGACATCGCTACTGCCATCCCGATAATAATATTCCCTGGAACCTGAACGCGATAATCTTTCTCCACCATCAGTCGCATAACCTGATGTAACTAACGTTGAATATGTTACACCGCCTGCTGATCGACTTCGTGTATTATATGTATCATACTCATCAGTAACTCGTGTTTGTCTCATACGATTGGTACGACCTGTAGGTACATCCAAAACATATCGACGAGGTGGAGTCATTACGGATCCTGCTGATGATGATGGTGCTATGCCACCTGCATTTGCATTAGTTGTTGCAGTCGATGAAGTATTATTCGCCCCTCGACGACCGAACTGACGAGTTGCAGTAGCCATCTATAAGTTGAATCGTATTTTCAAATGTCTTTCAATCAAATAGAAAATGAATGAGAAATGACAACCAACAATTCATCAAAGTTTCAGTTTGAAAATATTGATTTAAACGTGTCCAAAACTAATAGAAAAAGAGAGAGAAAGACAGAGAAAAACTGCGGCTTTCCAAGAATAAATATTAACCTTTCTTTCTTTCCTTCTTTCTTTTATCCTGTATTAATCGACAAAAAAAATTTTCTATACTATTTACAACTTCAGCTTTTTCCTGGAAGAAAAGTCGGAAATTATTTTTACGTTCATTCTTCTTCTTCGTTTTGCTCAATCTTCACCGAGTACTTACTATTGTACGTCTAAGAAAATAATATTATTATGAAGATTTCATTCGTGAATAAGCGCGGAAATCTGGCACACATGTTTTACCTAACAGAATTTAATCGAGAAAAGAAAAGCAGAATAAGTATATTAGGATCATTCCTGCTTTCATATTTAAAGATAGAAAAATAGCCTTGGCACATATATATCGAAAGGAAAAAAGAAGAAAGAAAAAAAATAAAGAGATGAAAGTGAGAATTTATGACAACAGTATAAAAATAGAAAGTAACACTACGTTGATTTTGCTTTTATCAACCTATTGAGAGGAGCAAAGTCAAGAGAAATATTTGAGTGATATACAACCTATTTCTCAAACGAGTTTTCTCACACCCATCGACAATTCATTGATTCAAAAAGAAAACAATTCCAAATCTAAAATGACAATCACATCGTCATCAAATCACGCAAAAAGATTTAATAATATGAACAATCTCATTCATTTTTTTTTGTTAATGTACATACTTGAAAAAGAGATGAAAAAAAAATAAATATGAATTTTCACTTCAAGTAACCTCCGTACATTAACATATGGCATAAGAAACCATATAAAAAAAGAAAGAAAAAAGTACATATTTCATTTCTCTCTTTCCCCTCCCTCTTGTACGTCTATGACGTTGTTGTGAAAAGAAGAATGATACTCACATGTATCAATCGATAAAGAAATACACTCGTTTCGATTTATTTAATTGACCGATCGAGCGCGGCTAATTGCTCTTCTTACTGTGATAATGATTAGAACTAGAGAGAAAAAAAAAGNTTTTTTCCTTCTTGTCGCGTTCTCGTCCCTCTTTTTTTTTTACAATGTTGATCGAAAGATTTGACGGTAATGTTAGTGCGCGTCTATCAGAACAACAAATATTGTTTGTCAAAGTTTTTTGCTATTCGACTATCGTTTACTGGCGGTTTCAAGGACACCTGCTGCTGCGACTGCGTCTTCTGCTATTGCTACCTGAATATAAACGAATCTAATTGACATGTGCAGGCGGCAGAATCTTAGTCATTTAACGCGTAAAAAACCGTTTTTCTTTCTCCGCGCTTTCTTTAGAAAGCAAAAAAATACTTAATGATGAAAGAATGAAAAAAAACAACTTCTAATATTTCTACTCGTTTTCTTATGACAGAGAACAAAAAAAGAACACTGTGTTACACATCTCTATTTTCGATCATAATAACAAGACTTTATAGAATTTCTATTTTCTTTTCTTTTTCTTTTTTGTATTTGTTTGAAGTTAATCTTCAAACTGAATCATTGATCAGTGATGAATACGAGAAAAAATATAAAAACAGATAAAGAAAAGGGCAACAGATTGTAATATGAAGACATAATACGAAAAGAAACTTGTACAGACGACAAATTCAACCTTTCTTTTCTTTTCATTTTGCATACCAAAGGAAATTGTATAAATATTATTTGGAATCTTTATTTATTAAATGTCAAAATATTTGATTAAGTTTATTAGAGATAAATTTATCTTTTGTACCATTGAAAACTGTTTCATCTTTTTTTCGTAAATGACAAAGCTATTCTTATCATTTGGGTTTAGAGTGCAGAACAAAAGATAACAATTCGTCATTTTCTTAATTTTCATCAAGGTTTTTCTATGTCTCATTAATTAATATTTATATTTAAATCATAGAAACAACATGTTCGAAGATATGTCTAATGAGTATCGTGTTTTTTACACTTGACAATATGTGATTATTTCGTAATAAAAATTAAATGAAAAAGTGCATTTAATTTGACTGTTTTGACCTTGAGGGTGTAGGTGTGCATTCATATTGGAATTGATATTAGGCTGTTGGTTGTCCATTTCTAATATACGTCGAATTAGGCATCTCATGTCTTAGTACTTGTACACAGATGTTGCAATTTGCAATATTAATGACTCGGTTTACCACTTACACATACATGTACAGTCAGTACAAATTTTGGAAGCCGTTCAAATGTCGCATACTTCCGTCAGTTGAATTCATATTCATCGTCATATTTCATCGATAATTGTCATCGAGCTGCAGAAAATCTTCTACAATTCGTACATGCGAGACGCACTATTTCTTACAGTATACTCTTGGAAACATCCATGGGAAAACACACCTACTCGCTTAAACACGTGTTCATGTTCATCCAGCTGTCATCGAACGCTTTTCAAATAGTCCTTCCTGCGAATACATCATCACCAGGTATATCTGTTCACTCATCGCTTCCAGCACGGTGTAAGGTATTTTCACTATTCAGAATTTGGATAGAAAATTCGTCTCCGAACATGTGCCGAAGCTGATCGGCATATTATTCGATAGATCTCATCAAACTCTATCAAATGACATCTAGCTCACTATTATATGTACTGTCTGTTGAGGCATATGATCAGAAAAACTCAACGGGTGTGCTTAGAGCAAAGTATTCGTCTCATAAGCTCATCTATCAATGTGTGCCAACGCAAACATAGACACCATTCGGTAGAGCTCGTTGAGTTCTATTTGGCACACAACAAAGAACAGGTGGCAACCAAGTAGAACGAATCGTATTTTTGAAAATTTGAATGGCCGGACAACTTTACTTACATATAGAATTGATATTTTCAAACAACGACATATTATAAGTACTATTGAATTCCAGTGTTCATAGAGAGCTAGTCCTTAGATATCGGTGTGAAGCTAACACGACGGAGCTAGCACGAACAAATGATATGTTAGGTAAAAACTTTTTTACTAAATATGTCCCGTCCATGAAAACTACACCATTCGACTCAGAATTTAATTATGCATCGAATGGTGGTACTTTTATTCACGGAACAAACTTTGGAAAATTTTCTATCCATATATTTGTTCATTTCCTATATGTCTATTTATAATCCAGATAGAATTTTTCCAAAGTTTGTTCCGTAAATAAAAGTACCACGATTCGATGCAGAATTAAATTCTGAGTCGAGTGGTGTAGTTTTCATGGATGGGACATATTTAGTAAAAAAGTTTTTAGCTAACACGTCGTTGTTCGTGCTAGCTTCACACTGATATTCGAAGCTAATGATGTTCAAGTGTGGACAAAGTAGAATTGTTTTCGAACCTCTTCTCTATCATCATTTTTATAACATTCAGACTTTTCGATCGGTCACAAATACTCGATGACAGAGATCGTCATCGAATCAAGCACATACTTAACAAGCTCATCACAAGTATTGTCAACTATGAACGGTAATTGCTCGAATCACCGTTCTAATCAAACGAATATCTTTTCGAAATTTAGCGAACAAGACTTTCAATTACTTGAGGCACTTGCAAAACGACTATTGTCACCCGAAAACGGCAGAGGAGAAAATGAAGAACCAATAGTATTAACTGTGCTTGATCAAGAACGACTGATAAAACTTCGTACACTTTGTAAACGTTTGAAACATTATGATTTTATTGGAAAATTACTTTCAACTATGTTCACACGAGTATGATCGGACTTGATACTTGGATTCTTTCGAAAAACGAAGTCTATGCTTCTTGCTTAGGAAAAATCAAACGAATTATTTCTTCCACCAATCAATAAAACGCCTCCTCGAACTCATTTATCATCTCTTTCTTTTGACGATGCTCGAATTTCGTTACCACTGAAGAAAAAACCACGAATATCAGCAGCACAATCCCCAACATCAGTATGTCCTATATTCCACTCAAGATCTTCCTTCAAATGCGTGTAACTCTCGTTCATCCTCTACAATTTCGTAGTGTATCATTGATAGGTAACAAAAGACTATATTACTCCTCCGCTCGCTTTTCTTTCGATCTNAATCTACTGAAAAGATAAATCGAATGAAATCATTTTCAGCAAACCCGACATTTCGGTATTATCTATCACGAGATGATTATTTCGAATTACTTCAACTGAGTTTCATAGGAAGGATCACAGAGAAGCCAAATGATTCGTTTCAAACGCTTTTCATCAATTGATGAAACAAGTCGAACCAATTGATCCATTTCATTACTAAGTGTGTGAATTTCTTCGATAGGATCCACAAATGCCGCTGAACTTGTCCAAACGAGAATAAGATTATTTGGCAATCGAAGAATCTTATCGGCTGTTAATCGAACACACAGATTCATCACGAAGCTGGCCGCCGTAATGATAGATGAAAAACGTATGAATCAAATCGGGGATCTCATTTGGCAGTAAAATAATTGAAAGAAGAAATCGATCGATAGTATTCATTGTCGTTGTCTGTTCAAATGGAGATTTATTCATAAAATCGAGTTTAGTCATCGAAAAAAGATATTCTTTCCATTCTTGTTGATGATCAACCAAATGTTCAGAAAGATTTGGATATTTTCTATTGATCACGTCCGAAACACAAACTACCCATGCATGTCGGTCAACAAACGATGGTCGTTTTTCATCATTGAGAAAATCTGGAATAACTTGTTGATTCACTGGATTGAATTTTGTCATTATCGTTTGAAATAACTGAATACCCTCAAGTTTATCTTGTGTGAGAAGTGCAAATAAAATCAAAACATATTCGAGTTGATCTTTGCACATGGCCGATGACAGATACGAATAAATTGATTGAAAACAACGAAGATAAGTTTCTCTTGCTTGCACTTTATTGATCATATCCGAATTGTAATTTGATAAATCTGTATTTTTCGTGATTTCAACCCGTCGTGGCAAATTCTTCGTTAAAATTTGTAGAAACCATTGTATCGGAAGTTTCAATTGGTTAACTCCGTCACGTAATAAGATATATAATTGCGCTAATTGTTTCGAAATGTCTTTATATGCTTCACCTCCTGTTCGTGTGCAAAGAACATTAAACTGAATACGATATTCATTGAGTGTCGTTTCAATCGAAATGCGATTCTCATTAGATTTCTTCAAATCAGCTAATAATTCAATGGAATCGATTGTCAACCAAATTCTCCTGAAAGAAAACAAACGATTTTCAAATAGTGAAATATGAGTTTGAACTAAACGTACACGTCGTTGGTATTGTTCATTGAGATAAGTACGAATATAGTTTTATTTCAACTTTTTTTATACGAACTACTCGGTGACATAGTATTTAACATTGAGTGAGAGAACAAAATGCAGTTAGCCGCACAGACACAATATATTTTAGCAAAGCCGAGCATAATTGATCAGTATTCTGAGAACAACCTTAAAAAGCAATATATATGAGTATTTCTATGATGTTACAAAACCATTGTCTACGAATTAGCTCGAAGCCGAACTGTATAACTTAGGATATAATTGTAATCACATTAACGATTAAGGGATTATGAGTCGTTTTCGACAATGTCCTTCTTATCAGATATTTTACCAATCGGAGGATCATTTTTTGAGAGAGATACATGTTAAATATATATCCTATTTGAAATACACCTCAGGTATCATAAGCTCGAATGAAACATCTGGTCACATTATATGGTGCGACCCTGAAGCACGAGAACGTAATATGTTCAATGAGAAATACAATTGAAAAAAAAAGAAAAGATGTGCTTCTTTGATGATGAAGAGCAAAAGAAAACCAATTAAAAATATATAATTATATCTTAAAACAGGAAATATTTTAGTTGAAAATTTATTCTTTCGTTTGTTCGTCATGGTTTTTCGATGCATGATTAGCACTTGACATAGCTTCTTTCAATTCTTGTAACTTCTCATTTAATTGATCAACATGAGCAACAAAAGATTGTTGCGGACGTACATCTCGATGTTTCTCAACATATTCCAATGCTTCCTAAAGAAAGAATCTCAATATTACATCTACAAAATAGTTTCAGTCAATTCTTTTTACTTTCGAACTGATTCTCTTATGGAATGAAATAAATGCAACAATGACAGCTGCAGATCGACTAACACCACGATCGGAATAAACAAGAACAGGATCTCCACGATCATAAGCCACAGCTAAAATCGAACAATTATTTAGATGCTTGCAAATTAACGCAAAGAAGAACAACATACATATAAAATTAACAGCATCACGTAATAAGTCCGAAATATTCTTTGCATCATGAACATCATCGATAGGAACACGACAGTATTTTCTTGAATCTCCATTTTGTACTCTAGATACAAACAATAATCAATAAAGTTTATACAGAAGTCAATAGCGAACATGAAATCATCATGTTTTGTACAGTTAACATAAGCACGAAACTTCAAATCTTTGACTATTTGTGAATTAACGGCATGTTCACGTCGTCCCAAATAGACTAATCGTGGACAAATTTCATTTGGATAAGTTTGTATCAATTCCAGTTCCTAACAAAATATCTCTCTTCTTTATTCAATAAGAACTAATCATGTCAATCTTGCTTTAGGCGAATAAAGTGATTGTTGTGTTCGTAAAAATGGATACAACTTTGTAAACAATTGATATCCACCTCGAAGGATTTTGATAATTGTTAAACCACCAGCATATTGTTGCAGTACATTTGCACATGCATAGACATCATCTAAATCAGTTTCTAGTAATGACATGATCACTCAAGATCTCTACCTTTTTCGTTCAATGGTAAACTATCGGTGACATTGTCATAGAGAACAATATGTTCCCGTGTTTCCAGATCAGCATGCCATGGTATTTGATATTGTCCATCTTTGTCCTTTAGAAAGAAACACATGTACACAAATATGTTGTTAAATCAATTAAGTCGCGAGTAAACTTACACGTCGAATATGAGTAGCACTTATAACATGACTTTCATCGTACTCTTTACGTGATCGACAATCTATTTTGAAAGTAATAATGTAACTAGGAAAAAATATATTTCTCTGGCTAAAGTAAAATACAAACCGAGCAAATAGAGATAGTTTGTATCGCTAATACGAGCTAAACCGTTGATTTCAGCATTGAGAATATTAAATAGATCAATACATTCAATTAGTTCATAGGGTGGTGGAAACATGATTCGTTTTTCGTATTGAATGCGAACGATAATTCTTCGCTGCTAGACATTATTATTTCCATCTCTATGGACAACGCGCGTGTCTATTGAACTTATACTGCCATCTACAGTGGAACTACATATAGAGAAAGAAAGTTTCCTAAGAAATATGAACAAAAGAATTGATGGAATTCTTGAAAAATGTTTTCCAAGAAAATATTGTCATAAAACTAAAAAAATCAATGAAGTAAATATGCTGATAGGAACAACGATTTGTTCAATGATGACTCATTTCTTTCTTTCATCGAACCCTTATTACAATACTTGTCTGTCTGCCTGCAACTTCTCCTCTTCTATCTGTCAAGTTAAATTATGTATGTTGTTTCGTTTCTTTCTTCTTAGACAAGAAAATAAGAATTAACATATTTCGAATTAAATTCAATTATTGTCAATCTTTCTTTTTCAGATCAAATGATCGTACCTCGTCTTCGGAGTGAAGCCCGTGGCGGAACATCATCTGGTACATCGACTCGTTATAGTAGCGGTGTCTACGGAAATAAAGTGAATAACAATAATCATGCAAATGATCCTGATCTTAAACGAGCTCTTCAGTATTCTTATACATCACAAGCTGTAAGAAAATGGGAAAAGCGTTGGGTTATTATTCATGAAACATCTATGCGTGTGCATAAGTGGATGCCTGCACCAGCATCAGCTCCTACGCTTGCTTCACAAATTGTTGCTGACAAAACAGCTGCACTTGCTAATAATGATACCAATACGGAACAATCTCAAGAAGAATCTCAAGTTACCCAACATCAACAACAACCACCACCATCACAAACACAGCAGCAAGAAGAATCAACACCGAGTACGACACAAGATACTCAAATGGTTGTTGATGAAGAGAGTACTAGTCAATCAAGTCAAGCTTAGATCAAATTCAATGTCTGAATCTCAATATTTCTATTTCCTCTTTCTCTCTTCAATATATGTAATACTTTATTCTGCGTTCATTATGTATCTTAATTCTTTTTTTTTGTGTTTTCTGTTTTCTCTTCCTTTTTTTCTTGTACAATAGTGTATCTGTACATGTCTTTGTCGGTATGAAAATTCGAAAGACAAAAAATACACATCATGCAATGATCTAAGTTTATCATTAGTCAATAAGTGAACAAAAAAGAATAACTATGACATTCACAATAAATTATCTATTGATTCTTTGCGTAGATCATCCATTTTGTGGTTGAAGTTGATTTTTACATCTCAATGCGTGTCTCACTTTATGTAAACCGGCCAAACAAACAAATGGACAGAGAAGACTTGATAAATATTGATAATAACTAAGATAATCGGAATAGATTGATGACAAAAGACGAGAAGATGTGAAAAGTGTAATAACAAAACATATCACGCACGGTAACCATACTAATATATAAAGTGTGGACAGTGCTACGAGTTGAACAATAAGACGGCGACTTCGATTCCATATTGATCGTTGAGTTGTTACTCGACTCTTTTGTATTAAAACACGAATCACGATTAATAATGTTGCAAAAGTACTGAGAAGAACATTTATACAACCGTTAACCACCCAATCCAGCGTGCCAAGAACAGGCTACAATGCAGATCAATTAAGCATCATCGTTTTCAATGAAAGTTACGAATAAAAATGAACTTTTCACTTACTTCATAGAGATAACAAGCGCCACCACATGTCCATAATGAGTAATCATAGTTATTCACACACGAATATCTCGTTACCAGGTAACTATAAAGTACAACTGGATATAGAATACAAAGACACAAGGGAATATAATGTAAAAGAAAGAGATGTCTATCGAAAAACGTTCGATGGAACACCAGCCAATATCGCTGAATACTTGCTACGGCCATTGTCCATAAACTGCATGTAAAAAGCATATAATTAAAAATAATCCAAAATTGACAAAATTCTCTTGATGAAACGACTGCTGAACCGGTATGTAAGAAATTTAAAGTTAATGGCAATTCACCAGTGACCTACAAAATATTGATTTTAGTAGAATATGATTTCGTTTAACCTATCATTTGTCATACTTGGATAAATGTGAGGATTAGCAAAACAAGCACAACATGATTATTGATTCGTTGACGTACTTCTCGCAATCGAACGAAATGATAAAAGATGAAACACGAACAGAGAATTGATGGAATGATCAAGATGAGTAATATTAGAAAAATAATGAACTGACTATATGAAATATACTGTTCTGATTGTGTCATTTTTTAAAAAATCTATGAAATCGACTTGGTAAATATCGTTTGCTTGATGTGTTTTATACGAGAACGTTGGTCGTCTTCATCTAATAATAATACGAAAGAGAATATCATATATTTAGATTTTTCTTAGAAGGCACATAAAATGTCAGCGCACTCTGCGTTCTGTTTTAGGGCAATAATATCTTTATTAATAAAATTACATCTAACCTAAAATATCAACGATAGAGTCAACTCAATAATTCTCTAAATTTTCATTAGCCCAGAATCCTTTCTCTGAATACTTCCTCCTACTCATATGAGAAAAAAAACAAAAGTTATTCTAAAAAATATGTTATCATAAAAATTAAAATGTATGATGATAATACTGTCAAATATAACGAAGACAAATGACACTATGAACGAAATCATGCGACATACTCGTGAGATCTTTTCACGATAAACAACGGCAGTCATCTAATCGTTTGCATACTTTGTTCCATCGAAGAAATACACAAAATGTCTTTGTTGCAATCGTATTTTTCGTTAATAGTATTGCTTAAATTCTATAATGGAATGATATGAAACATCTGTCACATTATGATTGCCAGTTATTGACGACTTGCCATACCAATTGTTTCCTTTTGTTCAATGTATTCAATGAAACTGTTGTTTATATTCTATTTTCATACTGCAAAATTCGTTATCATTTATTTAGAAACACATTATATATAAACACAATTCACAAATATATATCTATATATATAAAATCATATCGTAGTTAAATAGTCAAATTTTTAGCACACTTGACGAAAAATTAAAATAGAATAAGCATGTACAGTTATTGTGTCATCTGCATGATATATTCTTTCGTCGTAATCTTCCTCTATGATTTTATCTTTACTTGTATCTAGGATCAACATCCAATTCTTTGCATATTCTTCACCAGGTAATTTATAATTGATGTATCCATAATATGCATTGAAGATTATATAAAAACTATTGTCGACTCGTTGTCGACCGAATGTTGTGCGAGAACATATTCCTCGACCGTTCATAAAAACACCGAATGACTTGGCATAATCTTGTTGCCAATCTTCTGCTTTCATGTGTTCGCCGTCAAATTTAAACCAGGCGATATCTTCGACTGAACCAGGTCTCACAGGTTGACCATCAAACCACGTACATCGACGGAAAACAGGATGGTGACGACGTAAACTAATTAATCGTCGAGTGAATTCCAGTAAATGGTGATCAGCCTTTTTCCAATTCAACCATGAGATTTCGTTATCTTGACAATAAGCATTGTTGTTGCCTTGTTGTGTTCGACTCAGTTCATCACCAGCAACTAACATTGGTATTCCTTGTGATAAAAATAATGTTGTCAAAAAGTTTCGCTTTTGACAATCACGAAACTCATTAATATGAACATCATCTGTTGGACCTTCAACACCACAGTTCCACGAACGATTATAACTTTCACCATCAATATTGTTTTCACCATTTCGCTCATTATGTTTCTCATTATATGTTACCAAATCGTTCAGTGTGAATCCATCATGTGCTGTCAAGAAGTTGATCGACGCAGTCGGTCCTCGACGTTCTTCACGATACAGATCTGAACTTCCTGTGAAACGCTCAGCAAACTCGGACAGCATACTTGGCTGACCACGCCAATAATCTCTCACGCAGTCTCGATATTTTCCATTCCATTCTGCCCAGCCTGGTGGAAACTTGCCCACCTGATATCCACCTTCGCCCAGATCCCATGGTTCAGCAAGTAACTTCACTCGACCGATGACTGGATCTTGATGAATGATGTCAAAAAATGCACTCAGTCGATCAACAGCATGCAATTCACGAGCCAGAGTAGCTGCTAAATCGAATCTGAAGAAGAGAAGAGAAGAAAACAAAACGGAATAGTTGAAGAGATTTGATGGAGAAAAGACAAGATTACCGAAAACCATCGACATGCATATCTAAGATCCAATATCTGAGACTATCCATGATCAATCGAAGAACATTCGGTAATCGACAGTTGAGTGTGTTGCCGGTGCCAGTATAATCGAAATAGAATCGCTTGTCATGCTCTGCAAGTCGATAATAACTTCTGTTGTCGATACCCTTGAACGATAAGGTCGGTCCGAACTGATTTCCTTCGCCAGTGTGATTGTATGCGACGTCGAGAATGACTTCGATACCAGCCTTGTGGAGTTTCTTGACCATTCGTTTGAATTCAAGGACTTGTTCGCCAAAAGTTCCTGAAGATGAGTAGCGAACATCCGGAGCGAAGAAGCCAATGGTATGATAACCCCAATAATTAGTCAAGCCACGATCAACCAAATGACGATCCGTAGTAAAGTGCTGTATAGGCATTAATTCAACGGCCGTTATTCCCAGCTTTTGCAGATATTCAATTGTTACTGGATGAGCTATTGCAGCGTATGTTCCACGGATCTCCTCAGGAATATCGGGATGCAATTTGGTAAAACCTTTCACATGCAATTCATAGATAATTGATTCATGATACGGTATATTGGGTGGTGTGTCACCACCCCAATTAAAACTGTTTGAATCGATCACAACACACTTGGGAATATATGGTGCACTATCTTCGACATTCATTGTGAGATCTTTATCAGGTGATGGATCATGGATATTGTAACCGAATAGAGAATCATGCCATTCTAGGGTTCCAGTAATAGCACGTGCATATGGATCGATCAAGAGCTTGTTGACATTGAAACGATGACCATTGTGAGGATCGAAAGGGCCATCTACGCGATAAGCATAGATTTGGCCAGGTTCAACATCTGGTAAGTAGATGTGCCAGATCCGATGTGTTTGCTCTAAAGAAGAAAAGAATATTCATATTCTTCTCGGGAGTATACGCAATGAACTCTACCTTTCATATTTATTCGTGTACATTCAATTAAATCATTTTTGTTATCGTGGTTTGATTCAAATAAACATAAATAGACTTTTGTCGCATACTCTGAATACAACGCAAAGTTCACACCATGACCATCGTAATAGGCACCCAGTGGATATGGTCTTCCTGGAGCCGTTGTAACGATACTATCTTCCCATTCCGAATGAAAATTCACTGGCATAATTATTCGAAAAGAAAATAATTGGAAAAATGACTTGCAGAAACAATGTACAAATGAACAATCAATTGAATTCTATAAAAAAAATGAACTAATCGACTCTGACACGATTCGTCCGTGTTTGAAAAGAAAGACTTCAATCGGGCGATCGATCGATGCGATGCATAACAATGCACTCACGGAGGACATCTGTCTGTCCATCGTTATGGTCTTTCTCTTATTGTCTTTTATACTGTATGACATACGATAGAAACAAATACATATGAGTCGGCATGATTTTGCTCTTTAATAGAAAGAAATCGAATCATCTTCGCAATTGTGCATAGAAAGAGATTCGAAATAAAGTGTTTGAGAGTGTTGTTTATGACGATGAAAGAGAATTAATTAAAACAATTCTTTACTTCAACTTATTCATTCATATCTTCCATTGGGTATTAATGGTATCAGTCTACATTCGATTTCACCTTCGTCAAAGATGAAGAGACGAGTTCTATAGTTTTAATTAGTTTGAACATAAATTTCAGCTAATTGAAATAGTTTTATACCGTGTTCATCTGTGCCATATGTGATTGGTAGAACTTGTAGATATCGTGCTTGAATAGGAGTGGTAAATGAACAATTTACTACTGTAGTGGTATTTGTATAATGTTGATCTATAATATGAACGAAGCTTTGACTATCGTTGCTTGCTCGAACAGCAAAATCAACAGGAAAACCATAGCCCAAGTTTCGTGAAACGAGTGACAGGGTTTTGACGGAGAAAACTGTACCCAAATTGATGGTTAGAAACTCATTATTAGCTGACTGTGATGACCAATAAGTGGTAAAATTATGATCCCATACGAAAGGGCCTGACATAGACCAGTTCACGTTTGACGACACTGCAACATCAATAACAGTGCCTAATGGTAACTGAACAATTTGAATAGGTGTCAAATATGTTGGCCAGTTGCCCCAACCTGAACCTTGTGGTTGATAAGCATATGAGACAAAATGATACTGATTTTCGAGTTGAATCCAACCTGTTGTTGAGCCGCTGATACCAATATTATGTGCACCTTCTTGAACACGATGACCAATATAAGGTGTTGATTGGAACTGTAAACCATATCGATCTGTCGATTGGTAAACTCCCACTGTTGCTTGAGAAGAAAATCGATTAACGGTTGTTACACCAATAAACCGCTGTAATTGCGGACACCATTTTATATCAGTTGAATCTTCGCCAAGATTCACACGTCGATTAATAACGTGTCCTTTATATTGTAAATACAACGGCCAAGTATCTTCGTTCGTTGCATTGAGTTGTACTATAGCTAAATCTGTGTATGAACCTGTATCATCCGCATTAGTATAATAAACATAGATAAGATTGTCAACGAGAACCAGAGATGGTTCGCCAATACCATATTTGCTCGATGGTCCATGATATGCAACGATCGGTTGAGGATTACTTGAATTCCAACCGGTACCGTTCCATTTTTCATAGTTTCCATTTGGTGTCAATGATCGTGCTAAAAACAGCTGATTTTGTGTCGCATTTGGATTTGTTGTTGACGTATATCCAATGTAATAGTAACTCTTAATCTTGATAACGCCCGGATCGCAAGCTGAATATGTGTCCTGAGAGCCAGATGTTGGTTCCAATGCTATTTCGTCCAGTGACCACGTTTTACCCGAATCACTGGAATTATGATACCGAATAACATCCCATTGCGTCGAACCTGTGCCTTGTGAACATGTCCACATATGAATGAGATTGTCTTTATTTTCGTCGATTAGTATCGATGGACCATAATGATAAGCACCACCAGGATAAATTTGCCAACCGGACGACGTGCCATTCAAACCATTAAGAATAGCCTGCGTTCTTATACATAAATAGAGAAAGCATAGGAGAACACTGATCATCGCTCTTCTTGTAGTGATGATGAAAATAAAAAGTGCAATTGCTTTTAAAGATGGTTCTTATCGAATATATCAATAGCAGTTATTGGATGAGAACGCATCCATATTGCTCTGAGAAAGCAACGATCTTGTTATATAGAATATTATAGCCGGAGTTTGCATTCATACATTTATCTGTCGTGTACCGGAGTAGAGATCATTTGAAGGAGGCGTCTTCATTAACATCTCATTTCGATTTTGTCAAGCGAATGATAACGTGACGACTTGGTATCATCAGAGAGAATCGAATATTGTCGTATAAAACTACAACTATAAATAGACTATTCAATTCATAATTGACGTTCTATAAGTGTTTGTAAGAAGCTTTTCTTTACTTGTAATATCATTTCTTAAGTAGTAAACATTTCTCCTTACCTCCGTTTACCATCTACTGATTTAAAAAGACTATCTGATAGAAAATCTCGATTCTTAGAGAGACTTACAATTATCAAGAGAACTCTAGAGAATAATTAATCTGTAGACAAAGAAGTATACAGACATGTTCTTGTAGCTTCGAAATTAAACGGTCTTGCTTGTTTTCTTCTTAATAGCAAAGAATTATATATAAGTGACTGCATTAGAGCAAACTAAAGAACAGAATTATTCTTCGGTCAACTTTCAAGTAACGGTCACAGGAAGAATGAATCTGGCACAGATTATGCGGATTATTTTTGGAATAATCACAGCACAACTGATATTGTCACTTATATGTTCATTGTTTTTAATTTTTCAATTCGCAACCAATCGTGATCTACGACGACGAAAAACTAACCATATTTTTATCATTTTGCTGCTACTAACATTCTTACAGGTGAGCACACGATTTCCCATTTTCAAATATAAACCAAATTAAAATCAAAAAACTGTTTTCTCATGTTTTCGTGTAACTTAATAAACTATCGAGAGAAATCTGTTTTGTTCTGTTTAGAGCACAATTGAAATACCATTAGCTTTAACATTTCTTTGTAATAGTGTCGCAGCATATTCATCAGCCAGTTTTTGTCTATTTTGGATTCTACTGACAGAAACGCTTGATATTACCAGTGTATTCTTAATGGCATATGCGTCGATCGAACGATATCTATTTATATTTCATGGCACAATGATTCAAAATCATCCTGTTCTATTTCGATATTTACCATTTACTTTCTGCACTACTTATCCTCTCCTATATATTAGTGGAATTATATTTCTTTTGCCTTGTCAGAACTATTTTATTTATTCGGCATTTTTATGTACCGGTGGATGTTATCTTAACGATCCGTTTTGGAATGCTGTGACATGGGTCGGAAATATCAGTTTGCCTGTGTTTCTCATCTTGTCGACCAACATTCTTTTGATTGGGCGCACTCTTTATCACAAGAATAAAATGAAACGAGCGCAGCTTTGGTCAAAAAACTGTAAAATGGTATTGCAGTTGGTGTCCGTTGCTGGACTTTATTGTTTTGCATGGTTACCCAGTGTTATCCTTATACTAATAGTTACATTTCCTTTATCAAATGTTAATACAAAGCAAATATTTTTCATATTTCAATATATGATCTTCATGACAAGTTTGACACCTTTGTTCTATCCTTTCTTTTGTCTTTTTGGTCAACCATTCATCTTGAATAAGATCAGAAATATTTTCCAACGACGAAATACAGTTATTCCTGTTAAATCCAATGTTACCGCGACAAGAAACCGATTGAACAATCGTTATCCTCATCGAGTTGTAACAACGAAACAAGTTTTTTCTTTGGATTAGAACAATTTGAGACTTTATTAGCAATATCGTTTGCTCTTGAATGTTGTATTTTCTGTAAACTCAATAAACCAGACGCTCCAGTTACATGAAATAGTATATCCAAATCCGAAACTAATTTAAAACGTTAACAACATAAGCTTCTTACACATGAGCTGTTTATGGAAGCCGGTGAACATATTATACGAGTTGTTCATATGAATTTCCTCGAAACTACGTATCATTAATCCTTTCTTCATCAAACCAATAATGGACTATTTAAATAGATGAGTAGGAGCTCATTGTTTTATGAATTAAAAATTTAAAATACTTTCATTGCGATTTTAAAACAAAAAATGAGCAAGCAATTGGTTTTTCTCGCAGTACGTTAGATGTGACAGTGGATATAAAGACTTGCGTGTGTCTGAAATACTCCGCAGGATGCGACAATGATGTGTTCTTGTAATGATTTCTGTTCTGAATGAGTCAATTTTATATTAACTTTATTACAACAATTTATCGAAAAAAAATACAATATTGTTTTCTAACTTTTTGAAAGTGTATAAAAAGGGAGAAACATCACGTGAAGTGCTTTTTTTAACAAGTCCATGTATGTGTTACTGACCATATCCACTTGGTTTCTACGATTGTAAATATATAAATCACAATAAAAATAGATAGTGAGAAATATGAAATCTTACATAGCTGGTCTTTTTAATGTAAGTAACAAGCCATTGACATTTTTCTTGTAGACCCATATCGGGTTTTGACCGAGAATAACGTCCAAAATCTTCAGTGAATTGCCGATACAGAATATGATTTGTTCTGATTTTCAAGGCAAATTCGTAAAGATTCTCGATATGCCATGCAAGATTGTGTTGCAATAAAAAGATAAACTTTTGGATTTCTATTTAAACAAAGAACACTATTGTTTCGAATTTCGAACTAATCTGAACTGACTGTACCTTGTGCAGTGATCTTCATGTTCTTTTCGAAGAAGTGGTTTATTTGTTGTGACGTCACATACACGTGAATTATTTCTTTTACATTGAAATTGGATGCAACGGTCGAACCATGAAACTGTGCATCATAATCCAATATGTCTTCGTTATTAAAAGACCAATCGGTTTCTATCACATAATTTTCGTTATTTACAGGTTTCTAGAAAAGATCAAGAATAAAGATGATGAAATCAACAACGGATAGTATACCTCTCTATACTTTAATTTAGAATATTCTTCAGGATCATTCGAACGTTCACGAAATATCATCACTGAGCTACTTGAAGCACTTTTGAATCTTTTTGATTCGTTTTCGCAGCGCGTCGAACTGCTGTTTCCTATGAAAAATTCAAAATAAACTTCCTTTTATTCAATTTTGTGGGATGATATGAACCTGAGTTGACTCGGCCATTTGGATTGTTAAAATGCCTTTCACATTCGCGTTGAAATGCTTTCAACTCTCGTAAAATTGCAGGTTTAACTTCAATTATCGATGATGCACTATCACGCACAAATAACTCCAATTGCTCTTTTTCGTTAACCGCATTGCGAACATTGAGCAATTCGATGTTAAAATCATCAACCTGTAAGATTCCCGCGTACGATCTTATTCCAATTGTCAAAAGAATAGTATTTGCCATATTAGCTTCCAGATTTGCTCGAACATACGCTTCGAATTCACGATGGTCGATAGCTCGAGTTGGCTTTATTTTTCTGGTTGATGACATCATCCTACAGTGGCACGAAGTACAAAGAAATAAGTCAATAACGAAGAAGCATTGCTGACCGGCCATTGTGATCATATAGATTGTCTTAGAGAACGCTAGTCAATACTTTGATACATTGTTGAAAGTGACATCTATCTAATATGGATAAACATGAGAAGAATGCGTACTTTGACATAAATGACTGAGAAATTCATTTCGAAATTACTTTTTGTCTCTTTCAAAATCGACAGAGGACGAATTATTCTAGTCAAATGTTTCTAATAGGAAAAGCTCAACTTCAACTGAATCTTCGTACAGATGCTTATTCGCATTCCAATCTGCGTCGTTCAAAAGAATGGATGATTTCACTCTTAAATTGAACAAGAGAAACAGTAGAGGTGGTGTGTCTATTGTAACTTAAGACAAGTAGACAGCCACAGATCCTTGACATAATTTGGGTCTCTGCTTTATTCCATTTCTACGATCTTTCTTTCAAGGGTGCGAGCTGGGGTTGGGTTTTATGCGGTTTCTTTTCTTATCAAGCTGAAAATGTGTACTAATTGCATTTCATGTTCTTCTTGAAATATTGATGGCGTGTTGCCTTTCTAATCAACCATCTATCATAAGTAATAGAAAGCATATCGTTTGATGACGAGAGCATACACTGTTCGGTTTATATGCAACAGAACATCCTCATCTTAACGAGCAATTAATTTATCAGTCTTTCTGTGTTTTAATTTCAACAAGGCGGTTAGTACTTCATATTTTTTTTAAATCAAAATCATTAGAAACTGAAGGAGTAAACAATAAAAACCAAAACTAAACATAAACGTTAAAGCATATCATGCAAGATGCTCATGTTTTGGTATAGCGCAAAGTAGAAGTAAAATAGAACAATCATGTACAGTTATGGTATCACCTGCCTGGTATATTCGTACTTTATTATCATCAGCAGTAATTTTATCTTTGCTGGTATCCATAATTAATGTCCATTCTTTAGCATATTCTTCACCCGGTAACTTGTAATCGATATAACCATGATAAGCATTGAAGATTATATAAAAACTGTCATCTGTTACTCGAACACCAAAAGCAGTTCTAGCGCGCATTCCACGACCATTGATAAAAACACCAAATGATTTAGCATGGTCATGTTGCCAATCTTCTTCACACATGTGTCCACCGTCAAATTTAAACCAGGCGATATCTTCAATTTCCCCAGGCTTGACAGGTTGACCACGAAACCAGGTTCGACGACGGAAAACAGGATGTTGACGACGTAATTTAATTAATTTTTGCGTAAATGTCAACAATACTTTATCAGCTTTTTCCCAATTCAACCATGAGATTTCGTTATCTTGACAATAAGCATTGTTGTTGCCTTGTTGTGTTCGACTCAGTTCATCACCAGCAACTAACATTGGTATTCCTTGTGATAAAAATAATGTTGTCAAAAAGTTTCGCTTTTGACAATCACGAAACTCATTAATATGAACATCATCTGTTGGACCTTCAACACCACAGTTCCACGAACGATTATAACTTTCACCATCAATATTGTTTTCACCATTTCGCTCATTATGTTTCTCATTATATGTTACCAAATCGTTCAGTGTGAATCCATCATGTGCTGTCAAGAAGTTGATCGACGCAGTCGGTCCTCGACGTTCTTCACGATACAGATCTGAACTTCCTGTGAAACGCTCAGCAAACTCGGACAGCATACTTGGCTGACCACGCCAATAATCTCTCACGCAGTCTCGATATTTTCCATTCCATTCTGCCCAGCCTGGTGGAAACTTGCCCACCTGATATCCACCTTCGCCCAGATCCCATGGTTCAGCAAGTAACTTCACTCGACCGATGACTGGATCTTGATGAATGATGTCAAAAAATGCACTCAGTCGATCAACAGCATGCAATTCACGAGCCAGAGTAGCTGCTAAATCGAATCTGAAGAAGAGAAGAGAAGAAAACAAAACGGAATAGTTGAAGAGATTTGATGGAGAAAAGACAAGATTACCGAAAACCATCGACATGCATATCTAAGATCCAATATCTGAGACTATCCATGATCAATCGAAGAACATTCGGTAATCGACAGTTGAGTGTGTTGCCGGTGCCAGTATAATCGAAATAGAATCGCTTGTCATGCTCTGCAAGTCGATAATAACTTCTGTTGTCGATACCCTTGAACGATAAGGTCGGTCCGAACTGATTTCCTTCGCCAGTGTGATTGTATGCGACGTCGAGAATGACTTCGATACCAGCCTTGTGGAGTTTCTTGACCATTCGTTTGAATTCAAGGACTTGTTCGCCAAAAGTTCCTGAAGATGAGTAGCGAACATCCGGAGCGAAGAAGCCAATGGTATGATAACCCCAATAATTAGTCAAGCCACGATCAACCAAATGACGATCCGTAGTAAAGTGCTGTATAGGCATTAATTCAACGGCCGTTATTCCCAGCTTTTGCAGATATTCAATTGTTACTGGATGAGCTATTGCAGCGTATGTTCCACGGATCTCCTCAGGAATATCGGGATGCAATTTGGTAAAACCTTTCACATGCAATTCATAGATAATTGATTCATGATACGGTATATTGGGTGGTGTGTCACCACCCCAATTAAAACTGTTTGAATCGATCACAACACACTTGGGAATATATGGTGCACTATCTTCGACATTCATTGTGAGATCTTTATCAGGTGATGGATCATGGATATTGTAACCGAATAGAGAATCATGCCATTCTAGGGTTCCAGTAATAGCACGTGCATATGGATCGATCAAGAGCTTGTTGACATTGAAACGATGACCATTGTGAGGATCGAAAGGGCCATCTACGCGATAAGCATAGATTTGGCCGGGCTCGAAATCTGGTAGGTAGATGTGCCAAATTTGATGCGTTTGTTCTTAAATGAGTGTGAAACAGTATGGTTTTGTGGTAATAAATTTCTACAAAAACTAACCTTTCATTTTAATTTTAGTATATTCAACCAATTCGTCTTTGTTATCATGATGTGGTCGAAATAAGCAAAGATAGACGGCTGTTGCGAATTCTGAATACAACGCAAAATTGATTCCATGGCCATCGTAATAAGCACCCAGCGGATGTGGATTTCCAGGATACGTTACTAACTTCGATTCTTCCCAATTGAAATTACACGGTGTAGTCATATTTATCGAAAGATTTTTGTCTAAAAGTTAAAAAAAAATAAAATGGCTGTCTTCTCTTAGACCGTTTGAAGCGTTAAGTGAATATGCACTTGGTCATTCTCTTTCGTCTTCTGTTTAGTCATATCATCATCTTAACGGCAACCGATTATCACTGTCTGCTTTATCTATCTTTCTTACACTCTTATTGGATATTGAAAACATGCATTTATACATGCATATGTCCGCTAAGCAGTATTGTTTATAATAAATGCAGTTATACTCAATGAATCGGTCAATGATTTTTACGGTTGAAAGAAAAGTTAGAATAAGTTAAATCTGTTGTTATTTGCATATTCATAACAAAGAAGCAGTTTGACAAAAAAAAACGTGAAAATAACAACACGAACGTTAGGTCGAACATATGTTACTAGTACGAAAGAGTACAAGCACATTTATAACCCCTTCTCTCAATAGTAAACGACGCCTATATCGACACATACTTTTTGTTTTGTTGTCCATCACAATAAAAACGGAAAGGTGAATATCGGCAAAGCAGACGACAACGGCACGCGACAAACCTTTTCTATATAAATATAGATTATCGTCGAGTTGAAAACTTCATGTTTAGTTTTCATCATTTAAGTTTACATACGGCTATCTTCCATATTTATGATCCGACAGGAAAGTAAAAAGGGTATAGCACGTGGTTATGACTATAATATTCGCCCCTTAATGCTTTCGGTCGCGTATCAAACGAACGATTCTAATATACTGTGAGTTTATACGAATATGATATGTTTACGTAAATTAGATTTCATTTGTATCATTAAAAAAGCTCAAAATTCACCGAAGAAAACTATTAGAAAAGTGAATTAAGTTGAAAAAATACCGAAAGTTATCTATCATATTTATATTAAATTCATTCCCAAGCTTATCTCTCATACTATAAATATCTCGACTTTATCATTGTATACATAGTATGTGTAATACTAGAATGTAGAACCACTGGATAGTTTCATCGTTGGAATGAAAATATTTGATTACACTCGGAGAAACTTGTAAATACTCGATTACAAATGAGAATGTCTTTTTACAAATTTGTCTGTCTCGTTCGATGACTCCAAAAACCCCATTGTAGGGTAATGCTTGGTAGCTCGTTTGTTTTTCTGCTTCGTTTTTACATACTTTTCACACACTCTCACCCTTCTTTCTATACAGTGGGAGTAATCTATAGATACTAAAAGAACAATACCTGTTGACAATATCAAGAACACAAATAAGAACTCTGTCGGAAAATTATAAACTACTCTCTGACACTATGTTTGCATAACATCTATGCTGTACAACGAATGATTTGCTAATCGCTGTTCTATCATTGTGGAAGAACGAGAAATAACGTCGAGCGAGATTATATTCTACAACGGCAGACAAATGATACTATTACGCATTCTTCGCTCTCTCTTCTACATGATTTGTTATTTATATTTCTTCTCTGATTGGCATATTCTATTCTTTCTGATTTAAAAAACGGTTCCATCAATTCTTGATGTGTCATTCTTTCTTTTGCATTTATTAAAAGCAAAACAAGACTAACGACTGATTGCAAGAAGATACTCAGCAACATATAAAACTAAACAAATCTTTCGTTTATTTATTCGAGTTAATCGTCTTCGTCAACGTTGTAGATGAGATCATTTCGCTGGATATTCGATGAACTGTGTCAATAAAATGTTTAACATTGTCGATATTGGCATCAGGATAGATGCCATGACCTAAATTTGCAATGTAATGTTTCGTTCCGAAGATTTCAAGCATTTGTTTAATCATTTTTTCTAAATCGTCGCTCGATGCATAAAGTGCACATGGATCAAGATTTCCCTGTAAAGTCACTGTTGGATATTTATCTCGTATGGTTCGAATTTGTTTTCGTGTTATCGACCAATCAAGACCAACAACATCAAATGATGATGAGCATAATTCGTCTAATGCATAATGAGCATCTTTTGCAAAGATGATCAATGGAACGTATGGAATATGACGTCGAGTCAATGCTTCACGAACACCTTTAGCAATCTGACGTAAATATGGAAGAGAAAAACGGATAAACAAATCATGATTTAAGCAACCACAATGTGATTCAAACAGCGGGAGAAGTTGAGCGCCAGCACAGACTTGCTCAACGAGATGATCGATTATAAAATGAGTTAGGAATTGAAGAAGGTCATGCGATTCTTCGACGTATGTATATAACCATTTTTTCGCTTTGGAATGAGTTTCACTGCCTTTTCCTGAAGATAAAAAGACAAAGTATGTTTTGAATACATCTGAAAAATCATCCTTACCCTCGATCATGTAAGACATCAATGTCCATGGCGCGCCACTAAAGCCAATCAATGGACATTGCCCATTCAATGCGTGTCTTGTCAAAGTGATTGCATCATAAACATATTTTAATTCGACACTTGCTTGTCTTGATCGATCAATGCGTAACTTAATATCAGCTGGAACGTTTAACGGATGTGCGAAACGCGGTCCTTCCTTTGCGATCATGTCGACCTGCATTCCGAGTGCTTGTGGCACAACAAGAATATCACTGAAAATAATAGCAGCGTCAAGATCAAAACGTCGTAATGGTTGAAGAGTCACTTCGCAACACAATGCAGGCGTGCGACACACGTCAAAAAACGAATGTTCACTTCGAAGCGATAAATATTCAGGCAAATATCGACCCGCTTGACGCATAATCCAGATTGGAACACGTTCAAGTGGTTCACCACGACATGCTCGTAATATTAAGTTATTCTTTATCGGTGGGAATTCTTTTTGTAATTGTTTAATCGCCGAATCCGACATATCTGCAATGAAATGAACATAAACAATGGACTTTTCATTGCTGAATTCCTACGACACTCTAAGTAAAACTTACCGCGAGTGACACAAATCAGTATTTTATATTTACTAAGGAAAAGAATTATTTATATCCTTTCGAAATGAAATATTCATAAGTATATTGACATTCTCTGAAAATTTTGTCAGTAGAAACTAATCAAGTTTCGAAGAATTAATTTCTTGCGTCATATATATCTCCAGAGATCTTATTTTTTCGAATAACAATACCGAAAAAGTTTTGCATTTCCATATAGTACTTTTGTCTTTCGAATAATATCAAACAAAACTACCTTCTCTACTTATCTGTAAGTAAACACAGTCCTCATAGCGATACTTCTCTTAAAAACCAAACGTCGTTTTCGCAGTGATAAGGTATTAATTCAATTTGGAAAACCATCACTCATCTATTGAGAGAAAAAGATCAATCAAATCTTATTGGTTTATCTAATAAACAAATTATTTCCTATCTCGTAGTTCTCTCTTCACGTCATTATGACATCTATATCACACAAACATTTGATTTGTAATTTTTATCAACCATTTTATTGATTGAAACGAAAAAAAAACAATCATCTTATCTAAAATATCATAATGTACCGAAGAGCGACATCTACACCAATTACTAATATACGAATTTACAAAAGTTTTTCATAGTTTTCTTGTGAGCAGTATTTCAAAAGAAAAAAAAGAAAATTTTTCAATACGACGAAGGCTAAACTTATTTGTCAATGGTGTTCATCCATAATGGAATATATATATAAATCTAAACACACGCGAGTAGATGATTCATCGATCAATCTACACTCGTTTCTTTGTCTTTCTTGAATAGAAGGTTCTTTTTTGCTTACTAGACAAACTAAGTTCATTTCATTTAGATAAACGTTTACTTTTGGAAAATCATAACAACGAACAACTATTTTGTTACTTCATCAAACAATTTTTTTCTTATTTGTTATGAAATGGATCAACGCGAATCAGTCGATGAAATTAAAAAAGATACGAAAACAAAATCATCTTCAATATCTGATATTGATCAATTGTGTAATTTAATTGATGAAAGTACATTCGGTGGTTGTATTCAGGGGTAAAATAAAACGATTTTCTCTAGTGGTATTTTATTCAATTGCAATTTCCATCTAGGTCATCTCAAAAATCATCATCAAATCTATCTGTACGATTTCGTTCAGTTCCATCTTGTCAAGTAAAAGCGTTTCGTTCGTCTCGTCTGAAACGTTTACACAGCTGTTCGTCAATAACAAAGATTGATGAAGAGGACAACTCAGGAGAGAAATCTTCGTGTCGATCATTGATTCCATATACACGTCGAACATTTTCAATGCGTTTGTCACTATCAACTCCATCATTACTAAATCGTTTTCGTTCTTTATCAACATGTCACTTTCCCCAATCTCGTCGTAGTTCACATCAATCACCAAGTCTTCGTTCACATCATATTCGTTATCCATCTTCTACAACAATAACTCTATTTCGAACGAAATCAATTTTACCAGCAATCGTTGAAGAAGAATTAACCAATGATAATTTATCATCACCGTCACCTTCATCATTGTCAACAACTACTCAATCGCAATTATCATGTACGATCGTTGATACACGACGACCAACAGCGAATTCATGTAATGTTGAAGAATTAGCTGCTTATTTGGACAATTTTCTTTATTTACCTAAATCATTATCGGGTGCCGCTGAACTTATGTATACATAAAATCTTATTGGAAATTTTCATTTTGAATTTATCAAGAATATTTATTTGATAATATTTATCATATAAATATGTCGAAAAATTACACCAAACAAAGAGAGTGAACAGTTTGTACAGAGTTTTGTGTTCATTATCTATATACATATATTAAACTGTATACCGTTGCTAATTAAGATCATATCAACTAATTAATAAACGCGGATGGTTAATCATTTTCTTCTTTTCGTTTCTTTGTCTCAAATATGCTGTGCGAAATTTCTTTCTTACGAATAACTTTATCGTATCCAGGTTCCATGGTTATTATTCACATAGTTCCATATAACAAGTATGTGCTAAATGTGCACTTCATAGTGAATAGCATGCAGTGGACTGGATTATTCCCAATATTTTTTTAAAGTGAAAATCGAATGATACTTTGACCATTCTTTAGTCACATACAAGCAAAAAACAAATATTAATCCTACTGCTACGTGTTACTGTGGAAGGATTGACTGATCAGTGTCTTTTTCATAGTTTTTCTACAAGAGAACCCAAGTATATGCTTAGATTTATTTTTCGACGCCGTATGAGTTTAGTTGGAAGGAGAATTTTGGCATTCAATTTTCTGATGACAATGACATTCTGTCAACTGAATTTATATGATTGGCCAGTGTGGAACATGAATGATTTCGCACAGGATTTCATCTCACACACATGTTCAATTGTTTTGTGTTTTCGTGTTGGTGCATCTTTAAACACAGATCTCACGCTTTTAACCTAACAATTTGATTCATAATGTAAATGAAAGTACTATTCGATGAAGAGGACCATGTATTTGAGGGCGAACTAGAGAACAAGCTTTCGTATCCACAATGAAAATGCAACAACTTGTTGAAAAGTCACAACATTCTCCCTAAATAAGAGTCTTATTTCTTTTGAAATTTGAGCGATTTTTCACGGTACTTTTTTAGAATCTGTATATTTCCAGTCGAATCATGATAGCTGTATTTTCTTTTTTATCTTGACGATCTTATAATTTAAGAAACAGGTGGACACATCGAGACAGTATGCCAGACGGACTATAAACCGTAGACAATAATATAATCATTTATGTTCTAAATGAGTCGTTAGGTAAGATAATATAACGGATGCCACAGAGTTACTTTGAATCGAAACACTGTCTGTACTTTCTGGTTCCAATGCATCTCAACAAACAAAGATATTCTCTTTAGAGCACAAATTTCTTCTACGATTTCAAGAGAATAAAAATTCGCTTTTGAATGCTTTAAAAATAAACTGCGCGAACGAATACGAGGAGTCGCATAATCTGATTTTATGAAAGTATGAAGGTTAAACGTCAAATTCGCAGTATAATCATGAAAAGGTCGGATGTCGGAAATGCCGGAAAGTAAATTTTGAATTTAGTGATCCCCTTCTGTTTTTATACGTTCGGAAACAAATGAAAATGTTCCGCGGAATTCCGATGTGGATGTCTGCCTCTATCAATTGCGCGGAAGACGGTAGAACTAACTGCTTCCGCGCTGCGCTGTTTGACCTAGGATCTGATTGAAAAATAAAACAAACGATTTTTAAATAAATACATCTCACGTTGATCGTTGTGTACCTTTTAACTTGAACTATCACAAGACATACTGTCTGAGGGAACAGTGATTATTTTATTTGTTGTTGCCTAGCGTTAGCGAGCATCTGGATATACCTACAAAGTGGCTTTTCATCCATGTAAAATTAGCATCATAAATCTACGTCATATGAGTCTTATTTTTCTCCCCGATAGTATTCAAAATTATCGTGGTAATACATAACTAGATTCATTACGTAATCATTTCGTTCGCTTTCATCGAGATCTGGCTGAAGATTCAGCATTTAATGGACAGTTGTTACAGTGTCAATTACGTACACGTGATCTTTCTTTAAATGTTTCGTTTTATTTTTCAACAGAAAATCAGTCTTTCAAGACGCAGCCAGATGTCTTATATCGATAAGTATTCTCGTAAAAGTTTTTCATTTTCTTGTCTGCATCAAACAATTTTGAGGAAACTTGACAAAAAATTCCTTCTCTTCTCTGTTATAGATGATCGATAGATCGGTGAAGCTAACAGATTTATGCTATGGTTCAATATTTATTGCTATAGAGCACAGTGTAATTATCATCAACAACATGCTGCGCTCACATAGAATATGATGGGGGATCAGTAATCAAACTAGATTTATTTAATTAACCTGATTTTTTATCAATCTGCAAAATTCTGCTCGATGAACATTCAATTTTCTAATAGACTCAATTCGATTTCATTTAGCAAAGAACAGATACGTGGTTTCTGTCTCTGATTGATTTACATACCATTATGTCATTTTCTTATTGAATTATTTGCTTCAAACATCATTTAAACTCATTCATTTAGTATTAACAGTAAGCAACGCATTGTCTTTCATATCTATGTGACAATAAGAAACCTATCGCAATACCGACTAATGCAATTATCCATTGTTTTTTGAGTGATCGTCATCATATATTTACTCTTGAAAGGAATTCTTCATTGGACCAATTTGCCTTCAGGTTGTTGTAGTTTAACATGTCAAGTGCGATTGCACTGTTGTTTTTATAAAAGGTTTTGTTCTCAATGATATGTCCAATGTTTATTTTAGTTTTCAAATCGAAAATCATAATCCAATTGTGTATATGCCATCGGGATCAGCGCTATTCGACTAAGTTTTATATTTTGTCATACGATTAACAGAAAGAAAATGTTGTTTTCTTTTCTAATAAAATTTCTGCTATTGTGGATGCAAAAAAAGACTATAATTGACAATGGAAGATAAATTTCTATTCGATATTTTGTATTATCATCAATAGCATATTCACCTCGAAATACTAACATACGATAATATCGTAGCGAAGAAAAAGTTTTTTCAGAAACTTTGTGAAGATGTTTTTACCTTTGAGAATATGAAAATTATATCTCAAGACAAATCATTAGATCGAATAAGGACATTTTCCTAAGCAGGAGAAGACTTACCTGTTTCAATAGATGTCATACAATTACAAATGAAATTCTCATTTTGAATTGATTAAAAAGAAGATATGAAAAGAATTGAATTACACAAAAAATCCTTTTCTTCTTTCTTAAACAAAATCTTTGCTTACGAAAAGAAACTGTCTTATACAAATATTTTCGAATGATCTAATTGATTGGATAATTTATCTTATACAAACAAAGAATCCTTTTCTTTAATTGAAATAAGTCTTTGTAAAGATTCATTCGCGTGGTGGATTCATTCAAAGTCTTTTCTACTTCTTTAGATATTTCTCTCTCAGAAAAAAACACGCCCAATCTCATCAAAAAATGACAACACCAATGCACATTAATCCTCAAGAAGAACAATTGTTTCTTGCTACACTTCAAGATTGCTTACAAACAGATAATACAAAACGTGCTGCTGCTGAGGTTGGTATACTCCGCTCTTCTATATGAAAAGAAAAACGATTTAACATACACATCTTTTTTCTTTCATTCAGCAAGTCTATCAAGATATTCCTGATGAGAAAAAAGGTATTTTACTTATGTCGGCGATATGTAATACAACAAGAGGCGTGCCGGTAAGTTGAAGCACTATGTGAAAAGTGAGATTGATGATTCTTTTTAGATTCGATCGATGGCATCGATTATGTATCGACGTTTAATTCAATCACAATTTGAGAATTTCTGGCCAAAATACACCCCTGAGCAACAAATGATGTTGAAAAAGGAATTACTCACACGATTAATCCAAGTAGATGATGATGAAGATATTCGAAAGAAAATCTGTTATATCGTCGCTGAATTAGCCAAGAATTTAATGGGTAAACATTGAATCTCATCAAATGAAGTTGATTTCATGTGTATAATTTCAGATGAAAATGATCAATCGAAATGGCCGGAAGTTTTGGACTTTCTTTTCCAGTCGGCAAATTCACCGCATAGTAGTTTAAAAGAATCAGCTTTGATTATTTTCGAGTAAATTACTGTAGAAAGATAGAAGAGAACGAATGAATATGTTAATATTCATATTTCAGAGCTTTTCCGGGCATCTTCGGTAGTCAAGCGGAACAATTAACTCAAATTATCCATCAAATATTTTTAAATTGTTTAAACGATCAAGAAAAGAAAGTTCGTTACACAGCTGCAACTGCTTTCGCAGCTTATCTCAAAGACAATGCTGAAAATACTCAATTGATGAATATTTATCGCGACTGTTTACCACCATTTCTTTCGGTAAGAAAAATTTTAAGAAATATTTAACAGCTAAACATTTGTTCATCTTTCTAGACAATAACACATAGTTTGGCGAACTCCGATGACGATACAGTATTGAAAGCATTGATCGATATTGCAGAAAATACACCAAAATATATCCGACCAGCTATCGATGAAGTTTTTACGTTATGTCTTCATGTTCGTATATGACCTATTCTATTCCTTCGCTTCTTGATCAGTATTTGTATTGTATTGAATAGACAATGGAGCAAAAGGATGATTTCGAAGAATCACGTCGTCATTTAGCTTTGGAAGTTTTAGTTACTCTTTCTGAAACGGCAAGTGCTATGGTTCGAAAAGTGGCCAAAAAATACATGAACAAGCTTGGTAAAAATAAAAACAAACTGTCGAATAATTCCGTTGTCTCAAATTTCTTCTTTTCAGTTCCGCAACTTCTTGAAATGATGGTTGATTTGGATGATGATTCGGACTGGTCAACTAAAGATATAATTGAGGATGAAGAAGATGATAGGTAGTAGGATCGTTTTTAAATATCGTTCTCACTGGTTTCATTCGTCTGTTTAGTAATGCTGTCGTTGGTGAAAGTTCATTAGATCGTCTTGCTTGTGCACTTGGTGGAAAAACAATGTTGAATTATATTTTAACAACTGTTCAAACTATGTTACGAAATCGTATGTGCATCAGCGTTGATCCAGCACATCGGTAATTTTGAGTTTTTCTCTCTAGCTGATTGGCGTTATCGACATGCTGGCTTAATGGCTATATCAGCTACTGGCGAAGGCTGTCACAAAGAAATGACAGTTTTACTGGATGATCTTGTCAATGGAATATTAGTTTTCCTCAAAGATCCGGTAATACTATCGGTTTTTATCGATTCATCTGGAATATATTCCAACTTTAGCATCCACGCGTTCGATATGCAGCTTGTAATGCATTGGGACAAATGTCAACAGATTTCCAAGGAACATTTCAAAAGAAATTTCATGCGAAAGTTATTCCTGGTCTTTTGTCTATTCTTGATGATCATGAAAATCCTCGAACACAAGCACATGGTGGCGCGGCTTTAGTCAATTTTGCGGAAGATTGTCCACCACGACTTTTGATCGAACACTTACCGCAAATTATTGAAAAGCTTGAACAAGTGCTCAATCGAAAATATCAAGAAGTATAACTATCTGCTTTATCATTTCAATGTAAAATCCTTTCATTTTCAGCTCGTTCAACACAATCGTAAATTGGTTCTTGAACAAATTGTCACAACACTTGCAGCCATCGCCGATACAGTTGCACAAGATTTTTCACCCTATTATGATCGGTTAGCATCGATTTATTTGCTAACGAAATCAACCTATGTTTTCTCGTTCAAGGTTTATGCCACAATTGAAATATCTGTTTAAAAACGCAGTTACACCTGATTATCGAATGTTACGCGGGAAAACAATGGAATGCATCAGTTTAATTGGTCTAGCTGTCGGAAAAGAAAAAGTTCGTAGTTGTTGTTTATCGTGGAAATCTAGCGTAAAGCTTGCTTATCTTCTGATAGTTTATCCATGATTGTTATGAAATTATGCAAGAATTGGTTAAAACCCAAGTTGATTTCGAAAATTTGGGCAACGATGATCCACAAGTGTCGTATTTGATTGGCGCTTGGACACGTATATGTAAAATCTTAGGCAAAGATTTTGAACAGTACTTACCCATTGTCATGGGACCGGTTTTGAAAGCTGCAGCATTCAAACCTGAGGTCACTGTGTTGAATGAAGATGAAACCGATGTTGAAGAAGATGATAGTTGGGAGGTCTTAAATGTTGGCGATCAAGTATGAGTAATCAATCTTAACGTAATTGTCATTTATGTATGTTTGTTGTTCGTTAGGCATTTGGTATTAAAACAACAGGTCTTGAAGAAAAAGCAAGTGCTTGTTCAATGCTTGTTTGTTATGCAAAAGAATTAAAAGAAGGTTTTGTTAATTATGTCGAAGAAACAACGAAGCTCATGGTTCCACTTCTTCGATTCTATTTTCATGAAGGTTGTTGCTATGACATGCAATGATGAGATTGAACATCAAGATTGTTTTTCTTTTTCATTGTTATAGGTGTTCGTGCTGCAGCTGCTGAATCCTTACCACATCTACTCGATTGTGCGAAATTACGTGGTGATGATTATGTTCGTCAAATGTGGCAATACATGAACAAGGAATTATTCAAAGCTATCGAAATTGAACCTGATCATGAAGTTCTTGGTGAATTATTTTCATCCGTCGGAAAAGTAAACTTCGATATCGATTATTTATACAATCAGTTCTCCTCTCTTTGTTTAGTGTATTGAAACATTGGGTGTGTCAAGTTTATCTGCTGATGNTGCTAGTGTTTAGAGATACATTACTTTTATCGATATATTCTTTTTCTCTTTCATTTCTATTTTGTTATGATTTCTCTATTTTCTTCTCATATCTATTTTTGGTCGCCCGATCGAACAGAAGGGAAACACAAGTCGATAACAGGTTTTATTTTTCTTTTGTTTATTATGGTTTTCTATTTTGTAAAACGAAAGCGTTGATGTATATGGAAGAACTAAGAGAGAACAAAACAAACAAATCAGATGAGATATCTTAAAAGAACGTTGAATATGAACAAATAATTTCCTCTTTATTTCAATGGCAAGGTTCAATCTTATATACATATGTTAATGATATTCTCGTTTGAATAATGCAAATAGTACATGTTAATGGAATGTCCTACTGGAACGAAAACATTTCATAGGACTGTCATAAATCTGAATGATTCCATACATTTATAACACAAATGAATATCCAGTTAATGAACTTATGACAAGCAATGTGGTCTTTTGTAGAGCTGCTGGAATACCTGTTCGCATTAAAAATAGTAGAGCAACTGTCACTATTTCGATGATGATTTCAAGGACGAGAAAGATCACAGCAACTCGAAAGAAAAGCAATCGTTTTTGGCAAGCGAAATCAATAATAATATGAATGAAACTCGTAAGGATGATATACAATGGAACTCCAGTAATGTAATATCGACCAAGATGGCTAATATGAGATTCATATTGTGTGTAACCATCATTTGTATTATGTATGAAATGAGTAATAATAGCAAAACGGCATTTATGCTTTTGGTCGACAGATTATGGTTGAAATATTTTTGTCAAGAGGGTACTTGATCGACCTGATATTTCGCTGACACAACATTTCCTGAACCGAACGCTTTGACACAAAAGCTAAATAAAGCTCGAACGATCGTAAATTATCAGGTCAATTTGTATAAGAACTTCACCTTAAATGAGGAACATATGAGACAATATTCATCTATCATGTGACACTATTAGTATCGTAGATCATTCATATTCATTTAAAATACATTGGAGATGACAAAGGTAAAAATCAAATTTGTTTTTTTTCGGGTCTGATTTAATCGATGGTTGTCAAAAATCGTTAGTTGAGAATGATTGTAGATATGTTGGGAAATAGTCGTGGTGGGTCAGTCTAGACTTCGCAACAACGCGATAGCTTAACAATAGCTTACAACTTTCCTCTCGCCAGTGAATGACAGTGAGTGAATCCTACTATCAATCTATTTGCTGACGAAAGTTTTTTCACAAAATGTATGTCGACGAAAGTGTCTACCGATCAAAAACTGGATTCGATTATATATATTAATTGTGTGTTCTCGGTTCGATATCCTTATTGTTTCTACGAAAACAAAATGACATGAGACAGATTTTCGTCAAGAGATCGAACCCGACCCTCGAGCAGTGAATGGCACAATGACCTTGATTGTAATGATGGCCGAGGCATCGAAGTAAGACAAGGACCTCGATGTGTACGTGATGAAGCGTTTGCTAGCGACAATTGTAATCAGCAAGGTTCCGATTTCTCTTGTCGAACTTCACTCATACGTGAACTCACTGATCCTGATATTCTTGTTTAGTGAAAACAGAAGTTTTCTGATGCTTACCTAAACACACACAATACTTTTATCTTTTACGTAAAAGATTGGAAATCTGCTTGTGAGTTTGGTTGTTGGTACATTTCAATGATCAAAGCTATATGTGTTTATGAGCAGTTTTTCTACACCTATAAGCCATAGTCTTGGGGAACTAATTAGATCATACAGTTTGCTCGAAAAAGAACAAAGTTCATCAATCACCCAGAAATACCTGAACCCGAGTTTTGAAGAGATGTGGTCGATCATTGCTATCGATTATAACATGGACCATCGGATCAAAGGATCATTTGGAGATGTCTTTCTTTCAGGAACACATTAGTGAATAGAAAGAGTAGAGAAAAACAAACCGAGTTATGTCTACACTTACCGCCCTCTTGCACTAACTCTTTTATTGGTAGACAGAATGAAATCAATGTGATACAATGATTGGCGATCGAATGAACATCGATTATCTCGAAACTCATTGTTGGTTGATATTGATCACTCTGTGAATGTGTTCGGCATGCACATTATCCCTCACGACAGACGATTTCAATCGGCAAATTCATATTAATTCAAATTCATTTCATACTCTTCACGATGTTTGCGGTAATGATAATATTTTTCAAAATCAAACGTAATGATCATTCTATTGCAGCTAACACTCGATCAATTTTCTTCACGTCTGTCTAATTCAGATCCTTTTTTGAACGACATTATTGAACGCGCACTGATCATTCTCAACCACAAACAATTTCAGGACAAAATTCTCAACGAATTATGCTCGAAAGTAGTCAAAACTCGTTCAAGTGACTGTGAAAATCTTCGACAGTTTGTCCAAGATGGTTGTTCTCGATTGAAAATTGAAGTTTGTGTCCAGATGTTAAATGTACCCGATGCTCTGATGCAATGTGAAGCAGGCGGTTATGATGAAAACAAGTCATGTACCATATTTATCAATCAATCGGTAGAATAAAAATATTTTTGTCTCAAAATTCATTGTAGTGATTATTCTAGTGGTACAAACGCATTTTGCAAATTGAACCGAATGAAAAAGAATATAGTTTTCATGTTGTTCTCGGTCTTATCAAGCTAATTCGTGAAGTTTGTTATTGTTGTACTAATGTTTTTTGTGCATTCTCTTCCATAGTCAATGCTGAGGAAAATAAGTAAGCTTTGATTATTTCCCATCAATATATTTCACCGTTATTTACATTTCTGAGTAGAACCAAGATAACGCCATTTTCGATTGGACGTAAGATTGTGCAAACGTCACCCCAGGCGAAAGTCTCACCATCGAAAAGAAAATCAAAACACGGTAAATCGAGTTAATTCTGAATACAGATTTTCGTACTCTTTCCAGTTCGGAGTAATAACACAGATGAGAATGAATGATTGTTTAAACGAAATGGTCATTTGTACATAGCGTTTGAAAAAATGGATTCACTTCAAGGAAAGCTAGAACTCTTCTCTCATTGATAGGAACAGCAATATCGAATCGAGCAAAGAAGTCAAGAAGAGAAATAGGCGACATGGGATTTGGTGGGGAAGAGCTATTATTAGGTGGGCGATTGTTTCCCATTATGAACGGAGCAAACAAGAATGAATTTAAGGTATGTGACATAGAAAATTAGTGAACACGACAAAGAAAATTTCTTAAGTTTATGGGCCTGCGTGTCGATGTACACGATCGATCATCGATCCCAATCAAAAAGGCAGAGCTTGATTTCAACTTCATCAATCAGTTCTTTGATCTTCCCAGGTCGATCATTCCGGCGACTGGATCCGTTGAAATCTGAGCCGGTTCCGGTACAGCTCTTCTCGATTCCGGCACAGTTTTCGCCGATTCCAGCAAGTTCCTTGCCGCCGGATTCCGGCCGGAGTTGTACAGCAAATATCCGATCAGTTCCTGGCTGTCTCCAGCTCGAAGTTTGCAGGAAATGGTCGGGAAATGACTGGAACCTACGTTTGAATTTCCGGCCGGAATTCGGCGGCAAGGAAATGGCCGGAAAACGAACCTAACCGGCCGGAACCGACCGTGCCATAATAACCTGGGTTGGTCAATTGAAAAGTAAGAGTATTCATATGGATATTTCTGACCTAATCTATTCTAGGTATCGACAATTTCGATAACTTCAAAGTTCCATTCGATCAATTGTTCGACGCAAATCAAACAACAGAAAGCTCATCATCTCATGCCACTCCAACTCGTGGTAAACGACAAAAACTAAATCATGCTCATTCTGATTCTTCTCTATGTGAGTATTCTAAACAGAAGAATAAATAGATGGAATTTGGCGATTATTATTTTTAGCATCATCAAGTTCTGCTAGTGCGAGTTCGATCCATATGGATAACTTATGCAACATTGATCCAAATGATCCAAACGTTTTGTACCCACCATTTTATATTCCACCTCCAGGTTTTGTTCCGCGCTCACCGAATTCAACAGAAGATGAAGATGATGACGACGAACCATATCGTGTTAACGGAATGCCGCCGGGTTTTCGAGGTTATTTTCAATTATTTTGCTATATTTATCATTGAGTTATCTGATTCCTGTAGAATAAGTTGACAATAATGGATAGTGAACAAATTCATTCAATCAATGAACGCCAAAATATCTTCCGCCAGCCATTAATGAAGTTTTTACGTTCTGTCGTCATGTTTGTATACGATCTACCCTGTTTCTTCTCTTATTGATCAGCCTCTGTGTCGTATTGAATAAACAATGCAACAAAAAGATGATTTCGAAGAATCACGTCGTCATTTGACTTTGGAAGTTTTGGTTACTCTTTCTGAAACAGGAACTGCTATGATTCGGAAAGTGGTCGAAAAAGATATGGTGCCGTTTCAGCGAAAGACTTTTCATCTAAGGTTTTTGAGCGAAAAACTAATTACGAAAAATATTTGAGTGAGATCTATAAGCCAAAAGCTTTTTGAGGAACAATTTTCATTCTGCGCAAAATGTTAAGAATGAATGGTTACGTGCGTAGAAAGAACTTTTCATGGAAATTCAATGTGCATCTATATTTCACTCAATTTCAGGAAAAGATCTAGCACATGAAATCCAGGCTATATGCGAAAGTGTCACTCGAAATACAAAACATTTGTTCAAACAACATAGTCAGCGAACTGACAGAAAATTTTGAGACTAATGTAGATAAACCATAGTGACGGTGTAAGTGGAATACCGTGAAGAGAGGTCATACACACCTCTCATCGTCACATCTATACCATCACACCTTCATCCATATCCATACGCTCATCTTCACCCAGATTGACACCCTAACTCTCACCCATTCACTTTTAGTAACATATACTGATTCATATTTGACTTACTTCGATATATTAGTTCCACATTTTTATTCACTCATACAATCTACACGATCAATCTCAGATCGTCAGTGGGCATTATGTGTATTTGATGATGTTATACAATTTACCGGTGCACATTCACATCGTTATGCACAATTCTTTCTCTCACAAATGGCTGAAAGTCTCGCCGATCCATCAGCTGAAGTAAATCAAACTTTGAACACATTTTTAAAGATCCATGGTTCTTCTCTCATAAGATTCGTCAAGCTGCTGCCTATGGTTTTGGTGTTATGGGTATGAATGGTGGTCCTNGACGATGATTCCAAGAACGAGGAAAATCACAGCAGCTCGAAAGAAGATCAATCTTTTCTGACAGGCGAAACCAATGATAATATGAATGAAACTTGTTATGATGATATACAATGAAATTCCAGCAATATAGTATCGGGCCAGATGACTTATGAGATTTTATATCGGCGTCACCGCTTATCCAAGGTGAGAGAAGTTGCTATTTTTCTAAATTTCTCTTTCGATGATCTGTTTTGTTCTGTCGTGCGAGCTCATGTTCAGCTGCTGTTTATCTTTTAAATCCTGGATTCCGGTCAAAGATATTCCGAGAGGAAGTATCCCATTGTTTCTCACTACTTCCATTCTGTAAAATGGTCACGCCAACTGTGTGACTGAACTCGATTTCTATCGGTATGAAAAATACCGAAATCTTTGCAATGCAGTGCTTCAAATTTTTGTCCACAGGTGCGTTTCATCAACCTTCTGATCACCTAATGTGACTAAAACATAGGTGACTGAAAAATCCTTTAACAAGTATCTCTTGTGTTGCGAGAAGGGTATGATCCGATTGAACACTTTTATTGAAAAAGAGAAATGGCCATAAGCCGCAAAAAACTTTCGAGCGAGCAAATGGCATTGTCGACGTGCGTTCCTAGTCGTTACAGACCTCTTCCAGGAGTTTGTTGATCGGCTCCACTTTATTTTTATACTCCGTCCACAAGAGTTTACCTTCAAGAAAATCACTCGTCAATTGAAAAAGCAGTTTCACAAGTTCTTCGCGATCCATCTAGAATCAAACGCAGAGAAAAGGTCACACAGAATTCCAACAGCAGAAGAGCGAAGGACAATGGGATACTGTAGACGTCCTACCTGCTTCTCTGCTATGGTTGCTGGTGAAGTGATGCCATGAAATGTTTGTTCAAGATGGATTATTTCAGGGAAGTGTGAAGAGGATATTTAAACAAAAGATGATGTACAACGCTCGACTGATTAGTCAACGGAGAGGGAACGAAAAGTCTATCAATTAGCCTACCTAGGTCGAAGAATCCAGTCCGGATCCTGAGTATTTTCTGAGCGTTTCCAACTGGAAAATAATAGATTTCCTGCAGGTTTTCGTCGGATATGAGTGGAGTATTGCTTCCAAATTTGCGGGATGTTGTTTCGTCTGGTGACCTAGCCAATCCCGCTTGTTGTTGGTGATGCATAGACAGAGACCAGATTCAATCCCACCGTTGACTAAATAATGAAAAACAATCATGTTTTTTCAAACTTCGATCGAGCGGTAAGTAGACAATGTAGCTGAAAAAGATGCAGAAAGGATAAAAGAAAGAGACTTACCATTGTACGGGCGCGAGAAATTATGAAATAAGTTGGAAATGTGCGGTTGAATAGTCATCCTGACTTCTGTAAAGTAGTGAATGTTTTCTTCTCGTCGTTCTTTTTCTTTCTCTCTTTTTCCTCTGCTCCTGCATGCCATTTATTCTCATAGTCACAATCGATCACTGCATTCAGATGGACGAATGTTTGATCATTTTCTCGATAGACCTGAATAAATGGTCAGCGTTCGAACTCAATTCTTTGTCATCTCCTTTCGCGAGACAATTTTGCATTCCGGAAATGAGGGATGTTTCTACACATCCTCACCTATGCAATGAATACGGTGGTACCATCTTAATATAAGTCATCACCATACAAATGTTTAGAAATACATTACTTTTATCGATACGCTCTTTCCTTTTCTCTTTCATTTCTATTTTGTTATGATTTCACTATTTTCCTCTCATAGCTACCCAGGTCGATCATTCCGGCGACTGGATCCGTTGAAATCTGAGCCGGTTCCGGTACAGCTCTTCTCGATTCCGGCACAGTTTTCGCCGATTCCAGCAAGTTCCTTGCCGCCGGATTCCGGCCGGAATTGTACAGCAAATATCCGATCAGTTCCTGGCTGTCTCCAGCTCGAAGTTTGCAGGAAACGGTCGAGAAATGACTGGAACCTACGTTTGAATTTCCGGCCGGAATTCGGCGGCAAGGAAATGGCCGGAAAACGAACCTAACCGGCCGGAACCGACCGTGCCATAATAACCTGGGTATTTTTGGTCGCCCGACCGAACAGAAGAGAAACACAAGTCGATAACATTCTTTCTTTTTCGTTTGTTTATTATATTATGATTTTCTATTTTGAAAAACGAAAGCACTCACGAATGTGGAAGATCTAAGAGAGAACAAAACAAACAAATCATATGAATTGTGTCTTAAAAGAGCGTCGAATGCAAAAGGAATAATTTTCTCTCACTATTTCAATGACAAGTTGAGCATTATGTACATATGTTAATGATATTCTCGTTCGAGTGATGCAAATAGTACATGTTACAAGAATGTTCTATTTGGATGAAACGATTTCATAGGAGTGTCGTAATTCTGAATGATAACTTAAACTAGCAATGATGCCATACATTTGTAATACGAATAAATATGCAGTTAGTGAACTTATGACAATTAATGTTGTCTTTTGTAGAGGTGCTGGAATGCCTGTTCGCATAAGAAATACTAGGGCAACTGTGACGATTTCGACGATGATTCCAAGAACGAGGAAAATCACAGCAGCTCGAAAGAAGATCAATCTTTTCTGACAGGCGAAACCAATGATAATATGAATGAAACTTGTTATGATGATATACAATGAAATTCCACCAATGTAGTATCTGGCAAGATGACTAATATGAGATCCATACTGTTTGTAACCATCGCTTGTGTTGTGTATCCAATGAGCAATAATAGCCAAAAGTATACCAGTTGCAATATATATGAGGAGAAATACCCAAAAAAATACACGTTGACAGTACATTGCATATGTTAGTATGATGCAGTTTATACGTAGACATATACGATTAAATACCTCAAGGATACATAGAGAAGCATGGTCTCTCCTGTTCTCCTTTTTTACTCTTTCGTCGTCTTAGTTTGAATGTAACTGAATTACATTGTACGATGATGGGTAAGTTGTAGGCGTTTCGTTGTTCTAATGTTTCATATAACAGAGCGGAGTAAAACGTTTATTGTACGGTAACTCGAATACGATAGATGTGACAAGCGCAATGATGAAAGATCTGTTCGATTTTACATTCCGTTATATCAGCTGGTTCTACTATATTCCGTGATCAAGAACAATTTCATACAGAGTTGTTCCGAATTTATCAGTTGAAAAATTCATCGATGCTATCCAAGATGAATTTGAAGGGCTTTTACCAAATCAGAACGTGATATATATTTCGACAAACTATAAAGCTTAGTCATACGACTGATTGATAATCAAAGCATGTATACTCTAGATTTCCTTTGATGTTTTTGAGAGTACTACCGATGATAATCTACTTTTATAGGATATCGTTCTGTGATATATATTTGACAGTTAGTATTTTTTAACAAATATCAATTGAATTGCATATTTTGAAATAAATCAACCAACCCTCATTCAAACACACGAACAAGTAGACCGTAGGGTACAATAGATGCTCGCATGACAGTAAAGTATTCAATTTCACTGTTGGGAATAATTGGACATATACGTTTGGCACCTGCGCCAATCGTTTCCGATTGAATTGTATACGTTTGAGGTTGTTGTCGACATTGAAGGACAATTTTGGCTTGATACAATTTTCCTGAAGGTGATTGGAAAGGAACCGATCGGCTGTAGACATCACACCCTGAATATGCAATAGTCGGTGATGTATATACTTCGTATTTGTCTGGAATATGGCCATTAGGTATACGAATTTTATCTCCACTAATAGTTCGGTCTCCTGGAATCAGAAATTGATGGTGTTCGATAATCGATTTTGCTGCTTCCGGCTTCGTACCATGATAGCTTACAACCCATTTATTCCAAATGTCCTCTACTGCTGCTTGTGCCTGATCAACAATCAATCCAAAACGAACCCATCCACGTGGAATAACATATTTCGAACCTCCTTCTACCAGGAAATCTCTACTAGTTATTGAATAACAGTTTTCGCAATAGCATCGATTATATTGTCGATTGAAAAGTCCTTTCGAAATTCCCAATGTAAGCATATACCGTAGACAAAGCGTAAAATAAGCACAAGGACGAAATGTCGCAGAACTTGGTGGACGAACGAAATCTACTTCCGAACATCTGCGTCGATCTAAAGCGGGCGAACGGCTTCTGTCACGTGATTGCGGTTCACTCTTTCTATGTGGTAGACTGGCAGCTAGTTCAAATGGGCGTTTCGGAGCAGAAGACGAAGAATCTGACTTTGCAACTGCAGCTGATGGAGCGTCATCGGAAGCGACATAGAAGAATTTTCTCGAACATTTGCATGTTTCACAAAATGCAGTTTTATTAAGCAGTGGTTGAGATGTTGATTTCGATGTTTTACATATAATGCACTTGTACAGCATGATATAAAGATCTAAAATTACAAGGATATATCTTTCACTGAATTTTATCAAAAGAAAAAGTCAGAATCGGTCCTAATCAATGTGAAGAAGTCAATAATAGAATTGCTTTCGACGTGCATAATGTACTTCTATAATGCATTGATAACTTTGCATGGTCTTGTTACCAGGAACTATTTTGCGATGAATTCGATTATTCATTTGTTTATTACGTCAGCTAGTAAAAGTTTTGCCTTTTACACCATTTAAAACAGTTATCACATATATTTTTACATTTTCTCTGAGAGAATGAAACACTGATAAGCATTGTCAGTTGTAGAATAGAAAAACAAATATTTCAAGTTCTGCTTGTTGTCTAGGAAGTTGATAAAAGCATCTAAGAAAGCAAAGCAAATCGCGCAGGAAGAATCACACTCAGCAAAGACGGATCATGCCTTCAATTTATAGCTCGAATTTTGAAAACGACACTTTGCCGACCCCTTACGCAAACAATAATTTTACAACGGAAATTGACCTCCGATTTACGATACCACTGACATTCAAAGCGTTGACAACTTCAAGTAAGATTCTCAACGAACGTGCGGCTATTTATAAAATGGAAAATATTCTCTAATGTAGCACTATTAAGAGCATCAAAGAATAGTCTTAGCGGTGGTGCAATCGCCGGTATAGTGATCGGCGTGATCATATTTGTCATTATTTTATGTGCTTTAATATATTACTTTAATAAACGATTGAAATCTTGTAAGTTTTCTTTCTATTTTTATGTTGAAACTTGTATCGAGTGTAAAGTTCAATTTAGCTGAACAACGATCATCAACTAGTGTTGCGCTTCCATTAAATCCGGCTCCTCCGGTTGTACCTCAGGCAAGTCTTCACCCGTGAGTATACAAAGATCGATTTTTTATATTGCTTTTATAATCGCATTTTATCTATATTTATTCATCGAACTTTCAGTGTGCCAACTGCACCGAAATCACCAAAATCTACACCAATATTTCATTGCCGAAAACCAATCTGTGATGCTTACCTCAAACAGTTTAACATTTCACTTAAGTTTTTCGAATCGAAACATAACAAATGTTTCTGTAGAAAATGTCATAATACGTCGACTCCGAACATCGAATGTGGATCTTGGTGCAATGAACTACATGGTTGGACTTGTTTCGGCCTATCTGTAAATGAAGCACATGTGAAGCAATGGCATATCTTTCGTGACTGGAAGATCAGCTATTATGGGACAACACCCGATCGATTGTTCTCAATCATACGTAATCGTTTCATTCCGTTGGATGGTGAGGTACTTCAAGACGGAATTAAGTTCAGCAGTGGACATTCAGATACTTCATGTTGGAATACGTCACCATTCCTAATATGCGCTAGTCAACCAAAGTTTAGTCCTGGTTCAAAATTTCATGCACCTGATGGAAATAACTACAATGTTCAAGTAGTACTGCAATGTAGACAAAAACCAGATACAATTATTGGTGAGACAGACACAGCACCCAAGAAAAATACTGTATGGAAAACACAAGCACGAAGCGCCATAATTCCAATTGCACTCCTTATTCGATTACAGAAACAGTAACGTATATTTAATATACTAAGTAAAATCCTTACCGCTGATTTTGGAGGTGCGATTTACTGACCTCTTCTTTTTTTTCAATGAAAAGTATTGTTGTTTTGGAAACATAATCTTGTTTTGCGAATGAAATTGAGTGCAAACGAAACAAAATTAGTTTTTAACTTTGCAACACACCACTAATCTCTTACCTTAATAACCGAAATATAAATCCCTTCATTTGTTTTGAAAATAAAAGACGTCAACATGCCATATAATACATCAGCAAAGGCCTAGTTCTTCATACACATATATTTTTATTATCAGCATATAGTTGCTAAGATGAAATATATTTGTGTGCTTCTCGTTCTTTTTTTCATCGTCTCTACGGAAACGAAATTGTATGAGACATATTTTCGTCAAGAGATAGAATCCGAGAGTCGAGCAGCGAGTTGCAATGAACTTAGTTGTAATAATGGTCGATGTATTGAAGAAGCGCAAGGACCACGGTGCATATGTGACGAAGGTTTTGTTGGCAGCAATTGTGATCAAGAAGGTTCTGATTTTTATCATCGAACTTCACTCATACATGGACTTGCTGATCCTGATATTCTAGCAGTGAATGATGATCTATTTTATTTGACAGGCACATCCGATGCTTTCGTTTTACCAATCTATCAATCAACAGACTTAATCAATTTTCAATTAAAAGTTACATACAATCCATCGACTATTGATACTATATATAATTATTGTTTCATTTGGGCACCTGATCTTTCGAAACGTGGTACTGGTTATGATTTATATTTCTCTGCTCAACGTGTTACGAAAGGTGCAGCGTGTCCAGCTAGTGGACAAGATGTGACAACATTTCTTGCTAGAGCTATTGATGATAATCTCGTCTTTAGCGTACCGGTGCTCGTTGATTTTGGACCATCAGCTCCTAAAGGAAGAATTGCTGCAGGTTGTAATGGTGATGGCTGTTTAAAAACAGTTCGAATCGATGCTGCCGTAGTCGGTCCAGAAAATGATCGTTGGTTTTTTTACGTATGGTTTACAGCAGGCAATAATATAGCTGCATTTCCCTTTTCCTCGCCAACAAGTATGATAGCGAATGCGGGACCCGCGTCTTTCTCTATTCCAACTAGTGACGAAAAGATTAATGAAGCACCTGAAGTATTTTGGCGCGATGGACAGTACTATTTCTTTATTAGCACAGCGTTCTTTGACAGTCAATATGCTATGTTCTACGTAATGTCGCCCACGATCGCTGACTTGACCCGTAAGCGCGCAGTACGTACACATTCAGTTGCACAACGAAATTCTGCTGGACGGCTCGTTCAAACTCATGGACATAATTCTATAGTAATGCGACGAGGTCAATTCTTCAATGTATTTCACCAAGGTGTTTTTGACAGCTCAGGACGAATGATCCGACGAGATACATTTAAACAACGCATTGCATTCCGATCGGACGGATCTATACATACATTGAATACTATCAATATTCGTTGGACTCAACTTCCACTATATCAATATTCGATCGATATTGTCAAGAAAGATGGGTCTTCGGTAGGTCCTTGTATTGCAGTCGGACGTATTGGAGCGACGCTTGAAACAACTTATACAGGTATATGTCCAGATGGTGGTAATCAACTGATAGATAAAGGTGACATTGCCGCATTTCGATTATTCTATTCGATGAACCAGGTGTGGAAAGATTTCGTCGAAGTAAAATACGATGGAGTCTCAGATCAATTGGCCATTTATTTGTCAGGCGGTATCACAAAACAAGTTGCTCTTCGATGGAACGAACGTGTAACAGGTACACGACATTCTCTTGATATTCGTCGTAAAAATGGAACCTGGATCGCTCCATGCGTTAGCGAAGCAGTTATCGGCACTCAAATAGAATATGTTTTTGATGGCAATTGTCCAGCGGCAAAAGTGTTCGTCGAACCTCGTGATATAACGTCGATTCGAATATGTTCTGCGGTAAATAATGATTGGGCAAAAGCAATATGTGGTAGTGTCGATTATAATGGAAGCACAATTCATGTCTTTGTGCGTATACCATAACGAAGAGAATTGATTTCATCATAATAAAATGTATCAAGTTTATTTTATTAGTATAACTTTAGCAAAAGATGTTTAAAAGAAATTAAAAGACTAAACAGTTGAAAACGATTTACTCTGTTGTTGGTTCGCAGATGATCGTTTAGGTGTTGATTCCTTCTTACTTATGAAACGATAGTTTAATAATAAAATAAGTAGAAGAATTTGACTGACGATAGCAACAATAAGTGCTGTCGCTCCAAAACTAAATTTCTTTGATTTGTTATTCACCCCGACCGTTTGGACAATTTTATTGATAACGGCTCCCAGTCTCACTCCACCTTGAATCAATCGTTGTTCAACAATAGGCATTCGTGTATTGTAATATGTTTGACCGAGCTCGAATTCTTTTGATACGCTCATTGGTTGATTGTTTTCATCTCGGTAGACGAGATCACAGTTGAGTTTGGCATCTTCAGCAATCCATAAGGTTGCACAAGCAAGATAACGTGATTCATCAGATGAAGAACAGTTCGTCCAATCGGATATATTTTGTGCATATTGGGTTTTCATTTGTTTAAGTAAATATTCAAGATATAACGCTGGTTGAGAATGAAAATCTTGTGTTATACGACGTTCGATCATAACTGTATCCCAAAGTGAATGAAGATTCGTCTGTTTGCTGAAAAAATGACCTGTAGTAGGAGATGAGAGAGAAGTTCAACATATTGTTGTTTAAAATTATTTACCTCGAATGCTATTACCACCTCGATCTCCTTGAAAACCGGCATGTAATGGTTGGTGTGCATCTCCAATGAAATGAACAAGAAATTTCAATGCTTCTTGACGTTGTACATCATCTTGTTGGGAATCTGCTAATCGCTTCGTGTAATTTTGAATTGAACCATCCACACATTGCTGTCCACTTGACCAATTGCAATCTGCTTCTCGATCATAAACGCAAGCCCAATCTTTGGTATCAACAAAGTGCAATTGCTTCGACCATTGCCAGTTAAGATAATCAACAGGATTTGTATCCGGATAGAGTATAAAATCAGGCCACGACGATAACATACTGATGTTTCCGGATGTATACCATGGCAAGTGATTACGAACGAATGTTGATGACTCATCAGTTAGAAATGTTTGAGCTATCGAAGCAACTAAAGCATGACCGTCACTACCCCAACCGTGTACTGAATTGTATGATATTAGGATACAAAGCAGTATTGTTGTGGACGATAAATATGAAAACATGTTATTCTTATGATGATAATGCTTGAAATGTATTCATCAGTGAGTGTTGATATTTTACAGGTAGATAATAATTCAAGATTAATTTGTGGTCCAAAATACAAAAACATATTCTATGAGATAGCTTCATCATCTGCTCTAGTGAAAACAGAAGACTTTCTTCTGATGCTTATCTAAACACACACAACACGTTTATCATTGATGTAAAAGAGTAAAAAATCTTCCTGTTAGTTCGATAGGTGATACATTGAAATGATCAGAGTCATATTTGCTTATTGAGCAGTTTTTCTACACCTGTACGTCATAACGTTGAAGAAATCAATAAGGTAACTGAAACATGCAGTTTGTTCGAAAAGGAAAAAAGGTTTATCAATCACCCAGCGACCTCTACAATCGAATTTTGAGGAGGTATAGTCATCCACTGCTATTGGTCGTAGCATGAACCATCGAAAATCATTTGTGGGCTTATGCCAGGAACATGTGAGTGAAATATGTGATCAATAGTCTATTTCATGATTTTTCGAATATTACTGTGAAATTAACAGTGTGTGTGAAGATGAATCACGACTATTTGTCTTTGCGTTTTGCTCTAATCATGACGTAATTTGTATTCTTGCACAACGTTTTACCATAATTGTAGCAATTTTCTTCTTCAGACATATTTTGTTGCTTTAAAATAGAATGAATCTTTCTCGACCGCAGTCAAATAAGGTCGAACATGATACACTGTCGATTATATCCCAACATATGTATGCCAAGCATCGAAATATTTTCATTGGCATCGGTACAGTTGTTGTCACTGGTATAACGACATTTATTATACTTCGTAATTACACGTATAACACTCGCGATCGTCTGGCTAAAATTCGTCGTGACATTCAAGATGTTAAACCTGGTACTGAATCGGTTTTCGAAGCTTATCATGAGAAATTAAAAAAACGCCAAGCGGAAAAAGAACTTCGACAGAAAGAAGAATCAGAAAAACATTGATATTGTTTCCTTTATTGTCCGTAGATTTGTCTTAGAGAAAAAATTTTTCTTTTTGTCTGTCCTTTTTTTAGATTTTTTATTTGTTTCTTTTTGCATTTCGATATGACACGAATTAAACGTCCTTTATTTGGTGGTGCTATTCAAGCATGTCTACCTGATCGAAGGGTCGGTGCGAGGTATGTGAACGTGGAAATAGTTTCGTAGGAAGTTCATCGATGTGTTTGTTTTTTCATCAGTACACTTCGACTCGTACCGAACAACCAAGAAGTTTTTATGCATTCCGATTCAGATCAAAGTATAATCGTAGAAATTCTCGAAAGAGTCGATGAAGTTTCGGAAGAGAATGCAATCAAGTGAGGATACCGATTGAATGAAAAAAAAGAGGCATCTACTCAGTAAATTTAGATATCATTTTGATGCATTAGCAGAAGCAAACGATGCACAGAGTGGACAAGATCACATTGTCGATAAAATCGAATCAATTCCAATTGATTCTCTCAATGTTCAACGGTAATGCAGAAGTTCTTGCTCGAATAGATTGAATATTCTCTTTTGGATTGACAGACTAACATCTGCATGGTATTTATTCGGTCGACAACAAATATCCAAGTATCACGAACAAGCAAAAAACATCGTTCATCTGCATCTCTGTCTTCTTCGTTTGGGTGATGACATTGCAACCGACATTCTGATTTCATTTAATGATCCAGCTTTTGTCAAGTGAGTTTCATCATAAAGGAGTCTCTTTACGACTAAAGATTTTGATCTTTTTCAGCACACAAAGTAGTAGCAGCGATCAACAAGTTCAAACTGGCTCTCGATGGACTTTGGACGATTTCAAAGAATTCTTCTGTTCATTAGAAATCGTTGATTATGGATTATTCGTTCCGACAACAACAACAAACGATGTTGATATGTCTTAACTTTGTTGTTGATTTGTAATTTTCAAGTGAAACAAGAGTGTCTTCGTTGGATTTGTTATTTTATCAATAAATTTTCCTAACCAAAATGTATTTCTGTATTTACAGTGATTAATCAGATAAATTTGATTACGTAGTATTGGTAGTTGGACATCCAATCCAAGTTTCGCATGATTTTGTAATGATTTCCTCCGAAAATAACGTGTAATCATGATATTTTTGTTTTCATTTCGAGATCTTCTCTATATCATTAAAAATCTTTCGTAAAGAGAAGTCACATTTAAGAAAAATAGAGCAGACGAAGAAATAGTTTCTCTCACTCCGTTCTTTCAGAGAAAGAAGTCCTGGAGAAAAACAAGTTCCTGATGACAAAAACAAACTCGTTCTGCATCTCACATGCGTCTATTTCATGTGAGACGTTAGTCTTATTCTACAGCACGTTTTTTTTTCTTTTCTGCATTAAGATTACCCCGCATATTTTTCTCTCTCCCTTCATATTCTCCTATTGAGTATAGATGACTTGAAGTGCACTGACATGTCGATTAATAGCAGATGAAAAAAAAAACTATTGAGTATTCCGAAATGAAGATCATCATCCAAGCTGAAATCTGCAAGTCAATGTAGAACGATCTCTAAAAAGCCGAGAGAAATGTTCGGAGAGAAGAAAAAAAGATTGTTTTTTTCGGTTCAAGGTTAACTCATCGACACTGTTGTTTTTTTGTTTTCATAATATATGTCCGAAACACAACTATCGAAGGAGTGCCTAGTTTTTTTTCTTCCTCTTTTTTTTTCAGTTCCGATTTCAGCGTCAAGGTCAATGCTATTCCATGCGTCGTAAACAACCATTATCGATTGGAAAAACTTCACCAATGTTGTTCGAACAATTACCCGATGAAATCTTATTAATTGTGTGTTCATATTTAAGTTCATTTCACATTACTAAAGCGTTTAATGATTTAAATTATCGATTAAATTGTACAATTAATCAATACAGGCAACATCTTGATCTGCGTGGCTTAGATTTACGACAATTTTATTTCTTTTGCAAAATGCTTCGCGTTAGCTTTGGAAAGCAAGTTCGCTCGATAACTCTATCTAATGCAGCTCCATCCGTTCGACAATTAACATTATTTCGTAAGCAAATCGAGCCATTTGTACATTTGTTACCGAATTTAGAACGATTAATACTTCTTGATTATTATGACGACGAATTGGATCTCTATTTACCTTTGATCTCTGTATTGAAGAATCTTAAAGAATTGAAAATCGTTTTCGTTAAGAATAAAAATGAAGCAACATTATGTAGTTTAATTAGTCAAATGTTAACAGATAATTTTGTGTATTTTGATCATTTACCGAAACGTCGCAAACGTGATTTTTCTATCCTACAAAAATTATCATTAACTGGAACCGGTTTTCTAAAATTAACGCCAATTTACAATGAAACTATTACACATTTAACATTAGAGATTGATAATACCGATGATCTTGTGGAAATTTTTGCAGGTTTTGAACATTTAAAGTATTTGAACGTTAATATGAAACAATTAACAATTCTGACGTCAAGCATGTGAGTACCTGACGAAAGCTTTCATTTATTCTCAATAAGAAACACATTCATTATAAGCAAATTTTCCTTTTCATTTTATTTATCAGTAGTAGACTGTGTCAGATTGACATCCTCTTCTATTCGCTCGGATGCGTAAGAAAGGCTGGGAAATGCACAATATTACCGAGTGGAAGATAGGAAATCATGACATAGTTTTCTAAACGAGTGTGTGTTTTGAATAATTATCTCGAATCATACCTAAAAGAATAAGACTAGGTGACAAGATTATTTTGATATCATCTGTCTCATGTTTTTTTACGTATCTTTTCCTCGTGCGTCAAAACACAACCTGACTTTTTTTGAATATGAACGACTCAATATGCTTTCATATGTCATGATCAAAAATACTTATTCTGACGACAGGACGGAATCGACAATAAAATTTTGTTTATTCGAATGACTTTTGCAGCGACAGACGCAAAGTATCACACATAAATGTTCTATGTTCTTTCATTTCTGCATGTGTTGACAGCTTCAAGAATTTACTGTGTAAAGATAATTTACGACTGAATGAATACAATGTCGTGATGTTTATTAAATTTCCCTGGGAAAGAATACTGAGTTCATTCATGGAATAAATATATTTCTATCGTCTTTTTCTTATTTAGTTACGACATTACATCTGATGAACGGAAAATTCAATGTTTATCATTAACAGATTTTCATTTTCAAACTAAATGGCAACCTGAAAATTTAACTTTTACTCATTTCGTTGCGATATTGAATTGTGTACCTAATATCCAACATTTATTTTGTATACTAAGAACTGAATTAACTCAAGATAAATTTATTCATTCAGATTATATAGTTGTGGACAAATGGCGTGCGTTGTTTCATGAACTTCGTTCGTTGATCGATTTAACATGCACAATCAAATGTCCATTGAAAGCATCGAACTATACCGAATGTGATTTTCTTCGAATCAATGCAAATGTCTCTCGTGCTTCCCAGCAATCTATTGATATTCACCTATGTTATAACAACGAAATCATGAATAATGTTAAAAATGATGTATGAAAATTTTTTTCTTTCGATTTCCATTTTCCTCAGTTGTTTTTTGTCGATATTTTTAGTTAACCTTGGAACTTGATATTCAAGATTTACACAAAATGACTGGATCACAATTAGCACCTAAACTTATTCGTAGTCATGAATTAACTTTATATAGTGATTTTTTCGTTGATGACGATAAACTTCTGTCAACATTTCCTGATTCGTTATCATTACCAGATCATCTTGTATTTTCTCAAATTCGAAGTCTTGATTTACTTGGTGAATTTCCAAGTATGAATAACATATTTCTCGTTACATTTGTGGAGCAACTCATTCGTCGATCGCCGAATCTTCAGTCCATTGGATTTTTTCTCTATTGGGTGGAAAACATGACCGATTTAGTTCTCAATTTTCTTCGTCCATTAAAAAATTACTTAAAACAAATTAAGAAGTGTTATCTTTATACAGAAGGTGATATTGATGAAAAATTCGTCTCAGAACTGGCTTGTTTAATTCCATCATTAACGTTATTATCCGTCAAGATCGATTGGTATTGCAATACGGCGGAAGTGGTGAATTTGTGTTTGTTGCACATGAAACATTTAATACATTTAGAAATGGTTTTAGAAGAAATTCCGGATTATTTAGATGAAGATTATATCGATCGAATCAAAATGGAAAAAGAAATTGAAACATTGGCGATGGCACGTGATACACGTGAATGGCTGAAACGAAATACAATTTTAGGAAAAAAATCTTTTAATAGGATATTTCGTGCTGAGAAAAATGGAAATGATTTAAAAATTTGGCTTTGAATAAATCAAAAAAAGATGTCTATTTTTCCATGAAAATAAATCTTTCTAGTAAAACAAAACGTCTTTCAGAGTAAACATGCATACAGTGTATAGAAAATAAATCCTCTTTATGTTTAATATTTTTCCTTCAGTAAATAGTTACTTTTGCCATGTCTTCACATTATCTCATTTTCACTTATTCATCATATCTAAATTTATGAATTTAACCCCAAAGATCGACTTTACTCCATATTACAATATTGATAAAGTAATGCTTAACATCAGTTTGAGTTCTTCTTTTTTTTTTACCATTTTGGTTACTATGGATGAGTAATTAAACGGTGTGTTAAGGGTTGTGCAAAGAAAGGAAAAAAAGAGAAAAAAAGAAGTCGGTTTTTTCCTACGTAGAAACCTATGCAATGATTACTAATATAAAAGGAGAAGAAACGCCAATATTCAATTACAAAAATTAGTGCAAGATGATAGGAAGCACACATGACATAATTAAAACGACGTTCAACTTACATTCAAAAACAAATCGTCGTTTATATTCTGGAGATAAATATCCATTAACATATTTACTTGATTATCAGACAATTCACGAATATTATTATTCAAAACAGCCAACTTATGGGAAACGTTTTAAGATTTCATTTGCTTTACTGACGACATTTGTTCTGATATGTACAATAGTTTTTCGAGTGCACATCTATGCCTACAATTCATTTTTTGGTCCATTTCATCTTGATTTAAATGGTTTTATTCAACATGTGAAAGATTATGATAATGGTCAATCGTGGTTTAAAAGAATTGAATATATTCAAGTTGAATTAGGTCAAAATAACATCCAAAATCCATCGAATACATATGAAACTCTCCGGAGGTATTCGGATCCTTTCACACGGCGGCGTCATATAGCAACATATAAGAAGACGAAAACACCTGCAATCTATGTTAAATTACCGACACGAGCACAAACGCGCTTTCATGAACGTCTTCCATTTGATTTTTCGTTGTATTCCGTCCGTACATTACGGTGTATTGTTAGCAAGCTTTCAAATGGCTCTGAATCAGTGCATCAAACATGGATTGAAAAATCTGAATATGTAAAATATATCAATGAACAATATTCGAAGAATTCTGTTCAATTTAATACATTAGTCATATCCAAATGTGGTATTGTTATCGGATATCTCTATCGACCACTGTATGAAAAGGCTTTTTATCCTACAAGAGAACATTCATTTTCCTCAAAAGATATAGCCTTTGATATGACACATCAATATTTCTCGTTCTATTCATTAGTTATTGTTACTTTTATATTTCTGTGCTTATTTCTTATACCTTTATCTTACTTGATATTATATGTGAATAACATTACTTGTCGAACACTTCTCCGTAGATATGGCTTGTTCTCATTTCCTTTAGCTTTGTCACAAGATGTTGTTGACGAACTTTGGTTGTTAAATATCGATAAACCAGTACACGAACAATTATTGCAATTGGATGAAATGATCCAAGGCACTAAACATAAATTTCAAAATCAGTTGTTTATTATTGAAAATCAACTGGGCGAACTATTTGTTGTCCTGCTCCGAGTTCATCTTCGAAAGACGGTATTTCTAGAAGATAAGGCATCACCATTTATCATTTGTCCTGTCACTAATATAAACAAAATAGTTGAAGAGACAGGTATCTGCTATGGAATAGATTTATCATGGATACCATGGACGTCCATAATGACTTACGAGCACAATTATTCAAATTGGTTACATTTAACACTAATGGAAATCAGCGATTATTACAAGAAGCAGTATGTTATATCTGTTGTTTAATCTATTTTGACTGTTTTGTTGTATTTTTACAGATACCAATATCGTCTTGAACATGAACATGAAGTAATGCCGCTATTCTATTCAAACTTTTCAAATTTTCAACGGCAACGCAAGCCAAAAACAGAACAGGAAGTGAAATTCGAAAAATACGTTCACGAAGAAGAAAATGATCAACGTTTAAAACGTGAGCGACAAAGCTTCTATGAACGTCTTACGAATCCGACAATTTCTGCTTCACCTCAATTTATTGCAAATTTTCGAATGAAAGAAAAAACACAAGTTGATACGACGATGGAAAACGAAGGTAATGAATGCGTTATTTGTTTAGAGTCTTTCAAACAGGGTGATTCATACGAAGAATGGCCATGTCCGTCTCCGATACCGCACATCTTTCATTACGATTGTATGTTAGACTACTTACGAAGTAAACATACGTGTCCAATTTGTCGACATCCAGTCGAACCTTCTCAATTCCGTGATGATGGGGTTTTACAATTTCTTATGAGATTCAATACATGAAATCATTATTTTCTTTAATTTATCTTTTCAAATAAAGTCAAATCTCTAAAGAACGATGTTATTTATAAAACAATGTATTTGGGTCTAACCGAAACGAAACGGAACGTAATTTAATCAGAAACTTTCTTAAAATTCACATGTATACATATATATAGGAAATGAAAAACTGAATTTTTAAATCAAATTTCTATGAGTTGTGATATAATAAACAATGTCTATCTCAATACTTGAATTCAGTATATCATAAATTTTATGATGGATGCATTGCCATGAATTTGATTGGCGTTGGTATAACTCAAAACACTTGCTAGGGAATTAAAGAATTCCATTCAAAACAAAGGAAAAATCTGGATTACATCGCATATTTTTTCGTCCACCACGATGCTACTTCATTGAATTTCTCACGATCTTCCCGATAGTACAAGGCAGCACGTGCATTATATGGATCATCTGAGTTAGGATCAGTCAATAAAGAACGTATTCCAGATAGAAGACTTTCTATAGACCACGATGAATTCCATTGTGATTGCAAAATATCAACGCATATCGCACCTGTTAAATGAATGTTTGGATGGTAGATTTTTGTCTTAAACCGAATGTCTGGAGGACTAAATGGAAAATCACGTGGTATTCGAATATCAAGACGAAAATTTCCATATTCATAGGGACTATCTTCCGGACCGATGAGTATTGCTTGCCAATGATATATATCATCATCTATAAGTGTTACAGTACAATATTTTGAATTATCTTTTATAGACTTAAATTCCTTCATAAGACGCTTGGAAGTCATTGTGAGCAGTACTGCTTAAGGTGTATTCGTAATTTATTGCATCATATTCTCTACTGACGCACTGTGTAGATATTACATATGATTGTGCAAGAACAGATGGTTGCTATATAGAGGTTGTTAGCGGTCCTTTTTTGTTTTCCACAGAAAATGTCGAAATTAAATGATCACCATAAAATCTCTAAATTTGGATCCGAATAAATCCAACTGAAAATGATGAATGTCATACTTTCATAAATTATCAATAGAGTTACACGATTTCCTGAGAACATCTCTACACTTAAGATAAAATTGATTGAGGAATTGTTCATCGTAAATAGATTTCAAATGGATCGCTGACATACTGAGCTGCACAACACGTTTCTCATCCATTTTCACATCATCATCGTCCAATCACCACATGTGATACTCTCGAATATTCTATGCGCCTTTTCTCGATTCTATCAAATCTATTTTTACTTCTGGCGTATTCATCCATAACACCAACAAAAACACATCATACAATGACGTCAATACCTATTCTAAACTGGCTTACCTCATTGACGTAGTCCTACCCATCATACTATATATACTCGTCGTGTTCTCCCTAATCTCCATTCATTCATACTACTGCTTTCTCATCAATTCACAAATCTTCCTCAATTCAAACTACAAAATGTTCGCACCATCAGTTGTTACTGCTGCTACTGTTCCAATCAACAGTTGGAATAATGATTATCAAACTGTTGGTTATGGAAACTATGGATATGGTATTTATACACAAGATGTCGAAGTTCATCGAAATCCATTCACTGGACGTGTGAATATCGAACGTGAAGTCGACTTTGTTCCTATCGGCAATCATTTTCAACCATATACTGGCTTTCCAGCAGCCATTCGTCAACACTATCACATCTAAACGAGTATAGAATAGCGGTGATATAATCTGTACCATAGACTTTTTTTATTTGTATTCTTTTTTTTTGTACGAAGCACAATAAAAGATACTCACACTGAACAAAAGCCACTATTCCTTTTCCACAAAAGTAGAAATATACTATGTGAACATTTACTACGATGTGATAAAAATATAATATGAAAGATATTACTCACGTTTACGCATTGGTCTGTTATGTTAGAGATCATATTTCTGTCAACATATGAATTGAACAAAAATCTGAAATGAACACATTCATATACCGAAGAATAAATTGAACAGTATTGGATATTTCTGCCGATATTGATATGTCTGACTCGTCGTATTGGCGAGGTGAAACGTTCACACAAAACCAGAATGAAACGAGCATCTTTTATTGCTTTTTTTTCGATAGAATTGATCTGACCATACGATTTTTGATTTCCAGAATATAAAAGAATGCCAAATGATCTCTATATTGCAACTCTATTTGTCTACAATGTTCTGCATGAAATTCACAGTTATTGATTAATGAATAAAGAAATTTTTCATTATATTTGCGTTTCTTGTCTTTGAAATCATTATTTTAACAAAACTTCATTCATTGGTCAATCATTAGGATGGAAATATATGAAGTACACAAATATTATATAACAATCTACAAAAGTACTTTCGTTCTTGTTCCTGTCAAATACCAATTTTTACTTCTGACGTATTCATCCATAACACCAACAAATATACATCATACAATGACGTCAATACCTATTCTAAACTGGCTTACCTCATTGACGTAGTCCTACCCATCATACTATATATACTCATCGTGTTCTCCCTAATCTCCATTCATTCATACTACTGCTTTCTCATCAATTCACAAATCTTCCTCAATTCAAACTACAAAATGTTCGCACCATCAGTTGTTACTGCTGCTACTGTTCCAATCAACAGTTGGAATAATGATTATCAAACTGTTGGTTATGGAAACTATGGATATGGTATTTATACACAAGATGTCGAAGTTCATCGAAATCCATTCACTGGACGTGTGAATATCGAACGTGAAGTCGACTTTGTTCCTATCGGCAATCATTTTCAACCATATACTGGCTTTCCAGCAGCCATTCGTCAACACTACCACACCTAAACGAGTATAGGATAGCGGTGATATAATCTGTATCATAGTCTTTTTAATCTTTATTCTTTTTTTGTACGAAGCACAATAAAAGATAATAGTATCTTGCATAACATAAAACTTTTGTGAGCGAAGATATGAGTTTCAATGCATTCTAATAGTTGCCCTAAGAGTTAGGAGAATGAGTGTGCTACCTTGAATTGTAAATATAATCAATATTTTCGTACAGTTACTAGATGCTATTCAAATTATTGTCATATAGTCATATAATACGATTGTCTTGTTGTTGTTGATCAAGTATGTTATTAGAGATAATAGAAAGACATTCTGCATCTAAATAAGACCTATATTCTTTCGTCTTCCATATATTTATACGTATTATGCATAGATAGAAGATCTTCCGAGATGTATAATTGCTTTTTCATGCTTTTCTTTCTGAATAGGACTATGATGACCTCCATAAATCTATGATATGATTATGTATGCGAGAAGAACTTCAAAACTTATTTTTTTCCATGGTATGCTACCAACCTTTGTATAGATTACACAGAACTTTGTTCGAGGTAAATGTTTTTGGACACTCTCAATTGAGTTTCTAATAACGTAGAATACATTAGAAATATAGAACCAGCTGATCAAAATCAGGTTAAAAGTGCATCCATATAGATTTAATTTGGCGAAGAAAATGTCATGTAGATAACGAGTCATCACGTTTTGATCTTTATGATACTTAGATAACTGACATGAATTATTAATTACGGTGGCTGAATATATGATGAGAAGAAAATAACGTTGCATATCTCAATATAATATAATATCTCATCCTATTCCTACGCTCCCAATGTTACTAGACGAGTTTCAAATTCTCGACTTATATGATTTCATTTTCAAAAAGAACACAAATGAAAAGAGTCAATTGACAAGAGTTCCATTTGGAAGTATCGAACCTTTCAAAGATGCTGTTTGCCTTAATTGTTCTTTCGTGATAAAAACATCTTGAAAGTCGCTATCAATAAATATGGCATTTAATAGATTTGCATCAGTAAAATTTGCTCGATAAAATATACATTTCTCACACCGAACATTTCTCCAATCAGATGCGAATAAATTCGCTTGCGTAAAGTTCGCTCGTGTAAACACACCATATTGAATCGATGCTTCAATAAAATTTGCGTTGAAAAAAGTACTGTCTTCCATTTTAGTATAGTCAAATATTGCTGAACCAAATGCAGTTAATGTAAATTGACAGTGTGTGAAAGACGTGTATGTTCCATTGACACGAAACAGTATGGTACTATGAAAATCAATATTCTCACCAAATCTCGACCGATAGAGGTTACTATCAGATAAATCAACGAAGTCCATGAGTGAATCTTCAATAACTGCATTGATCAAATTCGTTCGTCCCATGAAAGAAAAACTAAAATTACATGAAACGCACGCGAATGATTTCATGTCGGCATTTCTCAACAGTGCATGTTCGAATGACACACGTTCATATTTGACATGGAGGAATTTTGCAGATGTTATATCGCTGTTTCGAAAAAACAATGTAATATCATTTGAACCATCGAAGCCCAATACATCATAAAACTTCACATTATTAGAGAAAGAAAAATCAGCATAATGAAGAATAGCTTTGTTGAATTTTGCTCCATGTAAAGTAACATTTCGAAAATCCGCTCGTATCATGATTGCACCTTCGACGTTCAGATGAATATACACTGGATTGATAAATTTGATAAATAAACATATATCAGTGAAGTTTGCATAATCCAATGATATTACGGATGGATCAGTAGGTAAATCATATGTTATCAATTTGGCATCGTATAATAACGATAGAAGAAATTTTCGACGCGCAGGATCGATTTGATTTAGTGCGACAGTTGTAGAAGAACGAGCAATTAAGGAGGCTGATGAAGAATAATTGAAAAATAGACCATGTTTTTCCACTAGACGACTTAGAGTTTTTTTATATTCTCGAAGAACTGTATCTTGTTGTTGGCCATCTGCAATAGAAAGATCCTGATTACGATGTTGAGTAGAAATCGCTAAATCTCGATTATTTTCTAAGATTGTATAGACAACGATAGCAACTGGAACACAAAATGTAAGAAGTAATTGAATCCAATCAAAACACGTGGGTTTGTTTTTTCGATCGGCCTGCATTTTGTTTTGATATGTGAATGTCTCTTGACATATTTATATATTGTACTAGTTGAATATTCAATTCGAGATCAAATTTATACTGACGTATTTTGTTTTTTCGTCAAATATTGATCGATCAATGACGAAGCTGTTCTCTTCTAATCCACATCATATTTCTTCCTACATTCAAATAAACATCTGAACAATCGATTCACAGACGAAAGAATTATCAAGACAACCATAGATAAATTTTTTTTTATTACTTTGGAAAATATGCTGGAATATTAAAAGTAACATTTAGAAAAAATAAAAAGCGTTTTATTCATGAGGTTTTCCACTATGTTCAGCTGTACATCCTGGTTTATCACAACTTCCTCGTCGAGCAATGTTTGGTAATGGCGGAGTTAATCCTTCTCCTGAACTCGGATGCATTCCAACGGTATTAGTAATCGAATTCATACCCGGCGGTGCTGCTTCAGTAGCGATTTTTGCATCGGAGATCGCAGCTTTGACGTCACCTTCTGCTGAGGACATTTTTACTTAAATGAATGTTTGTAGTGCATAGTGTGCGATTATTTAGAGAGAAAGAAAAGAAGAAGAACAAAAAAAAAGGTGCAAATATCACTAACGTTAGACAGTACAACGCAAAAGAGTATCCAATAATAACTTAATGAATCATTCAGTTTGCTTATAGATATAAATGTAACTTCGTCCATAGCAAAACACGAGATGTCATCTTCGTCCAGACGGTCTCATCAAGAAGAAAAATCACTGATCTCGAAAGCTATCAATCAATGTTTACAGTTCATGGTTAAATTTCTTGAAACAAATATTTGCACTACAATCCAGATATACTAACAGATAAATCACTGTCGATTGTACCTTTTCTTCCGGAGAAGACAAATTAAATGATAGAAGAATGTATTTATTTATTTATTTATTTCTCATTAATCGACTAGAGTGTTGTGAAGCACAATAAAAAAAAGAGACGAATAGAAAAGAGAAAACAAAAAGAGAATGAAAAGAACCAACGAAACAACGCGGAACAAAGAGAATACAAAGAATGATGTAAGTCTAAGGAAGTGTTCACTTATTCGAGATCACAAATGGTTTTGATATTTTTCTTTCCTAGAAATTCTTGTGACCTGAGATAAATATGACACTTGAAAACAGTTTTGGCGGTGACACGTACATACCAATGAGTATATCAGACACAAGCCAAACATTCGAAAGTAAAACAAACAATTCAAAGAATGTATGAGATGCTTAGAGCGAAGAGGAGAGAAAAGAAGCAAGTCCAAGTCGTTTGAATAGACCGATTTGATGATGAGCGTGGCTTATCACAATAAAGCCATTCAGTATTGATCGAACGTGGATAATCAATCGCTGATTCCATACTTGTATCATTTAAACGCCAAAATTCCAATCCTTTGAAAAAATATGTCGAACCTAAAAACGAATCCAAATGAAAGCGCTTGTCTAAATGAGATTTTCAATATCTATACCAGATATATCAACAAAAGCGTCATCTAATGGTACATCAATTCCTTGCCACATTGTCATATCTCTTGGATAATCATACGTATTAACACGATTCCATCTTTCATCTAATGCCCAATAAAGATTAGCTGAAACAAGATAGGCTTGACGATTGAATGACCAGAGAAAAGCGGCATCGATATGATCAACATGGGTTGGAAGGCCCAGTGAAGTTAAATTACGTGGATAGCTGAAACCATTACTTTCAATCGATATTTTATTATCTTCGAAGATCCAATATTGACGGCCTGAGAAAAGCATTAAACGTCCATCGGCACGTTCGTAGGCTGCATCGATTTTGCTCAAATTCTCAGGTAATCCCAACCAAAATGCATTATTAATCATCGGTGATAATGGATCTAAACCACGTCGATCATATTGCCAAAAGTACTAAATTGAATACAAAAGATAATTTATATTGATACAGAGAAGAGAAAAATGTTTACTTGTCCTTTGAAAATAAATAGAACTCCTTTGTACATTGTTAACGCATCATAATAGCCATCACATAAATCTAATTTTGAACGGTCTATTGAATTGATTTGACTTTGTTGTTTTGAGGCTTCCGCTTCTGAAGGTGTTACGGGAGTAGTTGGATATTGAACGATTGTCGTCGTCGTTGTCGTTGTCGTTGGTATGAATGAAACATGAAGAGAAGTTAACGTTGTAACTGGACTCATGGATATTGTCGTTTTGAGTGTTGTCGTAGTTGGTATTGTTGCTGTCGTTGTTGTTGTTGGCGGCAGTGTTGTTACTGTCATTTCGATTTCACTGATAGTCGATGTTTCTGCAGTAACTGTGTAATCATGAGATTCTTTTGAAATTTGATCAGGTTCAGGTGTTACAATTCCTGATGGAGGATCTAAAAGCAAGAAACATTCATTTTCTCTGTTCAATTAATACATTCCACTTTTACCTCCATAGAGTCTACGGATAGCAGCAATATCATCATTATGCAATTTAATATTATTTGAATAACCACGATAGTAAGGAAACATAATTGCATCGGGAATATTCGAATGCATTAAACCCAGTGAATGTCCCAATTCATGAACAGTTACTGAGAACAAATCCACTAGAACACGATTACCTAAATGAATGATACGCTCTTTCCTTTTCTGTACTTACTCAAACCATATTCAAGTTCACGATAGGCTGACCAGTCTTCGTCTTCATCGTAATGTACATCTCCACCGAGATGTTCTTCTGGATAAAATGCGTGTGCTAAAACAGAACCTGGCAAACAATCACTTCAATTCAAATGTCTTTCCTAAATGAGATATTGACCTTTGCCATCGAATTGATAGCCATCTTCATGATAACCTTGAGCAAATAAGAATTCGATATCGGGATGTTCTTCATCGTTAGCTTGTCGAAATCTTAATTGACTTGGATAAGACCAAATCAATAGTGCATCGTAAATCGCTCGTTCGACTAATTCGCGCGACATATCAGTTGTATAATTCATAATTCTAAAACAAAAAAGCGGGTTAAATTATTCATTATTTTTTCTTCAAATTCATTTGTATGAATTGGCCAAGCGAAAAGACGCGTAGTATCTATGATCTTTCTCATCGGGAGAATTCCGGCGATGCATCAGTACATTATCAAAAGTCGCCGGTACATTCGGAGGATATTTTTGAAAACTTGAATGAAAATCTCATTGAACTACGAAGTAAACCTTCGAAAATTCTTCATTTTTCTTCGAAATTAAACTCCGTTTGTTTAAAACTATACAACGATAATTCGTATCCCTTACTATTTAAACTGAAAACAACTCAACCGGATATAATCGCTTCGCAACCAGCTCGTGGTTTTATCCCACCCAATTCATCCGTTCAATGTTTTCTCACTCCGATTGAATTGACGTCAGAAATTCTCCTCGTTGTTCAATACGCACAAATCCTAAATCAATACGATGATTATTCCACTCAATGGAAAAATTTGAAATCTAATCACATCCACATAAAGAAATTTCAATGTAGTTTCTCAAAAGAAAACACTCTCGCCAAAAGACAAACATTATTCAAACCGATCTTATTTACAATAGCAACAATAACTCTTCTGACAAGTTTTATTTATTTTAGAAATAAATAATTAGTTGTTTATTCTGACCTAAACAAACTTACTTATAGGTTAAATAAGTTTTTGCCCATTTTTGTCCTTGTAAAACATAACGTCGATGACGACGATTACCATAGGTATGAGGGCGTGGGAGACGATTAGAGTCTTGATCTGCCAGACCACATCGAGGACGTCGAATTAAATCAAGCGTGGCTTTGTCTAATTTACCCTAAAGAAAACAATCGCAGGAAATTTTAATGAAACAATAATAATCTTGAATATACAGTAACAGGAATGGTGGCAAATGTTTGCAAACGTTTAATAGCCGAACGAAATTCTTCATCGGTTCGCATTGCTCGTGTTTCCAAATCCGAACGCGGTAAATAGCCATAATTACTTAGATATGTATGCTTGATATGAAAAAGAAACACATAAAGTGAAGACAAGTTGTGTTAACAAGAGAAAATCGACTTACTAATTCACCTAAAACAGCTCTGTTCTTGTCGTCAAATATCGAATGTCTTCGATCTTTTTTCATTAATTTTTCTCTTGATGTCGTGAATTCTCGTTGATCACTATCGAAATAAACAGATCTAGAACTGACTAATCCGACGAGAAAAACAACGACAACAAATAATTGACAATCCAAGACGATCAAGCCACAGGGCATAGTCACTACTGAAATTGAAGTAGTGCATCACCACTATTGACCAAACATGTCCACTTGTCTCTTTCTATAAATACAAATAAATATCTTTTAATTAGGTCATGAGAAAGAAAGAAGGAAATAATCGGAAGGGATTCTACTTTGATTTGACCTTAATCTCAGAATTTCTCTGCTTTCTGTTTCCCATTGCAATCTGTTTTTACTTTGCTTTTCATTAACCTTGACACACACAACGAACAGATCTGATCATTTGGGAAATATTTTTATCATTTAGATTCATTCTAAAGGATCATTTCTTCATTTGTTCTCCCTCTCGCTCTGTCGTATGTTGGAATTCTAATCATATGATTTGATTTCCAAGACCGGATATTCATTTGAACAAATCCGAACAATTACTTACTTTTTTCTCTTAATAATTTTCAACGAACAACTCAATCACAAAGAAAAAAAAAGACTCATTCCTATAGTTCATTTTCTCAAGTGACTCAAATGCAGAAACAGAAAAAGAACGTTGCTAAACATCAAGGTGAAAATCAAATTCTATACGATTATTAATTCTTCAGTCTAATCTTTACTTTTCTGTTCGATTGAAAAAGGCAATAATTTTTCCGTTTACCTGAGAATATCTCTGAACAAATGTCAATAGAAAATCGATACGTATTATACTTGTTCTCTTAATAGCTCTTAGTTTCTATCTAAACGAGTGCATTTGCTTTATATAATGTATCACCATTTTGCGTCAAGTCACGTCTCACAGCAAGTATTTTCCTGTTTTTTTTTTCATCTTATATCGCCCTTTCTCTCATTTACTCACTCGTACTGCATCTCTTTTCTATTACTAATCGACAAGCGACTCCTTCGAGACAGATAGCCGAAAAAACCGACCCGTACGCATAACACGTCGCTTACTAAATTATGATCACATGCGGAACATTGAGCATACTATTTGATCTAACAAAACAACTAATAATTGTTAGTTTTGCTAGTGGAATACAAAAAGTCAGTGTAGTAATACCCCGCCCTTCTTTCCTTCTTCGAATCGTTAATTTGATGAGAGAAAAAGGGAAAAAAGAACTGACGCCGCAAGTCGACTATCATTCAAGGTCATTCAAACGTTTTCTCTCTTCTGATTATGCATATTATTATATGTTCATTGAAAGCAAAGAAAAGAAAAGGCGAAGTTCATAACTATTTATGCAATAGTGACGACAAGTCTTATCTACTTTCTTTGTATGCTTTGATTTCCACGGAATTTTCACGCACTCATCAATCTCTGGACGAAAGAGTAATTTAATGAGTCATTTTCATTTTCCTATTTACCAATCAACCAAACAGAACAAGAAGACTGAATCACTTGCAACTTCTCTCCTGGTAATATCTTCGGTATATGAACGATAATGTGCTGTAGGCTAAAATCTAATTGAACTTATCGACGAGAAAAGTGACGGTTTCGATAAAAATTTTCACGAGATGATTATTTCATAAGATCAATCTCTTACCTAATCTTGCTCATGTTTCTCTTTTCTATTCATTGTGTAAAATAAATAACTTCAAAAGAGAAATCTAACTATTAACTAGACTCATTAATATCCCAATAGTTGACCTTTCTCCGTAGCGATAGCTGAATAACAATGATCAGTATGGTAGAACAATCGTTACATTTACCTTTTCATATGACGACGCAAAAAAAGAAATAAAGACATAAACAGTTCTATGTGCGACAGTTAGAAGGTCACTAACGAAAAGAGAAGAAAAAGAAATCGAGGTTGATTATTTGAACTGTATGATTTTTGAAATGAAAAGAAAAAAGAGAAGAAAAGAATGAAGCGATTTGATGATCAAGTTTTTTTCTTTTTTCAAGTAATCAAATGAGAAAATATTTCTAAATCCGCTTAGATCTGCTTTTTTCTTGCTGTATGTCATGTGAAAATACATATTGTTTCAATGCATATGTATATATTTTTATGATAACGACTATTTTGCTTGGAGATGATATTTGCATAATCTACAAATACACGATTGTATGCCTACTGTTTTCATAATGATTAGGATGACTGTATAAATTTATCAACTATTATGTTATGATGCTAACTACATCAACGCTCTTGACCTTCATTCATATTCAATTCTTGTAATATTTTCAATGCTGTCAAATGATTAATATTTTATAAAAGAAAAAGAAGAGAGAATTATCTTTTCAGTTAAATTATTCACAGATTTCACCTGAAGCAAAAAAGCTGATCAGCGTCACTACACAGCTATCTAATTGGTAAAAGGTTATTCTATATACATCGATCTATTGACTAGTATGATACTCGATTCTACAATTACACTATTTATTAAACAACGAATGAGAAAGTCAAATGTCAACAGATGTTACATGATGAATATGCCTACCGGAGAACGATTGAGACAAACGGGCGATTATTAATCGATTTAATTGTTTCGTTTGTTATCTTCTTTGAAACAGAATAAAGAGAGACGTCTTCAAGGTTATTGAATTGTTAAATAGTCTCTTCTACGGTTACTCGTCGCACAAATACATTCATTCACACACTCATACGAGCAATCATTACGAAAGAATCGAATAAGAAGAGAGAGAGAGAGAGTATGTGCAGAATCGCGTAGCTATGAAGTTTTTCTCCCTCTCTCTTATCTTTCTCTCATTTCTATATCCACTTTCTTTCTCTCGTTTTTTCTCTTCTTACTTAGCCAAACCGCAAAATGTGTAGCTGTCTATGTTATAGTTGTTGTTGTTATTCTTACTACTACATCACGACTGGTGATGATGAAAAGAAGAAAAAGAATGATTAGCAGACTGTCTTACGACAGCAAGCGAGAAGAACAGGAAGACAAGGCTTTTTTTGTTACATTAAAACTTCTACTTCATGTTGAAGGTTTTCATGCCTGTCTCAACCGATTTGTTTTTTCTTCATTTTCTTTTCTTTTCAAATGATCTAATTTCTTACGAAATGAAAGTAAATCTCAAGTTCGCACGCCTGAATGTCTATCAATCGGTTGTCATCAATTAAAGAACTGAATAAAAAGAATGAAAAGAATGGCGCTCGAAGATTTTCATGATTGATACGTGATTTGTGCTTTTTGAAAGAATGAAGTTGAAACTTACTACAGAAGAGCTCACTTTGAATTTTCCGCTTTGAGTTTCTCCAGGAAAGGTAAGTGTGAATGTCAATCAAAAGAATAACAAGTGATGAAAAAAAAGAACAAGAAAAGACCTTATAGTTTGAAGTATTTGCAGAATGAAATGAAGAAAACTTTCTTTTCTTCTTCTTCTTCTTCTTTTCTCTCTTCTTCGTCTTCTCGTCTTGTCAATCCTTGATAAAGAATAGATGAAACCACTCAGACGGCGTCAGGCGAAAGTGTAATCATAACAAAATATTAATGGGATATTTTATTCGAATAAGAAGAAAATCTTCTTAGAAACCTGTCAATGATCTTTTTGATGAACATAAATCATTCTTTCTCCGTTCTGTTTTCTAGAGAATTTTACTCTTATCTATGTCATTTGAAAAATCACTCAACTAATTTCTCTTCCAAATAAGAAATTGAAGGTTAGACTTGTAATTGGCAGTCAAATATGTTTATTTAATGGAAATGATTTTTGACGTAATCCAACCAATTAAAATAATTTCATTATACGACCGTTGCTGTCTGTGATTTAGTTTCGGAGACTAAGAAGATTAATCATAGAATCTTTTTTTTTTGTTGGCAATCTCGGAGTAAAGAATAGCTTTGTACAAATAATATTTATTAATCTCTTCGCTTTATTTGGGAATATCAATCATGTTCTATGAGAAGAATTGTTGATTAAAATCGAAAAGAAGACTGCGATGTTACCTTGATCATCGATATCCGGTGTGCTACGATAATCTTCTTGTTGATATTGATATTCAATGATGTTTGATGCTTGATGTGGATGAGGAGTTATTATCCAACAAGTAAGTAAAGAGAAGACAGTAAAAAGAGGCAACAGAATCGACATAATGATAATCAATTGTTCCCCACAATCAATTTGTACAGGAAATGTTTCTGAATAAATAATATTGACATGTACTTTATAATAGGAAAAGATTTTATAGATAACAAACCCATTCAATTCAAGCACATATTTTACAGCAAAATAAAACGAGGGAAATTAAGATTTCTCAAACAAAATATTTTCTTTCAAATATTTTCGATACAAGCTACTCAGCATGCAACGAATTTGTCTGTCGCTCACATAGAGTAAGCATCTAACCAGTAGTGAGACCAGGGAGGGGAGACTGAGACCTTGTCTCTAACTCAAAATCCTGATTTCGCCACTGCATCTAACAATATGTGAAATATATTATTTTCATGAACGTGCTGAAATGATTTCCATATGACTTTGACGTCGATGTGACGAGAAAACGTTATAGAAAATATGTTAACATTTATCATAATCGTTTCTAATAGATCAGTAGGTATAACATATCCTAGAGTTCCTTCAATCAAGATTGCTAAATATTACTGATATGTCGATTAGGATTGTCAAATTCTCTTTCTTCATTTTTCAAAGAACAATTATCATTTCCATTAAGATGAGATATTCATTTTGTCAATCGTGTCAAAAAAAACTATCCGTGATCACAATGTAAACAAACTGATAATTCAATAAATTTATTGAACATCTCTTATTTCATCAAAATTTTGCTTAGAGACAAACTACGTGATAAAGATGTTCTATTAATCTACTTAGCTCCTTTATTTACGAAAAAAAAACAAGAAATCTAATGCAAAAAATGGAACAAAAAAATCTCCAATAAAAAGTGCTTTTAATTTTCAATAGTTGATTCACTAGTGATATCAATATCATCTGACATCAACGGCATGTCCGTGGAAATTTCATCTAAGTGCAGTTCCTCATCGTAAACGAACCTATACATGTTGATCCACATTTCTCTCTTTGATCCATGACTTCTGAGTATTGATTCAGCAATTGAAACTTTTGGTGCTTCATGAACAAATTGTTCGCTTATAATTTGATAATAGGAACCGATGAAACCGAGTGATTATTCTAAGTATTGTTTTTCTTCTTTTGAGGTGATTAATGAGGACGATTGACCAGTATGTAAATCATTTAAAAATTCCGGTAAATATTTGCAAATATCATAATACTTTGTATAATGTGAAACTGGAACTGCAGTCAGGTTTTCGAACAGATTTGAATATTTTTTGACTGAATAGAGACGAAATTGCTTCGGAATCCAACGCAATTCCGTCACCAGGACCCCTATCGGATTTCGTCGGATGGTCGGATCCAACATCGGCTTTGTTGACCTGGGACGCGTCGATGAAGATACACCAATGACTTTGTTAATGTACTAAGTGAGTGAGTTGATGTTTGTAGAGATTGAATTTTCAAATCTTGAGTTTCAGTCTGTTAATACGATCTGCTTGATTTTTAATTTCATTTCTCAAATCAAAGTAATGAACATCTTCATTGTTAACCATTGGTTCTACGGTAACCTTTGTATTGTTGTCTTGGTTCAGTTCCTTGTTTCGTTGTTATATTTCGGTTTGATATGTGAAAAGAATAGAAGAAAAATTTTCTTCATTTGTTCTTATCCATTCTTCAACTGTTCGTGAACCATTGATCCTTGGGATAATTGACGGAGGACCAAATAAAGTCGAATCAATATCAACTTTGATGCATTCATTTTTAGTCCGATTTTTTAAAGATTCACTATTTAATAATTCATTGATGGTTATTGACGGCCGAGCAAAGTATATATTGTCGTGTTCAACAATGATGAATCGAATCGGGATAAAATTTGGTTCGAAATCTTCTTGAATTTGTTTTAATTCTTCATGGCGAATATCAACATCTTGAACCGCTTTAGTGATCTTTTTATTCACCAGTTTCTTATTTAAATGTTCTCGCATACATTCATCACGACTACTCATTGGTGAGATAATTCAATTGGAATTTTTGGCAATTTTAGCAATAACTATATGAGAGTAAGACAGAGAATAAATATTCGTTTATAAATGAGAAATGAATGAAAATGTGTCCTTACTTATGGTTTCCGATTATTGAATGAGACTTTGAAAATATTTCTGCAAGATTTCTTTATTAGAAAAACATCGACAAATGCATACTAATGTAAAGTGACGTGATGAATTAAGGGGTCAAACACAAAGACTAATTCAAGGTGAATTAAAAAACATCATTGGTTATTTTACATATCAACGTGAATTGTATCGGTTAGTTCAGTTTTATTTCGTTCTATCTGTTTGTTTGACTTCTAACAACAATAATTCAATTTTGATTTCGAAAGGAATAAATAGATAACCGACAGTGAGCGTTATCAATATCTGTGAAGCATTGGTTTTACTGCATCGTGATTAATAATAAACATTATCAAAATGACATGTTGCTTTTCATTAAGTCTTCAATATTCCATCGAATATATGTTTATTGTTTTAATTGAATTATTCAACTTTATTTGGTTAACATTCGTTTTTCTGCGATGAATTCTTTATGACTATAAACGAGGTAATGAGATCGGTTTAGCTAGAATGTTACTGATTACTCTCAGATGAAGTTTTCTACAGTTGATTGACTAGGTTCTAAAGTTCTTTGTGTAGGTATATATCCTTCTCTCTACAATTACACGTGGTTTCAGCGGTGAACTTTACTCGAGTTGATGATGGAACTCCATTCGATCACAAAGAGATAGAAGTATATATTCTGTTATATTCATTTAGTATTTCTACAAGAGAGGTCGGAGAAGAAATCTCCTAAAAGAAATTTCTCCAGTGTCTTGTGATATTGTCAACTATTTTTACAAATTCTCTTCTAAATGTTTTGGATATGCAAAGTTGAATATAAAATGAGCTTCCGTAATTCACATAAAGCAAAACCCGAACAATATGTAAAATAAATTTTTCCCATGCGCGTACTGATACAGATTTCGCAGAACTTTGAGTAGACGTAAAAGCTATGTACATCCAATAACATGAGTGTGGAATTGTTAGAATACTAAGAACGAGTATTTGAACTGAAAGACTTTTAATTAATTGTTGTTTATCTCGTCTAACTGGAATGGGAGTCATCGTGGATGGATTGACCAGAATTCGAGATTGTCGTATATTTTTGAGCGTTAAAATCCCCAAGATTGACATTAACAACGGAGGTAATAGACTGTAAAAGTTTAACATAAATATAGCAAAAAACATATTATAGGTAGTATCATTCGTTGTGCAAGTCCATGATAGCTGGTTATGCACATCCAGTTTATAAAAATACTGATAATAAACAAGAACGTGTATATGTACTAATAAACATGATACTATTGTTAGCCCAATACATTGAATGGCCATTCGGGTTGAGCAAATTTTTTGACGTTTCAATGCTGATTGATTTGTAGAATAGAGTCTGTCGATCGATGCACAAACAAAATACCAACTCGATATCGCAAATAGGGTATATACAAGGTATGTTCGAATTTTACAATAGACATTCGAAGCTCCATCGAATATGTCAAGTTGAAAACCGTCATCTAACATTCGAGTTAAGAGACCAATGAAAAACATCACTAAATTATTTACTGATGCAGCAAGAAAATATAAAGAACACGATTGTTTGACAAATATACCACGAGAGAAGATGATTATATTAATGGAATTTCCTATGATTCCTGTTATGAATATCGCCAATACTATCCAACGATTCAAAATAATAGCTGCCAAATCCAACGTGTCAATTAATGATGACGTCATTTTGTATATGCCTATAAATGAACTTATTGAGGAGCGTGAGCAGTACAGCCACTAAATACTTTAACAAAAATGTGTTAAAAATTCATATAGTCTGCTGTACTTTTACATAAAATAATATTCATTATTAATATATTTTCTTAAAGACCAAACTATACTAAACAAAGATCTCTGTTGTTGCAGACTACGAGATATTCTAGCGCTGAAGAACATTTCATATGTGGAATTAATGTGGAGAATTGTCGCCTTGTAAAAAACCTAAAAGTTGCTTAACGAGTGAAAGCACATGGATTTCTTTTTAATAGAGTAAATCAGTAACAGCGTTTTAAAGAAACAACAAAAAATATGTAATTATGACTTGGTCTTTTCAAAAGCCTTTTGTATTGTCAGAGAAAATGAGCTCACAACAGCCAAAAAAACCAAGCGTATCATTCTTTTGTTCAACATTTCAAGTTTACCACTCAGAAAAATTGCGCATATATATCCTGTTACGGAGATTAGGTTTTTCAAAGTAAGCATTATGATAAGCTCTAATTTGATATGGTGACATTTCTATAAATACTTTCATATTTTCGTTATTGTTTTTAAAAAATCGTTCAATCTGAAAGTCGTATGTTGTGTCAAGTATGTTGTATTCTGAATAACTCCTTTAAGAAAATGTTTGGTTCCCTAAGATACATGTGATGAATACAAACTTCAATTTAAACAGTTTACTGTTCTTTGCCAAGTTTTCAGATTTGAAGACGAAGAAAACGTAGAGATATGGCAGTGCTATCCCTTTCAACATTAAATTATTATTAAAGTTTTTAATGACAACTAGCTATGAATATTGCATGTCAATAAATTTAGTAGACGAATAAGAACTAAAACTATAACATTCACTGTTGATTATTGATGTAGGAGGATTTTTTACACGTTTACTAATTAGATTGTAAAGAAACTCATTTAAGAAAGAAAATTGTATAATCGACTAAAGAATAACAATCAAAACAAATTGTTAGAACATTATGGAAAACTTTCACGCTAGATTATCTCAGCGTAAAACATATGATTTTTAACAAAGACGGCTGAAACCTATATTAATATCTGTAAAAGTGTTTTTTATAATTTTCTTTATTTTTGTAATTTATGCGTGAATAACGGTGTATCTGATATGCATCCTACTAATGCACATCTGTAACCATAGAACAGTAGTTTATACTAAGATCAAAGAATACGAAACCGACTGCACTGAAACCATTTAATTCTCAGAGTATACAAAAAATTTACGCATGAAATAAAATTTCTTACTTGATATATTACAGTAAAATTATGTGTGAAACGATGGTTTCCAGTACATGAGAGTCTTCATAAGATTTCATAATATAAACTGGAGAGATTCTGCTATCAATTCTCGAGACATTTCATTAAAAAGATGCAAGCTTTTTCTTGGTTTTCTAGCCGACAATCCATTTAATTACTGCATAACTCATTTGATCAATACGTCAAAATTACTATTTTTGCTCATCATAGGATATGAGGGTGTGCCACATCAAGAAAAGTCCCTTCCGGACACCAGCTGTTGGAGTCACTCTGGGAGCTCAAAGTGCATTCGACAGTCATTAGTTGCGATCACCCTGGATAGAGAAGATCAACAATTGTGAACTAATTCTTAGATTTCATTGCGATAGTAATTAGGGCCGTATTTATTTTTACATAAAATATCTGTCGATTCATTTTCTAAAATACGCAATTCGTCGCGTTTCTTCTCCTTGGTATATTTAACAGAGCTAGCTTGTATTCGTTCATAGTATGCCTAGATTGCTAGTAACAGCATGATGACACGCGACTTTAAAAATAACCTTTGCATACAAACGTGCGTAAATTGATTCCTTTTTCACGAGGTTTCTGTGAATATAAAGTGAGGAGAAACGAAAAGATCTGCCAGTATTTACAATTAATTCCTTGACACCCAAGAACTATTACATTGCTTTTATAATTGTTTGACACTAAAACGCCATACGTGATATTTGCCTTTTTGAAAAGAGTGGTGTCTGACGAATTATGAGAGTGACTGTCTATGTCTTTCGGCATGATGGTGTCTTGTGTCATCTGCGCACCCACAGTCGTATCTTTACCTTTACTGTATACAGCTTATATCGGAATGGTCACACACAATTAAATAAAGAGGAAAAAATCAGTGCTTGATGAAGGAGTTACACAAAAATCATCGTCCCGCAGGTCTTTGCTTATGTAAGCTGCTTTTTATTTTATTTATATGCAAAAGAGGTACAGTACTGCACCTTATTTGTGCTATAATCATTTCAATAGCTCTTATGCTTCAGCTTTATTTTCTCTAAAAAGATTCAACTGAATTGAATAACTTTTATTTCTCGTCGCATGCTTCTTTTATACAGATGAACCAAAAATACACAATGCAACCAACTTAAGATGTAAGTGGACGACATATTGAACAAAAAATAACACAGAAACGAACAAATGTAGTATGGATTCAACAGAAAAGAATGAAATTAATAAAACATTCGGATGAACAGTAAATGTATTAATATCTGGACGAAAAAAATGTTGATCTATACCAATTTATTGAGCTTTTATACGAATATTGATCAGACGAAACTGTATTTATGTATTGTGATCAGGAGAAGAATTTGAATCATCGGCCAGCTTTGATCGCAAGTGCTGTTGATTTTCTAATTATCTCAAGTCGTGAACTAACTAACCAATGCTCTAAGGTTAGAAACTTACTTGTCAAGATCATTGACATCACTTTTAAGTTTACATATTTGATACGTCAATCAGCTTTTGTTCGCATTCTTATCGAATGAGTTATCTTAAAATAAAGGGATGAGATATTGCGAGTGCCCTCTACATGTTCAATTCCTCCCATGTGCTCTAATGCAATCAAATTGTCACACAATTGCGCCTACCTGCGACGCAGCCTTGGTAGTTTGTCGTAAGTGTGCCACAGTCGTTAAAAATAGGTAACACGGGCTTCTTCATGCCTAACATTTCACACTTTTGTGCGTGTCGCCATTGTAAAACACCCTCGATCTTAATGTATCTTACAATAGCTGGAAAATCGATACCATTTCTTTCGAAGACACATTTTTATAACGGGGTGGACAATGTGTTCTTTTTCTTTGTTAGTCATGATATCTTTTGAAAAGCCTTCATAATAAGATACGCAAAATATTTTATACAGAAGGTGCTAGTACATAATATGCTTTTCCAGGACAGTCGCTATTTTGAATCTACGGCATGAGCATAAATTATAGCTTATAGATCATAAATATATAACTGACTTACAGCATCGTTCCAAGTACTCATCCTTTACAATGCTCAAGAGTAAACAATAAATCCATAATTTTGGGAGGGGGATGAGAACAAATAAAACGACATAAATTGCAGGCGGGTAATGGTGGCAATACCTAGGTGATTTACAATCTGACTTGTATTTTACAGCACATCTCAAATACAACATAATATTCATAAATTGTTGCTTTCCTATTTATCTTCTACGTATATATATATGTAAAGATGAAAGTTTGTCTGTCTGTCTGTCTGTCTGTCTGTTTGCTATGCATTTAGTTCCTGTAGTAGCTATCGTCATGAAACTATCCACAGTGCTTCCTTGAGTTCACAGGAAAGTCGACATCTACTTTGTCCCAAAAATAAAATCAATTACGCGTTTGCTACAAGCAATCTATGGGCCTAACCAATAGGATTGTAGAATTTCAAAAAATGGAGTAAATCGATTGCAAAGGCAGCCGAAGGCCGTTTGCGCGTTCAAAGACAACAATCCACATGGTCTGCCTGTGCATGGGCGTCCTATACACGCTACAAGCAACCTACGAAACTCACATATAGCATTGTAAGATTTCAAAAGATTAAGATAAACGTTGAGAGGTGGGTGAATGCGAAGGATATAAGGTGTGAAATGACATGGGAGTGAGATTGAGGTCGATAAGTGAACTGCTAAAGTGGAGAATCAATATCAGAGAAAGAGGTAATATTAATCTTTGTTCCAGAAATTAATTTCGGCAACTTTTTTGCATAAAGAAATATAACCGAAACTGCTGTTTCATGCAATGCACGGCGGAAAAGGTAAGGACCACAAGTGTAGAAATTTAAAGTGTACTGATTTTCTATCTGCTGCAGCTTTTCGACAGGTGAGATGTTCGACATAGGCATTTCTTATTTGCCACCGGATACTCTCTCTCTCTCTAGCACGCTATATTTGGAGATGTAGATAGCATGCAAGCAGAACGGTTACTGATTAGCAGTATTGGATCCCTAATGGATCGTCAACGACAAGCGTACGTGATAGATATATCAAGTCACAACCATTCTAAAACGTTAGGCAGTAATAACAAAAAAAGAGAAATTCCGGCGATTAATATTTTAAAAGAAATCGATATCGATAATAATGAATTGATAAGATGAAGTTGGTTTGTCTTCGATAACACTTATATTATTCTGCGCATAGTGATTAATGATAACGATTATAAAACTATCTTCATATTCATATCGCTATAAGGAATCAGCGTTAGCTCAAAATCTTTTATTTTCTTGTAATATATGTGTAAAAGCAAATATCACGATTTATATACTGATTAGTGTGTCAATCAACTGGGTGAACGATGGCCTGCAATCCATTCCGATAGAGCTTCAGGATTTCGTGTCTAGAACAGTATGGAAATGTTCGATACAAATATTTACTTCAATATAATTTCTTACTTGAATAAATACCGTCCCTGGGCCGGTAAATCGGCAAACTAGCCCTTCGCCTGCATGCATTCCGCTGATAATTCCGCCACCTGATCTTTCAATAGAATATGGACAATTCCATGCCACTAAATGGCCATTATCAACAATCCACTGTTCTCCGTCCCTTAGATTTCGTTGAATAATTGCACCAAGTGATGTAACAAAAAGAATTCCAACACCAGACACACGGTTCACAAAAAGTCCTTCGCCTGAAAACATTCCTTTGCCTAATCCTTGAGATTTGGTTTCTTTAATAACACCATCGGTCATTGCTAGAAAACCACCTCGACCAACACTCCATTGAATAGTTCCGTCCAAATGAATCGGAATGATATCGCCCCTGGAAAAATAAGTAATATTATTAAAGAACAAAACGAAACCATTGTCTATTTACCAAATAGGCGGCGCAAATAAAATTTCACCGGGACCGGTATAAGTTGATTGACACATTTCACCACCAGTGAGCATCTTTTTGAATGAAAACTTCAATTTTCCCTTCAATGTTATTTGTGAACTCATAGCAACCATTGCTCCTGGTTGAGCATAGAACGATATATTCGGAGACAGTGTGACTGATAAAATCGTATTTGTATCCCGATGGTCAATTTTGAAAGAGCCTCCATTAAATCGACCCGTCATGTCATTCAAACTAATTTGCGATGCGTCTTGACTTGTTGCCATTATTCGATCTGCTTCCGTTTATTAATGTAGCGTGCAATTTAATGTATGTGTTACGTACATATATATATATACAGAAATGAGTCAACTGAATACGTCATAAACCACTAAATTCACTCTGTTGATGACTCCTGTCAAACAAATTTACATACGCAAATCCTTTTCTTTCTAGAAGTAGGCGGATTGACTTAATATGAAGAGAAAGAATTGACATCATCGGTATTCGAGCCTGTGTAAATAAATATACAGAAAAATAGTAAAGCAGCACTTTTCTTTCGGTCAACAACGGTTGCTACTTAGTGTTCAGCAGGTCATTGCACAAATATCTAATCGCTGCCTGGTATAGTATTGAGCAATGTTATAATTCAATTCAGCAACATAGTATACACGAAGAAAATCGGTTACGTAATAAATAAAAAGATATTTAACAGATTAGAAGACACAGTATAATAAAAACGTTAGGTTCCGAGCGGTTATGTTATGAGACGATAAATCTAACACACATCCTGATAGGTGACTCCAATAGGATCCGCTTAAAGGACTTTGCTGTGCCATTAACTTTTTCTTCCTCCTTGAATATATCATAGTGGTACTAATACATCATATGCTTCGGCTTCTCTAACAAAGTAAAGATAAATTGATGGTTCTTGTTGCGTGTATTTTACGCTACTGATAAAAAAAGATACACAATGCAAAAAGTCCAAGAAACATGAGGAAGGACAGATCATACAAGATATACAATTAATTGAACAGAGTACAACAAGTTTGTCAATACATAATAGATGTGTACAGTAATGTTCAATAAGACATGAGTTTCATAATAAAAATCTTTGAGTACGATCCGGCGATTTAGATTCGTCGTTAGAACTAGATGTTACTTGTTGTTGCTCTTCCAATTGGCGACTCAATTCTTTTTTATCTTTTGTTTCAGGTCGTGTTCGACTTCTGAATGTTTTTGACGTCACACATCAATTTCTCTACCAATTGTTGCACGGTTTCAATGTGTTTTTGTTGTTCTCTTATTATCTTCTTAAGCTCACGAGTTTGTTCATCCGCTGATTCTGTTCGTTCACCACCATTGATGGGTTGTTTATTCTAAAGTAAAGTGAGAAATGAATGAACTATACATGTTAGATATAAACTTAAATTGGTTTAGGAAGAACCCATGGGTTACGAGGCCACGTTTTTCTTATTCCATCGAGAATACAACTCAGGACAATCGTTCCTTGAAGCAGGATTTCGTAACCGGAATACTGCTTCCATGAAATCTCCGGAAGGTCCTGGAACTGACCGGTTTTGGACCGGATCGTTTGACATGGGAATTCACTATTAGGAATACGTTAATTTCATGTTCACACAATATCAAAATCCACTCATACTTCATTTTTATTTATAAATTGAACATTAACATTCGTTGTAAAATAGTTTCAGAGCGTTTCTATCTGAAAGCGAATGAAGTAATAGAAATCCGCTGTATCTTTTTAAAACACATTTTATTCTGATAGAGTAGTTCAATATTCATGTTCTTTATACATAAATCGACTCCTTTTGTCCTTCGTTGTTCGTCATATTATTTTATCTACGGTGTCTTTGTCACATACAGACATCTCTTCCTATGAACGGCGCTAAAAATAGAGTGTATGTTTCGAATCATTTTCGTCAGTGATTAATACGATAAGCACCTGAACTAGAGGTATGACCGATACTTCTTTTCATGTTGTATAAAGAATATACGAGATCTGCTTCTACTTTCATTACTATGGTTGTTGTTAGAATGCAGACATTGACTAATCTACTATGGAAAAGATCCACAAGTATATATTAGAAAATTGTTCAAGTTATTTTCTTCCATGAAATCTGTGCAACAAGAGATTTGTTTATTTATGAATATTCTTCATAAAATATTATAAAGAAATACTGTCATGAGCTGAGATGTTGATAGCACAGCTACTCCGTCTATTGTACTGCTACTACAACCTGTCAGACGCTGTTTCGTTTTACTATTGCCAAGGAGAACGTAGATGATTCATCACATATCATAAACCACCCATGATCATTGAATATACTAGTCATTTAACAAAGGGCGCTCAATTTTGTTCAATTTATTAAAAATAGATCAATCTAGTTTATCAAAGAATAATAAAAAAGAAAAGAAGAGAAATAGCACATAAAATCACAGTCTTGCAAGAAAAACAGAATATTCAGCGTAATTGACTACAATTCAGTTGAATTTGTATCAAAAAGCCCTTTGAGCATTTGTTTCCGCTTTATTGTTACGATATAAGCACGGTTTTCTACCACTTCTGGATGATTCGGAGGTAAAGTTTTTAATAGCTGTTCAACTGATCTTTCTGTAGATGCAATAGCCTCTTCAAATCTTCCTAAACCTGTATATGTTGTTGCAATGTTGAAATGTGTTACTGCAATGGTTGGATGATTTTCTGGTAGTGCCATTAATTCAATTTCTAAACTTTTTAAGTAGCATGGTAACGCATCAGCATATTGTTCTTGCCGATAATACATAGAACCTATGTTATTATAGAGTGATGCAAATGACGGATGAGTGGCAGGTAAATATTCTAATTGACAGTCTAGAGCGCGTCTAAAATGGACAAGTGCATCACCGTATCGATGCATTTTATTGTAAATATTCCCGATACTATTGTTGAACGAAGCTAGTGCTTGAGGATTTCGAGGTTGAACAAGACGTTGAATTTCGAGAGCTTTGCTATAATATGTCAAAGCCAAGTCTAACTTTTCTTGTAAAAGATATGCGTCAGCCAAATTATCGTAAGTTGATGCAAGATCTGGATCATTTGGTTGATTAATTTGTTGAAGGATTTTTAATGCACGTTCAAATGACTTAGCTGCTTCTTGATAATTTCCCTGCTTCAATTGTACAACTCCAATATTATTTGAATACGATGCAATTGCGTTCAAATTCGGATTTTGAGAATTAATCTGTACATCGAGCGCTTTTTGATGGTATTCGTTTGCTTTATCATATTCTTCCTGACGAAAATACATTGAACCGATATTATTATATGTTGGAGACAATTGTACTGAATCAGCTGGAACAAAGCGAAGAAAGGTCGCTAATGACAAATGGAATAACTCGACAGCACGTTTATGGTCACCACGTGCATGACACGTTGCACCAAGTATGTGACACGATGCTGCCACTGAACCTTGAAGATTTGGGTCGGTTTTCAATGTTTCATCATCAAATATCATTTGAACTAGTTGTTCTGCTCGTGCTTGTTGTCCCATCAGCATCATTAATTTAATCAAAGTAACAAATGGTGCAGCGCCCTTCACTTCGTTGCGTTTGGCTTGCAGGAGTTGTTGTAAAATTCGTTCATTTTTAATTTCCACTAACGTTAAATAAATGGATGCAATATTATTCTCATTTTGATGAACCTTCTCGATTTGTATGATTCGTCCCATCAGACCGATATTTAATAGAACATCATTGTCATCATTAACTCCGTAACGAAGTGAACTTGTATTCGCATACTTTGTATTAGATGTTAGATTGAAATGAAGAATAACAGGAATATATTCTTCGGATAAAGTCGGGAGGCTTCGTGCAATTTGAATTGCTTTCGAAAGATCAGTTGTTCCAGATAGAAATTGACTAAAGACAAGTAAATCGTTAGTTGAAGAATTTTTTTGTAAATCTTCAAGGTCATTTTGATGAATTGTTTGACCAAGATAAACAAGAAAATCTTCTCCTGTTGGAATCGATATTGATTCATTGGATATTTGGTGATATAGATGCTGAATAAATAAACGAAGGTTGAATAGAACATCAGCTTCCGGTACACGAAGTGCTTTGTTCAACATCTAAAGATAAAATAATAACACCGTTTAGTGGTTAATTTCATCTAAGTTTACTTTGGAAAGAAAACATTGTCTTGTAAACCACCAAATAGCTCGACTTTTTTCATAATCATTTTCGAACTCATCAATAATCACTAATTCAGCATCATTTCCTTCATATTCTTGGCGAGAAAAGCTAATCAATTCTTTCAAAGCAAATTCTGTTTCTTCATCATCAAGAATAACTTCACTAATTAGTTGACAATAAATAAACATTGGATCTGCCATAGAAGAGCTCGATGGTATATTCATATAAGCGATTAAATCACGTGTAATATCATTGATGTCGCGAGCAACTTGTTTGTAAACTTCTTCGATGTCTTGACAATATCCTTTGACTTTCGATTGTTTATCAGAATTGATTTGTTCATGATTATCATCAACTAAGATGTAAACTGTAAAAACTTGTTGTAGATCTTTAATGCGTGACAGAATCGAAGTGCTAAATGCATCCGAGAGAATGAAAATAACTTTTTCATTAGATACTCCATTGATAAAAGCCGTGCAATCATCGACATCATCGAAGACTTTTATGAAATTTACTAGACTACGAAGATGTTTTATAGTTGATTCATCGGGAGGAGTAGAATGTAAATACACAAGAATAAAATATTCCACATTGCCTCTTTCTCGAGGACCACTGCCAATGATCGATTCTGGACGTTCAACTTGTTGTTCTAAAGGATATTCCACATCTATTTGTAAAATGCGAAACGATTTCAAGTTATCACTTACGTCGCATAATTCCGAGTCGTGTCAATAATGCTTGCGTTGCATCATCTACGATCGATGTGTGAGGAGCAGAATTATTACTGAGTGCAGACATTGGTTGCATTAATTGATCGCTTTGATTAGTATCGACGTGTGACGATAATGTTCGAAGGAATTGAACAGTGACATTAGATTGATTCGATTCGTGTTGATGATGATCATCATTATCTGAATCAGAGTGAGAATCTAAAATAAGGAAAAAAAATAGTCTTTGTTTGTATATTCATTGTTGTGAAGAGAAACCTTTCTTCTTTTGGATATTTAATGATTCTGATTTTGTGTTTCGTGGACTTTCCATGGTTTCTTCATGTGTGTCCAACGGTGTTTCGTATGCAGAATCGAGTAATTCGGAAACAGATAACATTGCTGATAGTTGTGGAGGACCTAAAAGACACAAAATAATTTTGCTTTTTATTTTAGAATTGATAATCGATTGAATCAAACCGTATATTCGTTTCGGCGGCAACGGCGGCGCTGTTGACTGTGGTGTTGGCGATTCAAGATCTGTTGACGGTAAAGTCGGTAGAAAACTTGCTGAAAATTCTTCGGCGGAGTGTGATTTTATCGGTTGTGTTTCCGATAGCTCAGAAATGTCTGCCGAAAACCCTTCGCTTACTAAACAGAAAAAAATCAATCGGATTTCACTAAGCGATAAAATCAAACTGACAGGCTTTGTCGTTATCACGTGAAGGAATTGTGAGTGTTGTTGGTTTCTTTCTCTGAAATAAAATAAGAGACAATTATCTTGAATTGATTCAAATTGATTTCAATCAACAAACTTCAGTTTTTCGATCATTGGAGATCGAATGTGAATCTGAGTGGATACTCTCGGCTTTTCGTTGTCGATTATTTAATGAAATAGGCGGCTTCGATTTACGAGTTACCTGGATGGAATTTAAACCTTTTCTTTTCGTATTTAAACAGAATATCCTACTTGAACAGTTTGTTTTTCACACTGCTCTAGGCTCGTTAATGATGATGATGATCGTTTTATCGTTGCATATGAATGATTTCGTCGTGGTGCAGGAGATGGACTTGATGAACTCTAAAACAATATATCGATAGACTACATTTCCTTCGAAATTATGAACACAGACTGATGAGCTATTCAATTCACATCTAAATAGAAAACAGATTTTCAAGAGAAGCTTTTCGTTGTCAAACTGCGTACTCATGGCAAGGTTGTGAGCCGACAACACGTTCAATGCAGAAAAGATGATTTTTATCTTTACTTATCAATGAATGTTCACAACAAGCAATCATTCGATCTTCAAGTGAATCATTGATGAAAAATTCGAAATGAATTCTTCCATCATTATGATAACGTTTCGATTTCAGTGTTAATCGATCTTGAAAGAAAGAAATTTATAATGAGAAAGATTCACTTGAAAATCAAGTCACTTACCTCCATATTTCAAACAGCCTTTGAAAACTGTTTTCCCACGTTGAACAATCATGATTTCATCGCCATGCTTATTCGCTTTGGCATTGCGATATGTGATTGTCACTAAAGAACATTCTCTTGATTCACTATGCTAAAAATTGCCAAATCGAACATGTTAATTTCAAAGATCTCAACAACGAACTCGATTCGTCCGATGGCGATGACTGTAACATTGAGAACTGCTGCCCGATCTATGTCTTGACTACAGTTAAAAATAATGAAAGTTTTGAATACAATAAAAAGAGAGAGTTCAGTTTACTTGTTCTTCACGAAATCTTGACGGATCGTACCGATATTGGCTGTCTCGACTGTATGACTGTGACCGACTATTTCGTCGTTCGGAATACTAAATCGAAATTTGAAACATACCATACGGAATAAAAGTGAATGTTTAACGAACATCACGCATTATCGATTGAAAATGTCGTCGAAGTTCATTTTCACGTTGTCTTTCAATATCAATTGCTCTAAAGGGTTTTATGAATAGAGATCCTTTACTTCAAATTCTCCAACATACTGTTCGAGTAAATCATTCGTCAACCGACGCCGTAGATAATAATCCATTCCTTGAGACAAATCTAGATGTATAGATGCGATGGATTCATTAGTAAAGTCTTCGAAACGGTCTAAATCTATAATAAAATCGAAACAGAATTTTTTGTTCTCTATAAAGAGAGCAACTATCAAAACTATTTTCTTTCCTTCTCTTTGTATAGGAATATTGCACGTTGTTCTACAGTCGACCACATACTTCTATTCACTATACAACATTGAAAAAATACTTCGAACAGAACGCAAGAAAAAGGAAAATGAAGGTTCCTCCAGTTTTTTTTTCTCTTCCAAAGCAAATAGTTTTAAAGTTACACAGCTATGCTTGTCTCTTTTTTTGATGATGATGATGATGAGTGTTGTTTTCTAGAAAAATAACAGAATAATAAGGAGAAACATGTACAGTTATGATGACCTTCGGATATCAGAAGAAATAAAAACACTGAGAAAAAACTCATGAAAATATGTTTTGCGAAATAGACTGATTTTTCACGTTATTCGAAACAAAGATGTTGACTTTCCAAAAAATCGACTGAGACTTGCTACTAGAAAATCATGCATAAGATTTAATATGTTACCAAAGTGATTTTCAGTCTTTATTTCAGGCAGATTAATATTTGAGCAACAATTTTGCTTTTGATAAGAGGCACGTTTTGGACTGTCAGACTGTATATTAATATTGAAATGTGATTTTTATCTAAGAGACTTGTCAGATTTCACTTCCTAGCGAGAAAATTCCAACGTGAGATCTTTTCATTAAAATTTACTTGTCATCTTTTTATGATTGGTTACCTTTTCACCGTGATAGATAAAAGAATCATCCTATAAACATGTAAATTATATAGACTCAAGAACTGTTAATATTGTATGTGAAAATGTTGTTTCTTTTCGAAATTATGCGTATTAAAACGAGGAGCCAATTTATTAGAAATACTCGGCGATATAGTATCTTCGTCGAAGACTTTCATATCTCAAAAGATGCCACTCATATTCATAGACGTGTGTGTAACGAAGGTCAGTACTGCATACCGTGAGGGTTTTTATCGTTCTTACATTATTTACTGTCTTATTTCGTGTTGTTATTTTTCGCCAGAAGCGTAGCTACTAAGTCACACGTTATTAAAACTACAAGAAACGACAGAACGTGGAAAAGAGAAAAAAACAAAAATATATCGTCACAATTTAGATTGAATATGTGCTAATCATGTCAACCAATACTCCTGAAGAATTGCCCAATTGTGAACAATGTTCTCAGCAATATAATCTTTTTCGGCGAAGAGTGAGTTTTTCTTTATCAGAATATTCAAAAGAAAAGAAAACACAGATAAAAATGGTATTTAGAAACAATGCCAACTATGTGGACAAACATTTTGTTCCAAATGTACATCGAAATCTATACCTTCAACTAAAAAACGTGCTTGTCCAATTTGTTTATTGATTATTAATGATCGTACTACTCATGAGCAGTTAGGATCTATTCGTATCAAACATCTTCGCGCATATTTAATCTATTCGAAAATAATCACCTCGAATCGTTTATTAGAATCATGCTTTGAAAAACAAGATTTAATCAATTTAATTCAATCGAGAAAACAACAAACACCCGATGAAACATATGTTTTTGTCCAAAGACCGAATGAAGATGTAAGAAAATCTTCGTTTAGGTCACGGAATATATATTTCTTTGAGGTTTTTAGATACCAGCACCTACCCCTACGATAGAAATTCCAAATAATGTTCAACCACAGCCTGAGTCAGTTCCTGAACCATTGCCTTCGCCACCACCTTCTATGCCAATTCCTTCATCATCAAAGATTGCGTCAACTCGGAAAACATTAGCTGACTTGTCATCATTAGAATCGATTCAAGAATTAACTGTTGGTCAATTAAAAGATGTTCTAAATCAAAATTTTGTTTCATATAAAGGATGTGTTGAAAAGCATGAACTCATTGCTAAACTTCAATTGTTATACCGAGACAAACAACAACAGAGTGAATCCAATACATCTAGTAAATCTATTTTTCATATCAAATTTCGATTCATTTTACTTGTTATAGTATCAAATGGACAATCCGATGAAAATCTTTGTAAAATATGTATGGACGAATCTATTGATTGTGTTTTTCTTGATTGTGGTCATTTATGTACATGCATTCGATGTGGAAAGCAATTATCGGAGTGTCCACTTTGTCGTTCATATATCGTTCGAGTTGTCCGTGTTTTTAAGAGCTAACAAACTTTTCTTCGTCTTTCATTTCAACGAACAAAAATATAAATAAATTTTTCAAGTCTGAATCCTTCTCGTTCAAGACGATGTGGTATCATATACTGTTTATTTTTAAGTTGTCATTAACAACAATACAATTCGAAGGCCGTTTATTTCTTTTTTTCTCTCTCTCTTTCTCTATTGATTACATCAAAACTTGTTTTCTTTCTGGCTATGTAATAGAAGAAAAATAAAGAAAAAGAACAGAAACCACTAGCCGTCATTCATTTTTCTTTCTTTTGCTCCATTAACATTACAGAAAAAAAAACACAGAAGAAGAGAAAGGAAGAGAATGTGAGCAATACCTTTTTCTTACATATGCTTCGTTATTTAAAATGAGTAAAAAGGATTTATGTGTGCAATCTAGCTGCGTTTATTCTACGAAATTTCTTTAAGTACGGAAAAATATTTACGATATTAGTCATCCGACATCTTTCTTATCACTAATATTCATAAACACGTGCACAACATTCGTTTGTTGTAAGTTGGAAAAAGGAAATGAGAGAGGACAGAAGGGGAACGCTTAACATTTTTATTTTGATTTAACTCGAATAAATGGAATATTTCAGATTTTCTTTGTAAATTTGAATGGCTTATTCGCATGAACATCGACGTCAACGACGATATCGCCATTCGCCATCATCTTCACAAAGTGTCATGTCATCGCGAGATGATGAAGAGCTCGAACAAGATATTATCGAACGGTATGAACGAAAAGATGCCCTTCTGCGAAATCAAATAGGTTTTATGTCGTTTAGAGCTTTAGAAATTGAAAGAAAACGAGAAAAAAGTTTACGCCGACAATTTGAATATATTGTTCATAACGTTAAAGTTTGTATTTCTTTGTCAGGCAAATGAACACATGTGTTGTCTTTCTCTCTCTCTCTCTTAGAAATTAGAAAGACGCCGATATCAACGTCATCGTACACGATCGCCAACATATTATGATAGTTCAAGTGGCCCGTCTTATCGAAAAAGTTCACATTCTGTATGGAAATAATCGAGAAAATATCTTTTTTTGTAAACAGTACTGTTCGTTTAGTATCGAAATTCGTCATCCGAACGTTATTACGAATCGAGTTATTCGCGATCAGCATCAACATCCAGACAGACGATTCCATGTCAAGTGACAATGGTTTATCGGGGCATAGGAAGTGAAAGACATGGTGATGAAATTATGGTCTTACAGGAAAATATCATTGTTTTCAAAGGATTCCTCCGTTCCGAGGGTTCGTTGTTCGAAAGATCTTTTGAGAAACTGTAATCTTTTGGTTTTCAGAACCATTTAAGTTTAAATTTCAGCGGCGTCATCGACAATTGTTTGTTAGGCTGGAATTTTTTATTAATGAACTGTTTGAATGTCGACTATCAATCGACTGTGAAAGAAAACAAGTCGATGAAGAAAACGAACTCTTTCAATTACAACATCTTGAACCGTTAAAACGTCATCAAAGGTATGGATTGCATTGTAACATTTCTTCCTTTCTTAATATGAATTTCCGTTCCAGACGTGACGAAGATGATGATCGAGAACGAGATGTCAAAAAACCAGTAAGAAAAGAAATACCTTCAAGCACTCGACAACCATGTAAGTTCGAGATTGAAATGTTTTCTTGAATGAAAAGGATTTTGACTTTTATAATCCAGTAGTGAATGGCGATAGAAGTCCAACCGTTGATAATGAACGAGATCGCCATAAACCTTCATCGAATCAAGTAAAATTTCTTTTTGTCAAAAGTATTCTTTCACGGAATGAAACTTGGCATTTTATAGACACCAGGAGAACAAAAGAGAACAACACGGGAAAATTCGTATACAAAACAACAGTCTCGACGTAGCCCCAGTCCACCAAAATCATCCTGTAAGACGTCCCGCTTTTCAAATGTAAAAATTTTAAAATAAATTTACGTTTCTTCAGCAAAAAGATCCAATGGATCAGCAACTCAGGTAAGTTTTGTTTTCAAAAATCACAAGTACAACTAAATTTGTTACATCAGTCCAATGCATCCAACTCAAAACCATTAACCAGTCCTGCAAAAAGTTTGTATTAAACTCTTTCTTTCTTGCGGAAGAAATCCCTTCTTTCTCTAGAACCCATACTTCCCAAAGCAACTAGTTCAGATGACGATAATGTCAAAACACCAGTAAGACAACTAGACAAATATTGTTGTTTTTCACCATTCAAACTTTTGTTTTTCAGGTGAGAACCACTCCAACCAAACCAAGTTATGGTAGATGAGTTTTGCCTTGGTAGAAATATTTGCTTCGATGTGTTTTCTGTAACTAAAGGCCCTCCACAATTATCAACATTTGCTCGTTCTGGTTCGGAATCAAATTCCGAAGAATTGCCTAATTCTACTCTACAAAACAACGAGAAAAAACCTCCGACAACAGAATCACCCAAACCATCGGAATCTTCCCCAGAAAAGAAAGATGAAAAAGTAGATGACGACGACGACGAAGAAGAAGAAGAAGAAGGCAGCAGCGGTGGTCGTGGTGGTGCAGGTTTTGGCAGTTTTCTCCAGTTATTACAAGCTGTGTCCGGCGGTGCTATTCGTGTTCCATCAACCAATGATGATGGAGACGGTGTGCAGGGATTACTCGCTCGATTAGGAATTATAAACCGTAAGTTGGATGTGTGCCCTTTGAATTGACTGTTGTTGCGTGATGAATATAATTTAGAAACAAGTTCTCGAAATAAACTAGCGAATTTGACTCCTCGACAAGAAGGAAATGTTGAAAATTACCTTCTTGTTTACTTGGATTCGTCGCCACCGGATGATCCCATTGCTCAGCGACTTCGTGGTCTGATAAATTATTTCAAAGTGTTCGATGATCCAGATGATTGCGTCGCATTCATTAATACAATCATCAATGAGAAGGTGATATTCATCGTCACGGATGCGCTCGGAGATCCTGTTGTATCACGCATTCAAGACCTCCAGCAACTATTTGCTATCTATGTTTTGTGTCAAACAGAAGAACAAGCAGACAATTGGTCAACGAATCAACCGAAAATTCGTGGAATTTACACGGATATCAATGAAATTCTTGTCAAAGTGAGAGACGATATCGAAGCTGATGAAAATAGTTCGTTAGCATTTACACACGCATTACCAACAACTAATGTAAAACAAGAACCATATTTTGTCATCAATCAAATCATTAAAGAAATCATTCTCGATTCCGACGAAATGACTGAAGCCAAAAATGAGCTTCTTCATTTCTGCCGGACAGAATATAAAGATAATCCTGAACAATTAGCTTTCATCGAACAATTCGAAACGAATTATCAAAAAGAAGATGTTCTGCAATTCTTTCAACAACAACAACATTTTCTATACAAAGTTAGNTAAATCGAGTGGACTGAAAGTATGCAAAGTATCATCATCTAAGTACAAATAATTTTACTTTCAATCAAGATATTTGTGCACATTTAGTCTCCATTTGTTTATCAATACAGCATCCTCAACGGATACAACTGTGTAGTAATAGTCTGTACGTGATGTTCGAAAAAAATATATAACCATAGGATACCGGCTATAGTCAAGCGTATTAGTATGATAAATAAAACATTATGTTCGATGTCTAGAGGCGTAATAATTAATAACTGATCTTCATCAACGAACTTTGAACTAATCTCCATGCACCTGACAACAGGACTGAACTTCTTTCTGGTCTTTTAGCTTTGGTAAGAAACATGCCTGTGAAATAGGGCTTTCCAATGGTACTCAAGGAATTTTTTGAGAGCTCATATACGATGATCAGAAGGATCCGAGCGATTTAAAGATAAAAAGCGAAATATTTCCCTCAAGTGCAATCTACATACGAAAACCATTATCTGCACTCGTAGAATTGAATGTATCACAAGTAGAAACAAATCTCGATGGCCTTCGTCGCAAACTCATTCCTATTCCATTAATCAAGAAGCAGTTCACTGTTCCTATAAGGTAACTTTTCGGACATCTACTCGATCGAGTACAAAATGGGAGAAGAATTCCACAAGTCATTCAAGTCACACGAACACAGCTACCAATCGTACCTGCCTTCGCAATAACTACATATAAAGCACATGGACTCACGATGAACAAAATTGTAGTCGATCTTCAAATTCCATTTCAGACATTGCAAGTAGTGTCAGTATATGTACCACTCAGCAGAGTGAAGAGAGCGGAACATATAGTCATTCTTCGACCTTTTGATATGAAGGTTCTACCAGTACGACCTTCTCTTGCTCAAGACGCTAGACTGAAACGTCTAGATGAACTTGACAAAAAGACAAAACGAGAGTGTACCTTTTTCATTTCGTAACTATGTGTAAATCGATACTTTGCTAATAGTCTAGTTTCATGGTAGGCATATAAAATGTAATATAATTTGAAATGATCTTAAAATAATTATTTATAAATGTTCATTTCCTTTATCTCTATTTACACTTATGTTAATTATTATATAATTGTCTGTTTTTCGGCCATTGTACCAAATATTGCCTATCGTGCTTTTTCTGCTTCGTTTTTTGATGTAATCATCCATAATCCTTCTAATTGTATTGGTATTTCTTGAAAATATCTAATCTATATGGAAAATAAACTTATATACACAATAATGCATTAAAAATATAACATCCGCAAGCGACATTTCTACGAGAAAGAGCTAAACGAATCTGCCTCGACAAGCGTTACTTGTCTTCTTATCAAAGAAATACTATCAGTTGTTAACAAAATTCTAACTTTGATAGGACGCGTCAAAACTCTTCTCACATTAATTCAGATCATGAAATACACTCTAAAAAAATAGGAGCTTCACCGAACCTGTATCGAGGGGAAGATCCTTTGAGGTTCCATACCGATTTACTGAACCGAAAAAAGTTTGATACATTGTGCGCCAATCATGTTTTAGTTCGACAAATCGATATGGAACTCCAGAAGATCTTCCCTTCGATAAAGGTTCGGTAGAGCTCCTATTTTTTCTAGAGCTTAAGAAAAGGTGTATGCAATTTCATGAGTTAAATTGAACACTGCTGAACTAAGTCCAATAAATAATAATGATCTTCGATTTTAAACTAGTAAACACTATTTCAGGAAGCGATGTACAGGAAATATCCGTATCTTCACCGCAGTCTAGAAAGCCCAAAGGCGCAATCAATATGACTCATCTTCTTCCTGATGGTAGACGCCAATGTAGAGTTGTAGGCAATGACGATGACGGGCCAATTGAAAGCTTTACTTTATGATCTTATGTATGAGAGTCTTCTTCAGCCTAGGATACACGCCACTGCTGCAATTCGTTTTATTCTCCGATGTTCCCGTAAGAAATACAAGTACTCATTTATACACATATACTTTATGGAAGAAATCATCGGTTTTCAGCAACTTGTGCCTGATTCGTTGATTATTACGGCGTTAATAAATCCTTTCTATTCCATTTAATTAAAACACGAAATATTGTTGAAGTAGACATTTAAATATCTACAGAATTTAGTTGATTGAAAATGAACGTTCAATAGAAATAGCAACAAAGGACAGATTTCTATTCTTAATACGCCTGACTTACTGGAAAAACATATCATACACTAGCGTTCTCTGTCCTTTTTTCGTGTTTTCCGCAAAAGTTATTCAGAGGACATCATGGCTTAACAAAGAACTCATTGTCACTGTCAGTTTGACTATAAAAATTATCATAAATTTGAATTTGCCATCGGAATTTGAAAACATGTGTCGTGAAAAGGTATCATTTCTGTTTTTTTAGTTATTGTATAGATACAAATTCTCAGCGAATCTGATAATGACTACGAGCGCAAAGGTGCTAACTGTTAATAACGATGAGGTACAAAACGTGTAGATATTGATCACAATCCTTTCATTTTGCTTATTATAAAACAAGCCAGTGGACGAAAATGGGAGCAAAAGTGCATTGTTTGAGTACGTACGGAAACTGCAAGATGAAATCAATGATCGAGACAAGCAAATTGCCAGCCTTCAAGCACTGGTCGATAAGTTAGCTAATGACTTAAGACAATCCAAAGAAAATTGAAAGAAATGGAAGAAGAATTAGCAAACCGACAACACTTGCAAACAAAGCCAAGCGATAATTCGAATTCTTCAATCGATCGTAATGCATACCCAGGTCAACGAATCCGATGAAATCCGATAGGATTCCTGGTGACGGAATTGCATCGGATTCTGACTGGAAAATCCAGTCATTTGTTGCAAATTTTATGAGCGTTATTTTTAGCTAAGTTCGATGATGACCCTTAGAAAATTCATAAAATCCGCGTTTCGGATCCGAGTATGGGATTTGTTGACCTGAGTAGGTACAATTTCACTGGATCGATATCTACATAAAGGCTAGTGTGTTGGTTCAGATCAATAATTCCTTCGTTGATGCAAACTTTGATTCTCAATCATGCGCTTGATTCATATTCATTCTTTTGTGTTGAATTCATCTTATTACTTGATTTCTGTGTTTTTTTTTTGTGGAATATGTTTCTATTCACGTATTCAGTTGATTGCATTGTATATTATTGATTCATCTGTACAAAAAACATGCGACGAGGAATAAAGTTTTTCAATTCAGTCGATTTGTTCTAGAGAAAATAAAGCTGAAGCATAAGAGCTATTGAAATGATTACAGCACAAATAAGGTGCAGTATTGTACAACATTCCTATATAAATAAAATAAAAAGTCGGCCTCTGGTCCCTAGAGTTCGACGGGATCTCTTTTTTTCATCCCGGTCCCGATCCCATTGAAATATTTTTCCGGCATTTTGATAATGACATCATTGTTTACTGATAACATGTGCCCAAATTGTGACCTTTACAAAATAATCTCTCGGTATTAGAATAGGGAGGGTCCCGATCCCGACAGACTTTACTAGTCCCAACACAGTTGTCATAATGAGCACTACTCTTTTCAAAAAAGCGAATTTCACGTATTATTTATAGCGTTTTACAATCCCAGGTCAACAAATCCGATGCTGGATCCGATCGGATCTTACCGGATCCGACCATCCGACAAAATCCGATCGGATATCTGGAAATGGAATTGCATTGGAATCCGACTAGAAAAATCCCGTCGGTTGTTGCAAATTTTATGAGCAATCTTTCTAGCTATATTCTATGATGATCCTTAGAAAGTCCAGGAAATCCATGTTTCGGGTCCGACGAGAGCCGATCGGATCCGAGACCGTCGGAATCCAATGCGATTCCGTCACCAGGATTTCATCGGATCCGTCGAATTCCTGTAGGATCCGAGTATGGGATTGTTCGACTTGGGATCTTGAGGGTGCCTTGAGAAAAATATTTGCTTCGATGTATACGCTTTCACTAAAGGTCCTCCACAATTATCAGCATTTGTTCATTCCGGTTCGGAATCGAAGTTCGAAGACTTGCCTACTTCTACTCCGCAAAACAACGAGAAAAAACCTCCGACAACAGAATCGCCCACACCCTCATCCTGCTATCTATGTTTTGTGTCAAACAAGAACCATATTTTGTCATCAATCAAATCATTAAAGAAATCATTCTCGATTCCGACGAAATGACTGAAGCCAAAAATGAGCTTCTTCATTTCTGCCGGACAGAATATAAAGATAATCCTGAACAATTAGCTTTCATCGAACAATTCGAAACGAATTATCAAAAAGAAGATGTTCTGCAATTCTTTCAACAACAACAACATTTTCTATACAAAGTTAGTCGAGGAACTTCACTCACTGTTCAACAACTTCTTCTCTTCAATTTAGATGTTAAACAAAGGCTTTCGCATACCCGAAGTTGATATTCTATTCAAACTGCGTTTGTTCATTCAAAATCTTCATCAATTCATTATTGCATCATCGAACAAGTCAACCTCCTTCTCAGAACCAATTCACTTCGTCCGAAGATCATGGAGAGATTCTTTTTGAAATCGATGTTTCCAATAGCAATAGTTATATGCTCGTCGACGAACAAGTCTTAGTTACATTTGGTTTAGTCACACGAGTCATAAGTATTGACAAAGATAAGAACGGAAAGACAATTGTACACTTGACAACCATTACTGGAGATGATCGACAGTATGACAAGATTATTGAGCCAATGAGAAAAGAAACACGTGCGCCGCATCCATCACTTCGAATTGTGAAATTGTTTGTTGAACTAGAACAGTATTCCTATGCAGTTCACCTCGGTCAAATTTTGTTAGCGGACTCTCCGACGGCGAAAAAAGATCCTCTCTTGGCATTGGCACGTACTTATCATTCATTGGGAACAGCGTTGTATGAAAAAGAAGAATTCGATGAGGCACTCTTTATAATCAAGAAATCTCATGAGATTTACTTACGATTTCTTCCTGAAGATGCGCCGCAGTTATCACCAACATGGAATAATATGGGTTCGATCTATTTACGACAGGGAAATACTGAACTAGCATTGGAATATCATCAACGTGCCTTGAATATTCAGTTGAAATCACCTAGCCCAGATCTTCCATCGATCATCTCCTATTCAAATAATATTGGCGGAGTTTACTTAAAACTAGAACGGTATGATGAAGCACTTGTTCACTTTAAACGTGCCTTACAAATTGAAGTACAAACTCTACCGAAAAATCATCCAGAACTAGCAGGAACTTATCATCGCATTGGTGGTGTTTACTTTCGACAGAATAATTACGAAAAGGCACTGGAATATTACGACAAAACCCTCGAAATTGAACTGGCTGCTTTACCCGATCGTCATCCCACAGTTGCTGTCACGTATCATAATCGTGGCACAGCTTTAGAAGGTCTAGGCAGACTCGAAGAGGCTGTTGAAAGTGCCGAGAAAGCTGTAGAGCGTTTATTGAAGACTCTCCCGAAAGACCACACGCAAGTACGAATGAATCAAGCGTATGTCGATCGATTAAAACAAAAACTATGGGTTAAACAATTGTTTACTACTTAAAATCACTTTCACTCGTTTTATTCGCAACTATTTCTAGAAATAAACCAGATTTGTTTTGTTTTTTAATCGATTATCGAATGGATTTTTCTTGTGATAATAAACTCTTTTTTATAATAGACATCAATCCTAAATCAACAAGTCATGTCGATTGAATTTTCCTTTCTTACTCGGCAGATATTTCTAGAGAGTTCGATTGCAGGTTGATCTATATTGGAAATGAATCGACGATTATCGAGTGTGTTGAAAAAGTCATCTTGTCCAAGATCTTCAAGTATTCACTGTTCAGTTTGTTCGTGTTATTGTTCGTCAGAGTTATTTTGAACGGATTATTGTTGTTCACCGCTGACGAAACATTAGGAAGGAGAAGTATGTGATTCTTGTGTTAGTCTTAACTGTTGCTATTTTCTTTAAATAATAAACTCATTGAATGTAATACGAGGAAATGTAGGTCTGATTCTGTGGCTCTCGTTGTGCTTTGAGGTGAATGAGTATGGTGACATTGGAAATAAGGACTGTAACATGATGTAGAGCATATTGGTTGGAAGCGTAAATGAAATTTGAAAGAAGGACTAATACAATACGATGAATTTAATGAAAGTATTGTGATAGAAACTAATAATCTAAATCTCTTCCTTAAACGTATGGCATAGGGTTTTTTTGGACCGAGGAATTCGAATCTAAGGTTAGCTTTTTATATTCTTTTAGAAAAAAATTGTTTTAACAAAGGGCCAATTTTTTAGAAAAAAAACTTTTTGTACAAGAGCTCACTCGAGGGTTTTAGAGGTCGCGAAATCGGAAGCTGATATTATTCTTTTAAAATTTTTTATGAAATTTTCTTTCAAAGAAAGGGCTTTTCAGAAAAAAAATTTTCGGCTACAGCCAAGTGTATCAGTAAGATGTATATTTTTTTTTCAATCTTTCGTGACGTAATACTTAGTAATTAGTTGCCACAAGCGAATTTTGAAGTAACGTCCATGTACCTGAAAATAAAACTGAACTTCTTCCTGGTCTTTTACCTTTGGTACCGAATAGGGGTGGCACTTTAACTTTATTTTACTTTTTCAAAGTAAAATAAAGTAAAGTAAAAAGGTAACTGACTTTACTTTACTCAGTAAAGTAAAGATAAAGTGGCATCAGTGTATGTATCACTCAGCAGAGTAAAGAGAGCAGAAGATGTAGTTATTCTTCGATCTTTTGATATGAAGGTTTTACAATTCCGACCGTCTCGTTCTCAAGATACTGAACTGAACCGTCTAGATGAACTTGACAAAAAGACAAAGCGAGAATGCACTTCTTCCACTATGTGAACTGTTATAAATCGATACTTGGTAAGGTTTTATGGTTATTTCCAGTATATAAAACGTATTATCATGTTTCAAATTATTTTAAAATAATTATTCGTAAATGTCCATTTTCCTTGCCGTTCTTTACATTTATCTTACTTAGTGTAGTAATTGCTCTTTTTCTCTTATTTTAGCAGATACTTTCTATCATGTTTTTTTACTGTTCTTTCTCATGTAATAGCTCATAATCTTCTCCATTGTGTTGACACTGATTTAGAATATCTAATTGTCTATTTAACGTTTAGTATAAATCTCTATTGCTACTTTTGTAAAAATATCTAATCTACACGGAAAACAAATTCATATACAGAATAATATCTTAAAAATGTGACATCTGAAAGCAATATTCCTACGAGAAAGAACCGAGCGAGTCGCTAGACGAGCGCTACTTGTTAACCAATTGTTTGTTTAGTATTTTAGTCTCATAATTCGTCCATACTGCCGTAATGACGACCATAATCTCACTACAGGTCGATCAGTGTGAAGCATAGTACGAACAAACGATGGGTTAGCTAAAAACTTTTTAACTAAATATGTCCCGTCCATGAAAACTACACCATTCGGCTCGAAATTGAATTCTGCATCGAACGATGCTACTTTTATCTACGGAAAAAACTTTGGGAAAATTCTATTTAGAATTTCGTTTCCTATATAGAAAAACAATTAAGATATAGGTAAAATTTTTTCAAAGTTTGTCCCGTAGATAAAACTAACTCCTTCTTGGTAGCTTCACACCGATCTACAGTCAGATTTCTCCTCTAGTAGGCGTTTGCACATCATCATCAACTGTAACTGAGAACTCAACTCGACAACTTCAACTATAGGTCGCACTCTATCAAGTACGAGTCTTTAGATAGCCGAATTTTTCAACTTATGAAATCAATGCACCTCAAGATTTTGAGGAGTATCACTAGTTTTGTTGTATTTTCTTTCGTAGCGAAGAGTCTTAGAAACATAAATTTTTTGCTTGCTTGCTTCCTTGTATGTCCGCAGGGTCAAAAAAACATCGAAAATCGATTTTTCGGAAAAGATATTTTCAGAGGTACTTCATTGCGAAGACTTCGAATCTGATGTTCGTTCTTCGAATTTGTTTATAAAAAAAATTTTTTTTTAGACACGGGACCACTTTTTTATGAAAAGAGTTTCTTTTCCTAAAAACTGACCAAAGGGATTTTTGGGTCGAGAAACACGATTCTAATGTTAGTTTTTTGAGAATTACGAAAAAAATTTTTGAAACAAAGGGTACCCATTCTCGGAAAAAAAACATGTATAACCATATGATATCGGATATAGTCAAGTGTATAAATATTCTCGTCAATCTCTGGTGACTTAATAGTTAATTATTGATCTTCATAAACGAACTCTGAAGTAACGTAGCTGTTGTTCATATATACAATAATGCATGAAAACTATGACATCTGAAATCAATATTTCTACGACAAAGAGCTGACCGGGTCTAACGACAAGCGTTACTTGTTGTTATCAGCGGAATCAAATCGTGGAAAATAATTCTAGTAAGAGAGAATATGAATGCGCATCAATTAAGTAGTAAAATAGATTTTCAGGCAAATTATATGAGCAAAATGTATTTCAGCAAAAGAAAAACGATGTTGAAGAACTAGAACAATGTAGTTCCATTCGTTTCATAATTTATTGCAGAAAGCACAGAATAAAATCCTATGGAACGATATAACATACCACGCACTACATAAAATACTATCCTCCACAGCCAAATAATAAATCGGGTACTATTTCTGCTCTTCGTTGGAAGTGCTCGCATATATATATATGTCATGGTTATTGTATTGTAAGAAACTAATCGGCAGTTATCTGTTAACAGAGCTACCAGTGTTCTAAAGTAAGATATTACGGTGTTCTCGTAGATTTGATAATTGTCTTCAAAGCCATCTGTTTGGGCATATCGAAAAGCGGCTTAGTTTTTCCAATAAGCTAAATGTCTTGCTTCCGAAGAGAATCGATAACGCTTGTTTTTTCGAAGGTTTTCCACGTTTTCTTATTTACTAAAATGTCATGGAGCAATTAATTCATCAAAATGAATTCACAACAAATTGTTAGGGCACCTCGGTGGGGGAGTTGGCATTCTATTTATGTAAAAGATGCTGAGTGTTCTAACTCATTCTTCAGCACAAAAAACAGATAGATATTTTAGGAGTGGCAATTTAACTTAACTTTAAGTGTTCAAGTTAACGCCACCCACCCGGTAAACCGTAGCTCAATTTTATATTTTGTGACTTCAAAACGAAATAAAAGATCATGGGACTGGTTTTTCAGGTTGAAAAACGATCATTTTTTCTTGTTTATTTTATCTATCATCGAATAAGACTTGGGAAGAATGAATCGAACACTGAGAGATGCTGCATGAAGCTCTCAGCAATCTAACGTGAAACTTTTTACAGTCGTGTGTTTTTTTACCGAAAAACGTCAAATGGTGCAAATCAATCAGTGAAAACTGATTGGTTAGCATTTAGCCTTCTTGAAAAACAAATTTAAACTGTAGAGCTTTTTATCTTCCACTGTACTTTTTAGCTAAAAAAATTAATTTAGAGGTGTCAATTTCTTTTGAAGAAAATCGAATTGGCTTGCAAAGAAGTCAAAGGCATAAAAGATTTCCAACTTTTAATTCTTAAAATTTCTATTTTAAATGTCAAAACAGAATTCAATGAGCATGCGTATTCCAACGCCATCTTTCTGCGCACACCAACAATTCGTAACGGTTGAAATGATTACACGTCATTTGTTTTCGTCGAAAACATATATAAATGCATCACCACCATGAGTTACTACTCATAACGAACAAAGTCAAACGTTTTCCATCGCTTCCAGTCTCTACGGTACGGTTTGCTGCACGATTGAAATACAACATGCACACATTTTCCACATTACCCGTCGAAATTGTTTATCGAATTATGGATCATCAAAATGAGCTGACGCTATTTTGTTCAATGCAAAATATTTCCCGGCGGCTCAATCAGATCCTGAGCACCTATGAGCGATATCGAGTAAGTTTACTAGGCACCTTCACACTCTTGTCGGCTGTGCTCCGCATAAGCCTGGTGTAACGACAAACTGGTTGAGTAGCTGACCGCTTCTCACGGTATCGATGTTTATTGACTACTCTACATGACCAGAATGTCTCTCTTTCACAATAAGACACGCACTTATATAGAGAAGAGGAAAGAGAGATATGACTCGGAGATAGTATGATATAGAGGTGAGAGAATCAAGAACAGAAAGAGATGAACGATATCATTATCGTTACACCTGGTGATATTTGTCGGCGTAAATTTCCTCATAGGCTGAGGTAAATTAATCTCATAGTCCCCAAATAGTTTGATCGAATAAGACAATCACAGTGTGAAGTCATCAAATCAAGCATTCCTCCATTCTCTCGTCTTCCTCCTATGTATGTTGAACTATTCGATGCATAAGTGCATCAACTATTACTTTTGATGAAACTTCCCAAATGAAGCAAACTGATCTCCACATTTTCAGGGTCTATGCTTATATTCATTCTCACCACCACCCACACCAAATGCAACTCCCACATATCACAAGAGTGGGAAGTCAATTTCATTGGAGGGCACCCTCAAAAGAGATATCCCGCTACAATCAATAGCTATTCATAGTTATATCCTACTCTTTCCCCACAATCAGCTCACAGTGATCGCGTGTCCATATTGCCAACACAGCACCTCTTCTCTGAACACAATCTCTCCTGCGCCACACCTACCATCATCATCATCCACACCAAAAAACAGACATCTAGATCCATCTGCTCCGTAAAAATCGTCCCCAACAATGACAATTTCTATCCAACATATACAATCAGAAGTGTCATCAAAGATTCTCTTTGCTACTTGTCCTTTTCATAATATATTGCTTTCATGTAGACACTCACCACACTAGATCTCGGCGATAACCGACTCGATGCTGAAGGAGCACAGCACATTGCGGATGCGTTGCGTACGAACACGGTAATATTGATCTAATTTCACGGAAGGTGAAGTATTTAGTCTCTCTCACACCTACAGACACTCACCACACTAAACCTCAGTTGGAACGGCATCGGTGCTGAAGGAGCAAAACACATTGCGGATGCGTTGGGAACGAACGCGGTGATAGTGATCTCATTTCACGGAAGGTGAAGTATTTAGTCTCTCTCACACCTACAGACACTCACCACACTAAAGCTCTGCCGTAACGGAATCGGTGCTGAAGGAGCACAACACATTGCGGATGCGTTGCGAGCGAACACAGTAATATTGATCGCATTTCACGGAAGGTGTGGTATTCAGTCTCTCTCACACCTATAGACACTCACCACACTAGATATCGGCTACAACGAAATCGGTGATGAAGTGGCACAACGGATTGCCGATGCGTTGCGTCGGAATGCAGTAAGACTGATGCTTTGCTGGAACAGAATGGGGAATATTTGATTTATCTAATTCTTAGAGCATCAATATGGCGTAGGTCTTTCACTGAATGAAATGGGAGAACAAGTGATAGTGGATCTGGTGACTCTTTTCGTAGAAACGATGTTTTTCGATCGAGAATTTAGTCGAGGTCATTTGGTGCGTGATTTTGCTGACAGTGAGAAGTAGTGAAGGAGTAGAAAATGTATTTGGCTGTGGGAAGTGGATGTGACCTGAATGAGAATGCTTTTTTTGTGGGAAAATATATGTGGAATAGTGGAAGGGAGTGCTTTATTTACGGAGGTTCAACAGAGCAGTGTTTGATGGAAGAGGTGCCATGGTACGATGCGTTTATGAGAGGTTTTCTAGGATTGGAATTTGTTTCTGAAAGTGTGTGATTGACAAGGCAACATCACTGCAGACTGCTCGACTATATTGGAGATATGGTAGAATTCTATTGACAAGAGTACAGCTCGTATGCATTTTAGATGGCAGGTCTCGTAAAGGTAAAGTGATCAGACCAAGGCACATTAAATGGGAGCGATGTTTCATGTTTGATTCCAAATCGTAAATGTATTGAGAGCTTGATAATGAAGTGTTATGTTTGTTTGTAATTTATTTTTGAAGAGGATAGTATGTATCCGTTATCTATGAATTCTGTGGTGCATTAGAAAGAAACAATGTACTATAAAGTGAGTGAAATGGCACAGTGAAGAGAGAATGGTCAAAAAGTAGCGGACCAGATCGCGCTGTTAGACTAATCGCTTCCCACGATTAGCGTAGTAAGAAAAGCGGAGACTACCAGTTTGACAAATTTTCTCAGTCAGATTCGGACTGGTACATTCAATATCTAATGATAGGCCCCTATCGTACGCTTGCTCTAAGGTCTATCTTTCGAATGATGACAAAACGGAAACCAGTTAGTGGTGCATCATTCAACTCCATAGCCTGTGCGCTGAAATATTATATATTCGTAGCGTTCCTCAGCATTACACTGTAAGAGAAGGTACATTTCGTTTGNAAGCACTTGTTCACTTTAAACGTGCCTTACAAATTGAAGTACAAACTCTACCGAAAAATCATCCAGAACTAGCAGGAACTTATCATCGCATTGGTGGTGTTTACTTTCGACAGAATAATTATGAAAAGGCGCTGTGGAACGTCTATTGAAGACTCTTCCGAAAGACCACACGCAAGTACGAATGAATCAAGCTTATGTCGATCGACTAGAACAAAAATTTACTGGCAAATAATTTTAAAAATAAATCAGATTTTGTTTTTCAAATTCGATTATCGAATGGATTTTTCTTCCGATAATAACTTTCTTTTGTAATAGACATCAATTCTAAATCAACATTTTACGTCGATTGAATGTGTTCTCTTCTCTGTCGGCAGATATGTCAAAGACGACGAATGTTTATCATTCATTCTTATTTCATAAAGGACGATGTTATCGTCGTTCATTGTTTGTCTCTCACTTCAAGTCGACGTGTTCGACTGATATTTATAGCGAGTGGATCCCAAGTCAATTATATATTAAAATGAATCGACGATTATCGAGTGTGTTGAAGAAGCCATCTGGTCCACGATCTTCAAGTATTCTCTGTTCGGTTTGTTCATGTTATCGTTCGTCACAATTATTTGTTACTGACTATTGTTGCTCACCATTGACAAAACATCACAAACGGCAAGTGTGCGACTCTTGTCTTCATCAGCATGTACTTTCACAACTTTACTCTTGTTTGACAAATTCAATTGTGTGTCCAGAATTAAGGTGCCTTGCAAAATTGTCGCAGTCGGCCATTTGCGATATTCTATTGAAGTACAAAAGTCATGATTTACTGAACGATTATCTACGCGAACAACAATGGGAAGGCAAAAGCGACGAATGGGTTAAAAGATTTGCAGCACGTTGTCCTGGTTGTGATATTCCAATAGAAAAGAACGGAGGATGTGACGAAATGATTTGTATTCGTTGTCAAACGCACTTCTACTGGTCGAAAGCAAAGCGCTATGTACATGAGACGAAACTATTCGAATGTCAATCGTTTCTCATCGTTCATCCATTTGCAGGTGGAATGATTTTTGTGTTAATATTTCTTGTTTTAATCTTAACTGTTGCTATTTTCTTTAAATAATAAATTCATTGAATGTGATCAGAGGAAATATAGGTCTCATTCTATTGCCCTCATTATGACATTGGAAACAAGGAGTGTAAGGGTGATATATAGAGCATATTGGTTAGAAGCGTAAATGGAATTCGAAAGACGAAAGAATAAAATAGGGTGATTGTTAATGAAGGCATTATGATAGAAGCGACCTCATAGATGTTCATTTATCGACATATATCGAGAATATTAACCCATTGTTTGTCTAGCATTTTAGTCTGATAATTCGTCGATACCTTTGTGATGACTACTCTTGATGAAGATACTTTTTTGCAATACAGACACTTTTGTAAATAAATGCATTATTCTCGAATGTTTCCGTAAGAAATACAAGTAGATGCAAGTACTCATATATGCACATATAATTCAAACTAGAGTGTAGGCGAAAATTGTTAAAATGTTATGTATGGAACCGATGTCGGAATCACACTAGAAACTACAAGAGCGAGTCTGTTCGAATCGTTTTGCAGATTTGAATGGCTATGAGAGTAACTTGGTGAAGATGTTTGTTTGAAATCAACAGAACTCGCCATAACCTAAGTTGAAGTTATGTCGAACCACAATTCAAAACATATACCTAAGCAATTTTGTTCTGAAAATTGGAATCTGTGTCCAAGATATCGTATGTTCGTTTTACCTATTCGTCCTGAGTTTCTATGCGAAATGATGGTGCTTTTTATTATAGGTTTTACAAGCCTCAGCTGAAATGCATATGACTATTTACGTAATGTTAATCTTCGATGACAGTTTATGATGAACTATTTCACGAAAGAAAAGATCTTGAAATCTGCTGTTCGAAAGACAAAACATCTTTCTACGCTCATATTAAATGTTCATCATATTGATTCATAAAGTGAGGATCATCGGCGAGCATTTCTTGGATTCATTTTACAAGAACAATAGAGATGATAGATTTTATTATTGCTACATTAACTATTCTATTATGATCGCAGTTACAATTCGGAGGAGGATAATTTCACTATCATCTACGATCCGATACTAACTATACAGTACTTTGCGTCGCCTGCGTCCCTTTCATACATCGGTCATAGCGTTTGAGATAGTAGAGATATGAACGACGTACGGATACAATATGCAGCTACTATCGCTTATGGGCTTGAACTATCTACCTTCATCGGTACCCACACTTCAACTAAGTGAGGTAGTACACACGCTGCAATTCTAATATCATGGCGTATCTTGAGATATCACACTTGGAATTTTCCAACTTCTCTTTACTATATTTTTCACACACCCACCATTGATCCACATGCTAAACTTAATCACACCTAACCCCACTATCACTACTCATGACCTCTTTTTGTTTCTCATTCAAATTAAACTATATTTTCTTCATCAAACAACCAGAAAAAGGCGATCTTCTATGGATGATAGAAATTTAATCTTTTTCTTGCTCACTTTTCCAGGGATCAGATTCGATCTAAGGTTTGTTTGGCATGTTTAGTCTTTTCAATAACTTTGTATTATTCCCACTCTTCGCAATAAATGATTGTTTTTTTAAATATTTTCCGATGAAATTATCTTTGTCTGATGATTATACCCTTTATCGTTAACATTGAGGTGCAGGAATTTTATCATATACAGAAAGAGTCTAGTGATATCTATGTGAGCATGCCAAAGGTAGCTACATCATAAATGGGTAATTTCTTTCTTTATTCCCTGTGAACAGTGAGATTTTCATGATTTAAATCGATTTTTAGGATTAGAAACGATCTATATTGAAATTCTCCGTCAAATGTGCGAAGACATTGCGTTGTCATTATCGTCTGTCGTTAAATCTGGTTCCCCATCGAATATGAACGAGTGTGTTAATTATTGAAGTTAAGAATTAAATGTTCACTATCTGTATATGTTTAGAGTTTTGCAGACGGAGGAAGAGCACAGATGACGAATGCACGTCGTCCGACATAATAGATCCCATCGATGAATTTGCGAAAGGTATGTTTACTTGTGTAGAATCAACAGTACGAAATGATGTTGATGAGAGCATATTCGAGGAATCGTTAGACGAGTACCGACATGTTATATATTCTAGCCATGGAAACGTTCCAAGTGACAACAGCAGCTGTTGATGGATGTAGTGTTCATAATTCCAAGTACCGATCGAAGTTTAATCATGCTGTTAATATAATTCGACGTTCAACGAAGTTTAACAAACACGTTTTTCATGAATTACCTAAACGATGTTGTTCGTGTGATCGATCTCAATGTATTGGTTAGCAAATGTGATGAAATTGTGTCGGATAAAACGCCTCAGTCAGTGCACGACGTTCTCCGCGTTTTTGAACTTTCGTTCGAAACGGAAGCATCTTCCCAAGAACGTCGCGCAAGAGTTACTCATTTTATTGGAAAAAGGCTGAAATTTAGATACTCTACGGAATAAATACGATGTTCACATTCACATCATCGATAGATCGTCCAGCAAAGTACTTATCAAAAAGAGCATCAATGTCAGAAACAAAGACGGTATAGAAGAAACAGTTTCTGCTGACAAATTTCGCGTGTTAATTCGAAGAAAATCCAAATTGACGACAGATATAATTCCATTCGATGAAATCGAACAAGAGATCAGTGAAAAATTGGAGGAAGCAAGTAAATTTCGATTTATTCAAAAAGAATTTACCTTTGATGAGAAAGGTCAATTTCAACTCGTGTGTCTTCCATTCGAATTAACACTCTCATCGGAAGAAATTTGTCGAACCGTGAGGCGTTCTATTATGAAGAAAGGCGAAAACCTACGTAGTTTAGAAGATCAATACAATATTCGCTTACATATCATCAAAAATGAAAAATTGAATTCCAAATATTTTGAAAAGATCGTCAAGCAGCAAAATGGAAACGCTTCGGGGAATTTCTATTTATTCATCACTCAAACCAGCAGATTTTTCGAAGCACAATTTATTGGAGAAGTGATCGTATTAATAGCGCTATCTACAGTATAAAAAGGAAAATAAAAGTGAGCAGACGATGTCAATCCTTCGTCTTCCAAATATCAGGTCTGCTTCTACAAAATGTTCCTCTATTGATCATTCGTTTATTGAACCGGGAGCCATTGGGACGATCAGACGGAAATCTCATTGGTTGTTCTGATGTACTCATTAGCAGACAGACGGTTGAAGAACAAATTTGACAAATATTAGTTGGACTGTTGAAGGAAAATAAACGATTTCGATCTTCTCATTTTGGCTAATTAAAAAAAAGGAACATAACATGATAACCATTGATATTTAGATGTTATTACTTCGATTCACTCGCTTATATTCTACAGTTGTTGATCTCGGTCTACAAATGAAGCAATTAAATGACAAAAAGCAGTTTAGGAAAGCACTTTCTTCATTTGAGAAGCATTATCCAAAACAAATGAGTTCTTTAATTGTCAATCAAGCCTTTCGTGCATGTGTTCATCTGAACGAGTTTCAACGTGGAAAAACTATTCATCAAGAATTACCTGCAAGTTTACTGAATAATCAATACATTCGCACCAATCTCATTCGATTATATAGTAAAAAAAGTCCATTGAAACGATTCATTACAGTTCAATTCCTCTTTTTGGTTCATAGTGAACTGTAACGATGTTGATAAAGCACGAGAAATTTTCTCTACGGCACCAAAGAAATCAATTGTCATGTACAATACAATGATCGAGGGTGATATCAACTGTATGTGTGATCAAATCAAGTGATTGTATTTGATTTTCAGGCCTTGGAGAAAATAATCGAGAAAAAGAAGCTTTGAAACTATTTGAAAAGATGTCTGTGACACCAAATGCTTACACTTATAGTATTTTATTCAAGCTTTGCACTCAATTACCAGATCGTGACGTGTTTGAGTTTTGTAAAACGGTCTGGAAGGAAATCTCGCTCGACAATCAAAAGAATCCAGTGGTATCAACTTCGTTCTTAGCATTACTTCTCAAGCATCAACAAATATCAATTTGTGAAAAGTTTTTTTCTCAAATTGAAAAGAATAACGTTACTCGTATAACTATGATGAAGGGTTTGCATATCTCCACTCGCAACCTTAACATAATCTCTATTTCTTTGTTTTCTTCAAGGGTATCTTTCACATGGAATGCCGCAAAAAGCAATTGATCTCTTTCTCCAACTTGACAAACCCGATGAAATAGCGGCAGGAGCGTTTTTCAATGCATGTGCTCAAATAAAAGACAAAAAGACACTGGATCTAGCAGACAAGGTCTTTTCCCGACTTCGTTCTCCATCTGATCGTCTCCTTCAATCAGTTTTCAATATGCACTTCCAACATGCTGATATTTCCAAAGTGAAAATTCTTTTTGAAAAAGTTCAACGAAATGTTATCAATTATGCTTCATTAATGAAACTATACAATGATCAAAGTCAACCAGAGAAGACCTTAAAATTATTTCAAAGAATGAAAGCTGAACATGTTGAAGGAGATTCAGTTGTTTTCGTCTTATTAATCAATGCTTGTGCAGATATTCGGTTTTTGTCTTTGTCTCGATCGATTGTTAAACAAATTCCAAAGAATTTACTTGCTGACCACTGGCTGGCAAAGATCACTTGTACATATGTGGGTAAGCTCGAACCAAAAGGATACGAAATGAATGACACGAAATAGAATTAAACGGCATATTTAGGGTAAATCAGGTTCAGTGGATGAAGCACAACGAGTTTTCAATCGAATTGCTCAACCGAGTAATGTGGCTTTTTCAACAATGAGTAGTATTTCAATTGGTAGATAAAATAATGTTTTATTTGAAACAATTTTCTAATTATTCAGTGCGTATGATTGGAATCAAAGAGTCAAGTTTCAATGAAAACGATAAATGATCAGATTTATATTTGTGTATTAAACGCATGTTCACACTTGGGTTTGATCAACGAAGGTAAAGAAATTTTCTATGGAATTCCTTATGAGAAACGAACGGAAAAGATCTATGCTGCTGTGGTTAGTATGAGAAGCACAGTTTTCAGAAATCTGAACTCATTTGGAAATAGGTTGATGGTTTTGCTCGTTGATTTGAATTTGTTCGTCCACAACAGTTAATTGATGAATTTGAAAAGGATTATTCTCCTTGTCCACATATTTACAGTAAGAATTTCCAATTAATTAAGTGAGATGATTCAGCTTCATTCATTTAGCGACAATTTTATCGAGCGTCAGAAATAAAAAAGACGCTATGTTAGCTCAAAACCTATTCGATCGTATTCCCCTAGTATTCTCTGATCAAAATGTATGTTTTGTTCAAGCTTTTTTAGGCAAATGATCGATCACATTCTCTTTTAAACCGGATTTATGATCAACTAGATCAGTTAAAAACCGAACTAAGTCAACATGACTATCAAGTTGACGAATCTTAGGTATCAAGATCACTGGCTGATGGTGAGACAAACGAATCTGTTCGATGGGAACATTCGGAGATACTTACTATTGCTTTTCGATCGATTCAAAAACCAAAACCGTCTTTCATTGAAATAGTAAAAAATCTTTGTATATGTCAAGATTGTCGTGAGTCGTTGCCATTGAATTTATTCATATATTCTATTCATATTTATATTTATATTTAGATGGAGCAATTAAACTAATAACTAAAATTCATTAATGTTCCATTGTTGTTCATGATATCAATCGTATTCATCATTTTGATACGACAGAAAAATGTTCTTGTAATGATCTTTTTTTGAATATGAAAATGAAAAAAAGAATACTTTGCATTCATACTACTTTTCTTATTGGTTATGGATCGCGGATAAATACAGACTGATTGAATCAATAGTAATTATTTTCTCAAGCTGTTATCAGTCATTGAATCGACTCCGTAGTCACCTTAGTCCTTTCCAGTCGACCGCTAGAAGTCAGAAAGAAAGAAACGTTAATACATGTTCTTTGTCCTTTCTATTTGGAGGTTCTTTTGAACGTTTCGGGAAAATTTATTCCAGTTGCTAGCACTGGAGTGCATGTTTCTTTCTTACAAAAACATATTTGTGCTAAAATATGTGTAGTCATTTATCGAATGACTTAGGTAACTATATTTCATCGTTCTGAGAAAAACGTGTATTGGAACTGGCAAAACATTGCCAAATGGTAACATCCGGCCAGAAAAGTTTTTAGAGATTCACACGTGGCATGTTTGCTCTTTCCATATTGCGTAGAGCATTTCCTGGGTGATTTATAGCTCAAGGATATTTTATCGAAATGAAGCACTTTTTCAAGCAGAACAACTTGAAAAGAAAATAGAACTATAAATATATGTTCTTCATTGAAGACTGCTAACAGATTCTCACATCATCATGGTGAGTGTGAAGACAATTGAAGCAAGCGCTGTATTTGCATGGTTTATGTTGATGATGCTCTTACGCCGTATCGTTCTATTGATTGTTGCTGGTGTCTCAGGAAGAAATCGACCGTTTCCCCCTGGTCGAGTTCCAGAAGATAAAATATTGAAAAGAACTCAAGTTCACTCTACAAACAACACAGCAGATGCCACGACGTTCACCAAAGATGTTCGTGTCAATAAAACAATTGTTAATGATGCAGAAAATGATACATATTTCCTCATTCTTCTCTTGGCCACAGCTATATTTTCTGACACAACCAGCTATGATTGCACACGAACGATCGTCTACAGTGTTCTTTATTTATTCTTTCGAATAGTTTATGCCGTTGCTTATATTTTCGCGTTGCAACCATGGAGAACGATTGCATACGTGTTCGGTTTAGCTTGTACATTGGCTTGCAATTTAGACCTGGTCATTACATTATCGCGTCGAACATATTGATCAATGGCTTGAAACCCATTAATTTCGTGACCAATGTATAGTGAACTATTTTTATTGAAATAAAAAGAAAAAAGAAAAATAAATTCTTCCCAACATACTTCTTGTCTAACAACTTCAATTGTGTCCCGAAGCGGCGTTGTCTCGGGAACTTATATCAACCGTCTACATGTGAACAACAATGAGAAGACAAAAACAATGTACAAACTAAATATTGGTTTTCCGCTATTCATCTATTTAATTTCTTCTCTAATACTTTTCCTTTTAGTCTTTGTTGTTTTTATTTACTTCCAATGATAAATTTATTTACGTAATCAAAAGAGATGGAGATCACATCTTAGTTCCAATCTGAGTAATTGTTCCGATGATATTTCGACGTGGTCCACAACCAAACAATACTCTCATCCACTTCTGCAGTTCAGGTAACAAACCCACACAAATCCATGGCAGAAAAAGACAAACGATGTAGATCATGTCCAGAAAGTAGTCTGTTTGGACTTCAGCAAGAAATGTTGGATTACCCAGTATTTGCACAACACCAACGATCAGACACGGCGACCACGCCATCAAATAGAGACTTGAGATACAGAACAACTGGATAGTCATGCGTCGTTGTTGTTTCCATGTCACAGGTCGATGCTGTCGACGTTTCTGATGTACTACACGAACGACTAACAACAAGTTGGCGAATGCATTCACCAACATTGGCAAACCATTGTTGATGCACCAGTCAAGTGTGCCGAGAACTTTGTTCGACACCAAATAACAATCAGCAAAGCCACAGAGATTATTTGTGTAGTCCCATTGTGATCCATCACATGGATAGAGAATGATGACGAAGAAATAGAAAAGCATTGGATAAGTGAGACAGAACAGAAGAGGAACGTGGTGAAAAGTAATGCGCATCCATCGAATGTTGAGAACATGGCTGTTGAAGACTAGCATGTGTCGTTGAACCGAGATGGTTGCCATTAAGTATTCGCTGGTGACATAGAAAGTGAATTCGATGAAAGTCCACCATGTACAGTAGGTTGGTGTTGCAGGACTGACATAGCCTTGACTGTAGAAATGGAGATTGAGTGGTAGAGTTAATGATAGCTGCATGAAGTTAACGATGAGTAGTATGATGAGAGCTCGATTATGAGGAGCTTGTCGAATAGTGGGATTCTTTGCGAAAAAGATGAAGATGAGGAGCGAGAGAATAATTGCTGGAACTTGCAATAAGAGTAGAATGGAGAACTTAGTTCGATGTAAAACATATTTGGTATAAACAAATGTTTCCGTACCGTTCATGTTTGCTCTACAAAACGAATGAATGATGTACTTTCTCTAAAGTAAGTACTCTGTGAAAAGATACTTTTAAGAAGGGGTATTAATGAACTTTGGATATTGAGATATAATGAGGGCATATTGTAGTGAAGACATTAATCCTGTAGGATTACGGATGTTTTCAAGAAAAAAATGCTTTTATGCATTCTGTTAGTCTGAATGAAGTTTGATAATTATATGATATTGGACATCATAGATGCTAGGAAGTGGACGTGCATGATATCTGTTTGGGAAGTTAAGTTTCTGAATAGAGAAGCATTTGTTTGCGCAGTTTTTTTTCGAGATTTTCGGTTCACCATAGAATTACAGGGCTTGACTAAAGCTATTAGAGTAGATTTGAAGAATATATCTAAACACATCTTTAAAAGGCTGCCAGCGCTTGGAATCAGCGCTCTCTGATGAATCGTAAGCAAAGCCGATTATTGTTAGTTTTATTTGTCATTATTAATTGAAGTAAGGTATCATTTAATAAACAAATATTCTTTGAAATGCTGTTAGTAATGAGATTTGACTGCGTCGGAGATTTATCGATATATCCTTCTTCATTGACAGCAAGAAAGAATGCACTTAATTATTCTTAATAACTTAGTATGTTAATTTCAAGTTTTTTCTAGTCTAATTTCAGAAGCGTTTGAATGATAAAACTTGCAACGAATTGCGTTCTTTTAATAGTGAACTAATTTAATAAATTATAAACATAAACACTGTGGTTAAATCCGAAGCAACAGTACATAAATCTTGTGCTCACGCAGGGGTTTCTCTTTTTTTACTGTTCCTCAACCCACGCAAAGATAGTTGCGATTATGTGATAGGATAGTGCGAGAAAGTGAATTGAAAACAACCGTTTTCAAAAGTGACGTACGCAATAACATTGGTCGGTGTCTCTAGTCAACAGGCGTTTTGCAGCTGCAAGCATACATGATCGAAAGATAAAGGCTGAAAAGAATTAGTCACCAGACAACACATGTTTGTTTTCTCCATTCAAGAGGAACTCTATTTCATGGTTCATATTGCACTTTGCGCGAACACATTTTAGTTCGTGTGCCATATAGTTTTGTTGTGAAATGCAGAACGAGTGTTTCTTCATGCTCTGTTTTGTGTCGCAATGAATAACTATCCTGTCGACGTAGCCCCATGTCGTATAATTATTCAGAGATTAAAATGAAAATAATTTTCCTCTTCACGAAAGGAAACCGATCAGGGGATGAAGACCATCTTTAGAGAGAGAAAATTCAAAACTTAGATTCTAAAACAGTATAAGACAACAAATTTCTGAGCGCTATAGTCTTCAGTGAAGTTCATGCATTTTTCCGGAGGTAATATTTGTTCAGAAAACCGTTCGCTGTGATGAGTTAGTGGTGATTTGCATAAAAACAACTATTTATGAAGTTATACATTGCACATGTTTGAGCGTTGCACTCACAGTGTGTTTCAATAATTCTCTCCGTGGTATATATGATTGAGAATCTTTCAATTTTTTGTTTCCTGTTCAATGTATGAGAAAACCTAGAACGGCTTTTAAAACGATCGTTTTATTTTGTTGGTGTGAGTGATATTTTAATTGACAAATTCTGTTACATATTCAGAATTCACTTTCTTAGCTACTTTATTTCAATTTCAAAGTATAAAAGTGATAATGTACTCAATAATTATTTACATGAACAACAATGAAAAGACGAAAACGATGAATAGAACCAAGGATTTATGTCACATTGTCAAATCTTAGTTCCAATCTGAGTAATTGTTCCGATGATATTCCGACGTGGTCCACAACCAAACAATACTCTCATCCACTTCTGCAGTTCAGGTAACAAACCCACACAGATCCATGGCAGAAAAAGACAAACGATGTAGATCATGTCAAGAAAGTAGTCTGTTTGGACTTCAGCAAGAAATGTTGGATTACCCAGTATTTGCACAACACCAACGATCAGACACGGCGACCACGCTATCAAATAGAGACTTGAGATACAGAACAACTGGATAGTCATGCGTCGTTGTTGTTTCCATGTCACAGGTCGATGCTGTCGACGTTTCTGATGTACTACACGAACGACTAACAACAAGTTAGCAAATGCATTCACCAACATTGGCAAACCATTGTTGATGGACCAGTCGAGTGTGCCGAGAACTTTGTTCGACACCAAATAACAATCAGCAAAACCACAGAGATTATTTGTGTAGTCCCATTGTGATCCATCACATGAGTAGAGAATGATGACGAAGAAATAGAAAAGCATTGGATAAGTGAGACAGAACAGAAGAGGAACGTGGTGGAGAGTGATGCGCATCCATCGAATGTTGAGAACATGGCTGTTGAAGACTAGCATGTGTCGTTGAACAGAGATGGTTGCCATCAAGTATTCGCTGGTGACATAGAAAGTGAATTCGATGAAAGTCCACCATGTGCAGTAAGTGGGTGTTGCAGGACTGACATAGCCTTGACTGTAGAAATGAAGATTGAGTGGTAGAGTTAATGATAGCTGCATGAAGTTAACGATGAGTAGTATGATGAGAGCTCGATTATGAGGAGCTTGTCGAATAGTGGGATTCTTTGCGAAAAAGATGAAGATGAGTAGCGAGAGAATAATTGCTGGAACTTGCAATAAGAGTAGAATGGAGAACTTGGTTCGATGTAAAACATACTTGGTATAAACAAATGTTTCCGTACCGTTCATGTTTGCTCTACAAAACGAATGAATGATGTAGTTTCTCTAAAGTAAGTACTCTGTGAAAAGATGTTTCTAAAAATGGGTGTAAATGAACTTTCGACATAGACATGTACTTAGGGTATACACCTTATTCGGGACATCAATCATGTAAGATTATGGATGTTTTCAGGAAAGCTTTGTCTATATATTGTGATAATCTACATGAAGCTTGATAATTATATGGAATTGAAATGCATAGATGCATAAAAAGTAGACGTAGTTTGTACCTATTTGTGACGTAAAATTTCTGAATAGAGAAACTTTTATTTGTACGGTAAGATTTCGAGATTTTTAATATATCATACAATTACAGGTTTTGACGAAAGATATTACACTATGTGGAAAGAAAATATCTGAAGACATCTTTAAAAGACCACGACGTGTAAGGTTACTGTTTTGCGATGGACCATCTGTAAAAGTGATCATCAGTTTTTTCACTTGTTATTATTAATTTAAACAAGGTATGATATAACAGACAAGAGTTCTTTTAATTATTGTTAATAATGAAATTTCACTGCGTCATAGATTTATATATACACTTTTCTTCATTTACAACGAGAGATAATGTGCACAATTAGCATTAATCATTTAGTATGCATATTTCGAGTCCATGTCTGATTTAGGATTGCTTGAAAATAGAAACTTGTTGTGAGTTGTGCTCTGTTCATCCGGAATAAGTTCCAACTATAAACGTAAACAACTCTAGCTTAATGCGAAGCAATAGTACGTACATCTTATGTTCACACACAAGTTTTCATTTTTTGCTCCTGCTCAGCTCACGCTAAGACGTTATCCGTTGCCTCGAGTCAGCAGGTGTTTTACAGCTGTAAGTACACATGGCAAGAAGAGAAAGACTGAAAAGAATTAGTCATCAAGCAACACATGTTTGTTTTGATCGCTTCCGTGGGACTCTATTTCATAGTTCGCATTCTATTTTGCGTACACATCTTTGTTCATGTGCTATATTGTTCTGTTGTGAAACACAGAATGCATGTTTCTCCTTGTTCTGTTTTATGTCACGCGATGAATTACTGTATTGTCGTCGTAGTCACAAATCGTATAATTATTGATAAAGTAAAATAAAGCTAATTTACTTCTTCACAATCGGAAACGAGTAACATGATGAATGTTATCTTTATAGGCAGAAAATTCCAGAGTTAGATTCCAAAACAAAATAGAACTACAAATTTCTGAATGTCACGATGTTCAGTGAAATACATGGGCTTTTCCGGATGTGATATGCGTTTATAGAATCATTCGTAATAATAATGAAAATCTAAGTTATTTTCCAGTACATCTCGTAGTTGTGATTTGTACACAAACAACTGTTTCTGCAATTATACATCGTGCGTGTTTTGAGCGTTGCCTCAGAGTGCGTTTCTACGATTCTTTCCGTAGTATGGTTGAGAATCTCTTAATTTTTTGTTTATCATTCAATACGTGAGAAAACCGAGTGCTGCTTTTAATGATCATTTTATTTCCAAGAAGTAAGTGGTATTTTTTGATAAATTGTGTTTGATGCTCAGAATTGATTTTCTCAGGTACTTTATTTCAAAGTATAAAAGTGATAATCTACTGAACGATCATATACTTAAATGACAATAGAAAAGTAAAAGTGACGAATAGAATAGAAGATTTGTGCCACGTTGTCACATCTTGGTTTCAATTTGGGTTGTTGTTCCTATGATGTTTCGACGTAGCCCACAACCAAACAATACTCTCATCCACTTCTGCAATTCTGGGATCAAACCCACACAAATCCATGGCAGAAAAAGACAAACGATGTAGATCATGTCAAGAAAGTAGTCTGTTTGGATTTCAGCAAGAAATGTTGGATTACCCAGTATTTGCACAACACCAACGATCAAACACGGCGACCATGCTGCCAAATAGAGACTTGAGATACAGAACAACTGGATAGTCATGCGTCGTTGTTGTTTCCATGTCACAGGTCGATGCTGTCGACGTTTCTGATGAACTACGCGAACGACTAACAACAAGTTGGCAAATGCATTCACCAACATTGGCAATCCATTGTTGATGGACCAATCGAGTGTGCCGAGAACTTTGTTCGACACCAAATAACAATCAGCAAAACCACAAAGATTACTTGTGTAGTCCCATTGTGATCCATCACATGGATAGAGAATGATGACGAAGAAATAGAAAAGCATTGGATAAGTGAGAGAGAACAGAAGTGGAATATGGTGAAGAGTGATGCGCATCCATCGAATGTTGAGAACATGGCTGTTGAAGACTAGCATGTGTCGTTGAACAGAGATGGTTGCCATCAAGTATTCGCTGGTGACATAGAAAGTGAATTCGATGAAAGTCCACCATGTACAGTAGGTTGGTGTTGCAGGATTGACATAACCTTGACTGTAGAAATGAAGATTGAGTGGTAGAGTTAATGATAGTTGCATGAAGTTAACGATGAGTAGTATGATGAGAGCTCGATTGTGAGGAGCTTGTCGAATAGTGGGATTCTTTGCGAAAAAGATGAAGATGAGAAGAGAGAGAATAATTGCTGGAACTTGTAATAAGAGTAGAATGGAGAACTTAGTTCGATGTAAAACATATTTGGTATAAACAAATGTTTCGATGTCGGTCATGCTCCCAGAAGAAAGAAATGATCTGTTTGAATGTATTTATCTAGATGCTTTCTCACATAGAAGTGTTAATTTTTCAAAAAGAATCTATGATGAGGAACAACCAGTCTACATACTCGTCGGCTATATTAGTCTTATTTGTTATTATTCATTCAACCGAGGTGATGCTCTGAAGTTATGAGAGTTAAACAGGAAACATCACGTTTCTAATGAGGAAGAACATCGTTTCTGTTCTATTTGTTCTTAACGCTCTGTTTCAAGTTCGAACGCATCAATGCGAGCGTGTGGTGATCTGGCGAATCAAACAACAGTATATTTTGAATCATACGGAATTCAGAAATTTTGATTATGAAAATCAATTCTTTTTCCTACCAATTTTGCGTACTTGAATTGAACTTGACAAGTAAAGGCGAGTCTCCAGTGGGGAGCACGCCGAGAAGATTTCGCTCTCATTATGAATAGAGACATAATTCAGGTAATATTCTTTGATAATACTAACCAGGTGAAGTTTCTATATTTTTAGAATATATTTATGAAATGAAATATTAATAATGTTTACATGTATTATATAATAGATGTAGATCATACATGAAAATAAATATTTTCTTTGTTTTTCTTTTCTAGACTCTACAGATATATCAAAGAGCATATACTTAATTATCGTTTTTCTTTTCATTTTTTCTTTATGATTAAGAACAAATGTTTTATTCTGCCGCAAGTTAATTTCGACAATATATAGTAGTTATCGTATAAAACGTGTTCGTATTATCCGTTATATTGTCACATTTCACGTAAAAGGTAATCAAGGCTATATGTTTTATCAATTCATTCATTCATGATGAAGGGCCGTCTCACAAAAATCTGTGTGAAAATAGAAGAGATATTGGTATTCATACGAACGTACTATACGAAGGATAAGATTCATCGACAAGTCGTCAAGCTCGCTTAGTCGAGTATTTCGGAAAGATCTGTCATATCCTCTCAATATATTGAAAACGTTGAAGACAAGACAAGTTAAAGCTATCTTATATCAAGATCTTGGAAAAACAAAAATGACATCGTTAAGTTATAAAAAAATAGTCAAAAAACTTCTAGTTAATCGATCTAACTGATTTCCAACCAATTTAAATCGATTTTCCATCAGGTTTCTCCGATAAAATCTAATATTTACAACTTTTCTTACATGAATACAGTACCAATTGGAAAAACATGACTCTTCTACGGTATAACTTAGCAGTTCCTGTGAGTTCAATATCATCCATTATTTTAATTAGTCCGGCGTGGATTTATAGTGACTAAATATACTCAAATTCCTTGAGTTTCTTATGAATCATACTTTGATTACAATTAGAATTGCTACTATTCCGAATACTATGTTGAATCAATTTAATAAAAACAGGAAAAAACGTACGAAATACTTTTAAAAACACCTCGAACTCTGAATCATGCTGCAGTATTCTTGAAATAAGCATATACGTTTGGTTTGACTTGTAGTTGAGACTCATAGTCGTTACGCTATAAAACGTCAAATATAATGAATGGAGAATATTTTCTTTCCACGTGTCTAATTAAAAAACAAACATTTTCAGTCATCAAATGATTAGATATGCAAAACATTCTTTCTTTCATATACATTTGAGAATAAGTATCATACTTATTCAGTGAAGCATATCACAAAAAATGAGAATGTAAATATTTGCTTTATTTCTTGATCAAAATTGACACAGACGACATGTTATCTAAGATGAAAACAGTATGGAGATTAAAATTGACGAAACATTCACTAAATAAACAAAAGCGATTGAATAATGCATTGTTTGATGAATCGATTGATGACAATCAACAACAACGAAGAGATGACAATGAAGAAGATATTACATTGATTTGGTTGAATAAAACTGAAAATAGTCCATCAACTGTCACATCACTCCGCAATGTTATTGATTATCTTCAAGTAAATATCATAAGTAGACGAAATAACAGACAAGAATCTTATTTTTGTCTTGCAGATCTTCGACAATGAAAACGATGCTTTGTCCTATATCGAATCGATTGTAGATGAAAAAATTATCCTTATAACTGACGATGTATCTGATTATCTTCTCGCAAGACTGGAATCATTCAAACAAATTCATTCGATTTTTCTTTATACTCCGAATTTACCGGTGGATTTACCCTCTAAAGTAACAGCTTGTTGTCTAACCGAAGAACAATTAATCGATAAAATAGCTCGTAGTTGTAAACAGTTGAGCGATCAACTAGTGGTGTTCTCGATTTACAATCATCAAAAGAAAGAAAAAAGTGATTTAACTCGTGAAGCTGGTTCGTTCTTATTTTTTCAATTATTCAAAGCAGCATTTACAATACTTCCGAAAACATCCGAATCGAAAAGATTACTCACGAAAAAATGTCGTCAATATTATGCTGGAAACGCGAAAGTTCTTGAAGAGATAAGAGATTTTGAAATAAATTATAAACCACGCGAAGCATTAGAATGGTTTATGAAGAAATCGTTTATCTATCGTTTAGTCAACAAAGCACTCCGAACGGAAAATATCAATTCATTGTGTTTGTTACATTTTTATATCGCTGATTTATCAAAACAATTGGAAAACGAATTTTCTAAGTTTAAGAAACAAAACTCCGATTCTTTTCTAAAATGTTATCGAACTTTTCAATTTTCATCTTGCGATATTCAATATTTTCAATATAATATTGGAAATTTGATTTTAACAAACGGTTATCTTTCAGCAACACGTAATCGACAACTGGCTGGTGAAGAGAAAGTCTTATTCGAATATACAATTGATTTAAACGAAGTGAAGTCGATTGTATTCGCTAATATAACAGAAAATGAAATACTTTTCGATATTGGTACTGTTTTCAAGATGAACTCGTGTACATACATTGAGAAAGATCAAATCTGGATTGTAAACGTAAGTGCGACGGATGAAGGTGTTAATTTTGCATCAGAATATATTGAATATCAAAGATTGAAAATGACCAATTCGAATTTGATATTAATGCTTGGTCATTTAATGATCGAAACTGGTGATTACAACAAAGCGGAAAAGTATTTTCAAGCAATCTTACATTCATCGATTCCAAATGACGAAGAAATTTCGTGTATCTATTTTCATCTAGGACGAATCTATCGATTGCAAAGTGATTATACACATGCATTGGAATATCTCAATCACGCATATGAAACACATTCTCGAGCGAAACCATTACGTTTAGCCAGTGCTGCGAAAGCACTGAATGCGATCGGAATTCTTCATCAAGAACAAAATAATTCTCAAGAAGCAATTGAATCATTTGAAAATGCTTTAAAAATCTATGGGAAAACCATTCAAGGATCTCATCCTGACGTGGCTGGAACATTGATCAATCTTGGTAATACTTACTGTCAACAGGAACGATTCTCTGATGCACTTTCATGTTTTAATCGTGCACAAACTATCTATGATTCTAATTTACCAACGAATCATCCAAATGTTGCAATGTTATGGAATAATTTGGGAAATTTCTACTATCAGCAATCGCAATTACATCCAGCTTTAGATGCCTATCAGCGAGCATTAGCGATCTATGAGAAACTTCTTCCTCCGAATCATCCCGATATTTTACGAAATCAAAATAACGTATCGAAAGTGAAATCAATGTTTGGTGATCAATATCAATCGACTTTGGAATGGAAATACGGAGTGAAGAATACTCTGTTCGTTGAAGATTAAAACGCATTCAAGTTTGAATCAAATGTTAACACGAATAATTGACTTTAATAAAACGTATACTAATAAATATTTA